AGATTTGAATGGTTGGGCAGAGGAAGACATGGTCCTAGGGTGGCTTTTTAAAAAAACTGACACAATGTATGTATTTATGAGGTACAGTGACATTTCTATACATGTTCATCATGTGTTAAGAACTGTCATGGTGGGGCTGGGGATTTAGCTCAGCGGCATAAGCACCTGCCTTGCAAGCAGGCAGTCGTGAGTTCGATCCCTGGTACCGATAAAAAGGAAAAAGACAAAAAAAAAAAAAAAAAAAAAGAACTGTCATGGTTTATGTCAGTGCCCCCCAGGCCTCATGTATTTGCATTGTGCATTTGTGATTGGTTCATTGTCTAGTGCTTGGATTGATGGGGTCAGTGCTACACCCACACAGGGGTGGAGCCAGCATACAAGGTAATGGCAGGAAGGTGTGTGTGTGTGTGTGTGTCTGTCTGTCTGTCTCTCTCTCTCTGTCTCTCTCTCTCTGTCTCTCTGTCTCTGTCTCTGTCTCTCTCTCTCTCTCTCTCTCTCTCTCTCTCTTTTTCTCTCTCTCTCTTTTTCTCTCTCTCGCCTGTTTTTGCCTTGCTGTTTGCAGCCTCCATGAACTGTGGCCCACCCTGCCTTGGAGCCAACTGAGTATGGATTGTAACCTCCAAAAACTGTAAGAAATAAACCTTTCCTTTCCCAACTTTGCGCATCAGGTGTTTTATCACAGTGACCAGTAAAAATTAACTGAGACAAGGACCAAGTCTTGCTAGTTAGCATTTCCACCACTTCCTGTGTTTATTGTCCCTTTGTGGAGAAGATCCATGAAATCCATTCTTCTGGTGATTTAAAAATACACATTACTATTAACCACTGTGGACTCACTATAGAATACTTGAACTCACCTTCCCATCCATTTGTAACTTTGTAACCATTGACTGACCTCTCCAATCTCCAGTAACCAACACCAAAACAAAGAACATTGACCTGGTGTCTTTCAGACAATGAATTTAAAACAAGAGAGGGGCAGGGGCTCAGATGGGGGCAGGGAAGGGTGTTAGTAGTATCAGTTGGGAAAAACTGATTAGATTATGTATTGATTTGTTTGAGACAGACTTGCTAAGTCACTAAGTTGCCCAGACTGCACTCAAACTTGGCATCCTCCTGTCTCAGCTTCCCAGAATCCACGGATTACAGAAGTGACTCACTCTGCCCAGTTTAAATTCTGAGTTTAATTTGGAGAATTTCCTGTTGGATATATACAGCATGTGTAAGATGGAGCTGTCAGAATAGACACAGAAAAACAGATTTGTTTCTGTGGCCATAGTAACAAAGTCCTACAAACGGGGTGGCTTACAATAGAACTTTTCTCACTGCTCAGGAGGCCATAAATCTGAGGTCCAGGTGTGGGTGATGTTGTTTTCCAGATGCTCTGAAAGAGACTCTCATCCAGTTCCCAGTGTTTGTCACTAGCCCTCAGCACCTCTTGGCTTATGCAGCCATTAATGCCAGTGCCAATGGATTAGATTAAGAAGCACCTAGGGAATTGGTGTGGCACATCTGAGGTGTCCAGATGGGCTACTGAGGTGTGATCTAGGAGCCTATATCTGGTCCCTGGCCCCTCTCTGGCATTCTTTCCCTGTCCTGCTTCCTGGCTTCCATGAACTAAACATCTGTGCTCAGCCATGCCTTTTCTCCATGATGGCCTCCCTTGGAACCAGCTAACTATGGACAGAACCCTCTGAAATTATGAGCCAAATAAACCTCTCCCCCTTTACGGTGTGGTACTAGGTCACAGTGACAGGAAAGCTGAATGATACACCTTATCCTGTCTCTGCCTCACTGTTGTATGATTGTCTACCCTACATATGAATCTATGGACAAACACACCTCTCTTCCTGTAAGAACGTGTCATTGGGCTAGGGCCCATCCTAATCTGGACTAATTTAATTTTACTTGATTACATCTTTAAAGACCCTAGGTCCTTATAGTACCAGGTTCCAGATGGACATGGATTTGTCAACAATGCTGTTCAACCCAGTCCATGTGTTTGTCCACATTTTGATGAAGACCCACTTTAACTGTATCAGTCTTGAAATTTTGCACGACTTCCTAAGATACCCCATCTTGTCCAAGATGGGAGGAAATCCTATTGAGTGATTTGTAAGGCTTCCTGAAGATAAATATGTTCTGTTGTTTTGTATTGTGATTTGACTTGTTTTATTTGTTAGAGATAGGGCGCCATTAAGTTGCCTCGGCTGGGCGCAAACTTGCAACCCTCCTGCCTCAGCCTCCCAGAATACTAAGATTATGGCCATGTACCACCACTCCTAGCTGGAAAATATTGCTATCAGTGTGAGCAAAAGTACATCAGTTGGAGCTAAGGGTATACTTCAATGGAAGACCATGTGCTTAGCATGTGCAAAGCCCTGGGTTCCACATCCAGTACAAAAAAAATTAAATAAAAATTAACTGATTCTCTGTGACTCCACTGTGGTCATGGGAATCACATTTATCAGCAATAAATCAGGACTACGATGTGGTATAATTGCTGCCCCAGCCCCTCTTATCAAGAGCTGAGATTCATGTGGGGGTAGAACTAACATAGAATTGTTAAGGTTGCAACTTAAAGTGTCACTCAAGAGGCTCATGTGTTAGGGGCTGGGGATTTAGCTCAGCGGCATAAGCACCTGCCTTGCAAGCAAGTGGTCATGAGTTCGATCCCCAGTACCGACTAAAAAAAAAGAAAAGGCTCATGTGTTCAAAAGTGAGGCTTTTGGAAGACAATTGAGTCAGTGGGTTAATCCATTAATAATGAGTTCTGGCTAAGCCTCCTTTTAGGAGGAGGTGCTGGTCATAAGAGGCAGTTTCTGAGGCTGTGGCCTAGAAGAGGAACCTCTAACGCTGACCCCTGTCTTCTCTCTGCTTTCCACATGCAGGGTTTAAACTCCTTGTCCTCTGCAATCTTGCAGCCAGCTGGAACTATTGACTGAAACCATCAGGCAAAAGCGAGACCTCTCCTCCTATAAGCAGTGGCTGTCCAGTGACAGGAAAGTGGCTAAGAAATGGATTGCACTCTGCTTATAAGAACACATGGTCAAAGTGCTCGTGTGCTGGGCCACATGTAGCCTGATGACAGGTCTCAAAGAGCCTGAGGCCATGTAAACATGCAACAGGGTCCCCTCGAGGCCCTACAAAAAAGAGCCCAGAGTCTGTGTTACGCATCAACAGCAGGGAACCCTGAAAGTTTACTGCCCTACCTTCCTAGACCATTCTCAACAGCCTAGGCATCCCCAAATTTTGCAAGTCAAGCGATAATATTCCTACTGAACTGCATCATACCCGTGACCATCTTAGGTTGGTCAAGTGACATCTCCTCCTGTGGCTTTCAGGTTTTCTGTATTTGACCCGTATTTCCCTCCAGACGATTTTATATGTGGTTGATAATTTGGAAAACACACGTGTGCCCGCACACAGACACAGATACACACACACAGACACACAGAGCTGTTTGTTTGCTTTGTTGATTCTTTGTATTTTTACTCAGATTGAACACTCAAGGCCTTAACACTGAGCTATATCCTCAATCTCTTTTTATTTGAGACAAGGTCTTGCTAAATTGCTCTAAACTTGTAGTCCTCCTACCTCAGCCTCTCAGAATGCTGGGATTATAAGTATGTGTCACCATACCTGGCTAATCCTTGGCATTTCTTTGGGCAAAAATGTCACCCCTGTGTCTCACCTGCAAGGATTCATTCAGAATCTATTTAGTGAGCTCCTACTATATGCTAGCCTTGTGAAAAGTGACCTTACTTGCCAGTAAGAGTCTTTACACAGGATCAAGTGAAGGTCCTAATCAGTACTGGGATCACAGGCATGCACCATCATGCCCGATCTGTTTGTCTCATGAAAGATGTAGCTTCTTTTGCAGTATGAACAACCACTAATAAATTCCTCCTGGCAGGGGCTGGGGATTTAGCTCAGTGGCATAAGCACCTACCTGGCAAACACGAGGTTGTAAGTTTGATCCTGGGGCGGGGTGGGGGATATTCATTCCTCCTGGAAGGCTCTCCATTTTCTTGCCTTGTGTTCTTGGAAGACACATGTAGGGCACTGGGGACCTGCGTATTATTCCCGCAGGGAGTGTCTGAAATGTCAGTTGGCCCTGGTTTATTAAGAATACTAACATAACTCAAGGCAAGAATGGCCCACCCCCAGTATTCTTTGGTCCTTCTCCAGCTATCCAAGGCATAACTCCTTCCTGTCACAAGCCGTAACACACCTGAGCCCTGCCTGGGGCTCGGAAGCAGAATGCTGGGGCAGCATCTGCTCTACAAGCCAATGCACTGGAGCTGGGAAAGTCCCAGGTGCCTCACATTGATACTGAAGTGGGGTGAGAGGCAGCCCCCCATGTCCAGGGTCCACCCACTCTGAAGCTTACGGCCCCTCTGCTGGGGGCTTAGGTGGTGGGAGAGAAGAGACCATTGAGTGTCCCAGACCTGTTGCAGAAGGGAAAAGGCTTAGGAGGGATCTAGACTCAGGTCTTTGCATTTCTACACACGGTCCTCAGACTCACAGCAACCAGTAATCTGTTAGAAATGCAAACTCCCAGGCTCATTGCAGACACTTAAATGCAACTATTGCTGAATGAAGTTGCAGTTCTCAGAAGGGTCAGCTGGTGATGCCTGCCAGAGGTCATCAGCTCTGAAAAGGCACCGAAATCCCTGGGGCTTGTGAAAGAAGGTGGCTGCCCCTCCCAGGGGCTAACTCGGACTAACCGGGTGGGGTGGTACCTGAAAGTCTACATTTGCAGTAAGTCCCCAGGTGGCCAGTGCTCCCACTCAGGCTCTTGCATTTATCTGGGACCTTAGACTGGGCTTCATGTTCAAGTCACCCAGTACCTAAACCTACCTCTGGGAACCCTGGTGGCTTCCCTTCTGTGCCCTTGACCCCAGAACATGATGGGCTGCCTTGCTGCATCTGGGCATTGCTCCTGCCATTGCAAGGCCTTACCTTTCACACAAGGAAAAGAGACTGCCACACCAGGGTGCTTGGCAACACTCAGAGTACTCAAGCTTTATTGAGCAATAATGGCACTATTTCATGGGAATGAGCCACGTGACAATGTAAACACAATTTTTGGCACAAAGTCTGAGAGCAAATGGTTACAGCGACAGAGCCTTGGCTCTGTGGTCCAGCCAGTCTCTCTCCAACAGCTGCAGGCTACCACCCTGCATGGGGGAGCCTCCTCATCTCCTTGCTGTCTCCTGCAAGTTCTGCGTCTCCCATCACTGGGCTGGAGGTGACGAGAGTGGCTGGCTCCTCTGCTCCAGCTCTGATCAGCCTGCTTCTTCCATCCCAAGGTCATCTTGGGAGCAGCTAGGGAGCTAAGGTGCCCCATGACTGATACTCACACATGAGGAACCCATGTCCCCATGACCTCAACCTGTCCTTTTCCTGCAACACCTTTTTCTCAATGGATATAAAGCACTCTGCACACACTCAACCTGCTCCCAGCAAGCAGGCAGAAAGTAGGGTGACCTCCTAATAGTGGCAGGGACAAAGCGTAAAGGGAGAGGCCCAACCCAGGAGCTAGATGCAGATGGCCTAGGGGAAAAGGCAGGTCTCATCTGAGCTCTAGTTCAAGTGCACTCCAGCAATAGCCCTAGCAGATACAGAGTGAATCATGGAGATGATCCACGACCAGTGTGCATTTCTGTGTGTGTGTGTGTGTGTGTGTGTGTATGTGTGTGTATGTGTACACCCTCCTCTTTACAGGATGCCCAGCTGCCAGCATGACCTTCTGCTATGCATCCTGGACCATCTGTGACCTCCTTTCCAGTTCTGGCATAGAGACAGCTTTCTCAGGGAAGGAACTGTGAGCTCTCAATGGATGGCAGATGTGCCAGTCAGAGAGGAATGGGTGAGGGGAAGCCAGCCCCCTGGGAGAATCCCAAGGGAACACACCAAGTGTCAGGGTCCTGCTTGGCACGGGGTGGGGTTGGGGTGACTGAGAGAGGCTCACAGCAGTGGCTGCACTGTACAGATGGGCAGATGACTGGGGAGGTGGCTGCAAGGGTCTTGCGGCAGCAACCAGACTGTACAGATCAATGGCCAGCATAGGCAATTGGCCACATGACCCATCCTGCACAGTCACACACCACCCTGCTCCAAGCTCCCAGTCTGGCCATCAGTGAACACTGATCCAGGGTACAGGGGGGGTGCTCACACAGTGTATGTTCTGACAGACTTGTAGAGGGGCGGAAGCAGCCCGTGGTTCTCTCGGACAATTTCCAGGTACTCAGATGACGACTCCAGCAAGAAAGGCCCACAGCACAGCTGGCAGCAGCACCTGACCCCAGAGGGCGGCTCCGGGTTCTTGTCAGACATGGGGGAAAAGTCAAAATCAGCCAGCTATGATGAACAAAACCCTGTGGGTCAATCGCCCCCACCAGGACCCGTCAGTTGGCCTTATGAGCTCAGCATCTTGGCAGAAGCAGGGAAATGCCTACTTGTCACCATGTATGCACAAGGGTGAACACAGAGGGAGACGGGCCAGAGGGTGCTGCAACTCAGCAACTCAGCACAGTCTACAGATGTCCCTTTGGCACACCGTCCCCAACCTCAGGGCCCACTCTAACATCAAGACCCTTCCAAGTATGATGGCCTGGCCCCAGGCCCAGGGTCCTTCCTGGGCAGGACCCAGCTGTCCAGTCCATCCTCCGCGTACCCACCTCCACCACTTCCTTCTGCTGGGTGGCATTCCGCAGGGTCATGTACATGATGAAGGCCAGCATCACGGTGATAAGTGTGGCACACGGGAAAGCAAAGACAGCCGGCTGAAGTCCTAAGAGTGACAGGCGAGTGTTACAAGGCTGGGGAGCTGGGATTCAAATACTCTTCCTCAGGTGGCTGCTGGAGAGGGGTCAGTCAATCCCACCAATGGTCTCTCTTCTCTTTTAGGCAACCCCAACCCAGGACTTGACAAAAAGAAATCAGGGTATGTGGAAAAAAATTTTTTTTGTCTTTTTGAGACAGGGTTGTTGCTGTGCAGTTTAGGCTGACCTTGGGCTCACTTTGTAGCCCAGGCTGGTCTCAAACTTGCAATGATCTTCCTGCCTCGGCTTCCCTAGTGCTGGGATTACAGGTGAGCACCACTACACTTTTTTTCCCCCCAATATCCAGGGATTGAACATAGGAACTTTACACTGAGCTACCCTGAGCCCTTTTTAAATTTTATTGAATTTTTTTTCTTGAGATAGAGTCTTGCTAAGTCACTAAGTTGCCCAGGTTGGGCCCGAACTTACCACCTTTCTGCCTCATCCTCCCACAGTGGTGGAATGACAGGTGTGAATCACCACTTCTGCCTTGTGTGGAGGATTTTTAAATATGTTCATGGGTTGCTTAATAAAAAGGGGCTTCCCCATCTTTGAAGGGTGGACTGGGCTCAGTGACCGGCCCCTGGCCTACAGCAGATGATGGTAGTGATGGTACAGACTCTCTTGAGTGTAAGCCATGAAAAGCAGCACTGCTTCCTGCTTTCTCCTATCTCTTTTGGGAAGGGAAGCCAGGTTATAAAGCAGCCCTGTGACCTCTGCCATAATCTCCCACCATCTGGGCTCACCTACCGAGCCTGATGCTTTGGAAACTGCATGATAGAGGGCAAAGTGTCCCATGTTTGAAGTTAGGTTGTCCTGGGTTTGAATCCCAGCTCTGAACAAGCTACCAGATGTTGATGTGAAACCCCAGCTGCCCTGGAGAGGCATGAAGGTGAGGGACGTAGCTATGCCAGGCCTATGTGGGTGACCAGGAAGTGTGGGCTCCCTTTCATTCTCCTAACCCCTCTGTAATAGCTGCTTCCTATGAAAAGGGGGTGTGGCGGTGCATGCTTATAATCCCACCACTTAGAAGGCTGAGGCAGAGGGATTACCATGAGATCAAGGCCAGCCTGGATAACACATGAGACTCTGTCTCCAAAAAAGAAAGAAAATAAAAACAAGAAAGAGAAGAGGGTATGATTGGCATGATCCCCTGGACTACCATCTTCCCTGGAGAATTCAGCAGGTCCTGGACACTTGGTGTCCAGTTAATGCTAGGGCAGCAGGCCGCATGGTACCTGGCAAGACCCACAGGCTCAGCCAGGGCCTGGCGTAAAGCATTCTCTCAGGGGCTCAGAGAGGGACTGGGGACACTGCAAGGGACAGTGACAACACAGTGCACTTGCAGGGCCAAACCTTGAAGGCAGGCTCAGCTGCCAGGTTTGACCCAAACTCCAAAGTGCTGGGAAAAACCCTACTTTGGGGGCTGGGGATTTAGCTCAGTGGCATAAGCGCCTGCCTTGCAAGCAGGCAGTCGTGAGTTCGATCCCCGGTACCGATAAAAACAAAAAAGGCCAAAAAAAAAAAAAAAAAAAAAAACCCTACTTTGACAGAAGGTCATTGGACTCAGCGTCTGGAAGCCAGCTTCAGACTCAAGCTGACATCCAGTCTTGATGTTGTCCTGTGCCTCAATTTCCCCTTTTGTAGCATGGAAAGTGGGACTGGGGAGGGCATCTGAAAGGCCATTTCTTTTTTCAGGGTCTTGCCATGTAGTTCAGCCAGGCCTTGAACTCACTTTATAGCCCAGGCTGACCTCAAACCCATGGAAATTCTCCTGCCTCGGCCTTCTAAGTGCTGACATTACAGGCACCTGCCACCATGCCTAGCTGAAAGGCCCTTTCTGAGGGTCTAAGTTGGAACTTTCTCGGGATCTGATACTACAGTCTGATGTCTGTAGCAGTGGGTGAGGAAAAGTCAACAGTGGTAGTTGGGTGCGAGTGCTGGGGGTGGTTGCTTGTGGTGATGATGGTGCTGAAGAATTGTGAGCTGCCTGTGCACTCATGGTGATAGCTGAGTCGGCTGTTAATGTTTGGTGATGCTGGTAGAATTGATGGGTGGGGATATGAGATTGGTAGAATTGGTTGCTGATGGTACTGGTGGGGCTGGTTGCTATGGTAATGATAGAGTTTGGTGGTGATCTGAAGTTGCTATGGTATTGCCAGTGTTTGGTGGTCACAGGACTGCCATTTGGCCCATGGTGGCATTGGTCATTGCCAGAGTGAGGAGCAATACTCATGGTGTTAGTGTTGGTGGGGCCAGTTGCTGGTGACCCTCACAGTAAGGCTGGCTCATAACAGCATGTTGAAGGTGGCAGCAGGGTTGAAGATTTTGGCTATCTTGCGACACTACCATTGAAGCTAAGCTGTCACTTACTGGAAGGCCACACCTGGACCTTGTGGTACTGATGCGTCTTGCTGATGACGTTCTCGGCCCGGATGCTGAAGCAGTAGTCCCCAGGGTCACGGAAGGTATGGGTCAGGTTGTACTCCGTGCTGGCCACAGACACAGGGTGGCACTCCCCTTCCTCCAGCGGGAGGCACTCGGGCTTGAGGCGCCAGCACATAGTCAGAGGGGGGCTGCAGGGCACAGAGGCAGGTTTTCAGAAAGGGCTCGGCAAGGAGCAGGAGCACAGAGCAAGTCCAAGCGGACTCTGAACACTGGACGTTCTCCAGCAGGAAATGCAGTGGCACAGAAGAAAGCCCCCAAGGCCCCAGGGAGATCGCAGGTTAGTGAGGCAGAAAGGTGCACAACGTGCTTAACTGAGGTGGGCACCAAAGGGAGGGCAGGCAAGGCTTCACAGGGGAGGTGGTGTTTAAGCAGGATGTAAGGATAACCAGGCTCTTACTGGCTTAGAAAGAGGGCAAGCAGTGGCTCAGAAGCTGGAAAACACAATTCCATCTGAGGAATGCTGAATGGATGTTCCCCTTTCACTCCACCCCAGGTCCCAAGAAAACAGACTCATAGCCCCTCAGAGACCACGTCCACCAAATCCAGTTGGCCTCCCATTCTCCAGGTACTAAGCTCCAATCCCAGTATGGGAGATTAAACCCAGGGCCTTCACACTGAGCTATACTCCCAATCCTTTTTATTTTTTATTTTGAGACAAGGTCTTGCTAAATTGCCCAAGCTGGACTTAAACTTGCCATTCTCCTGCCTCAGCCTCCCAGAGGGCAGAGATTAGAGCTGTGTACCACTATACCTGGTTCCCTCCAAACGTTTTGAATGTATATTGAAGACAGCCCCAGAGGAATGTCCTATCTCTCCAGGACCCAGAGATTAGAGCTGTGCAAGGCAGATTAGTCCCACCCTACCACAAGCCCTCGAGGGGCTGGAGCCCTGTCAGAATGCAGAAGGCCTCAGGGCTCCTGCAGTGCACTCTGGGATTCACTCACCTCCCCAGGAAGTTCAAGGTTACAGTCACCTTCTGAAAGGTCTGAGTCAGGGTGGGCCCCAAAACCTGGATGCCTCGAAGGGTTTCTGTAAGGAAAAGGGGTGTCATTAGGCCTGGCAGCTGAAGACCACTGTCCCAGAGCTTCTACCACTCTGGGCTGTGTGCCCACTACCCTAACGTCTCTTCTGTCCCTCCTCCAGGGAGGTTCTGTCCAGGGCACCGCCCCTGCTAGCAGCAGCAAGTGCCAGAGCAGCTCAGAGGGAGAAGTTGGAAAAGCAGGCAAAGACCAACCGGCTGGCTCACTGACACCAAAGCTGTCACCTTTGCGCAGAAAAAGCACACTCCATTGGCAAAAATCAAGAAATGTTCCATGCCTGCCCAAAGCCAAGGAGAGATGCACTTGGGCATCCCCCACCCCACCCTGTGTGGGAGACAAAGGCTCCCATGCTGCTAGGACCTGCAGCTACCAGGAGACCATGGCAAGACCACTGGTCATACTTGGGCTCTGGGAGCAGGAAGGCCTGGTCAGATGCTGACTGTGCCACTAGGTTGCCAAGTGACCATGTGCACAAGCTCCAGTGTCCTGTCTGCAGCAGAGAAGACAAGGGAGATGCCAAGAGGACAGGGCCCGAGAAGGGAGCCAGCCTGGCACCAGGCTGGAGCCACTCTAATCTAGAATGGGTGATACCTGGGGCTCCTTGGGGACCTGGATACTCAGCCTGCACCCACTCACCCTGCAGCTTCAGCGAGGCAGAGAAGTCGCCAGTCCTCTGCACAATGCCCTTCGAGGTGCCATCTGGTTTTGTCTCCTCCCACTCAGCCACCACCTTAAGCTTCACCGTGAAGGTTCCAATAACTGAATAGTTATAATAGACCACGGAGTTGTCTGTCACCAGCAGAGTCCTGGAAGGTGACAGGGAGGAGGGAGGAGAGAGATGGCAGGCTGTTTCTCCTTCCTCTGCCTTGGAAGTGGTTCATTGCTTGCTAAAGCAAGCCAAGAGATGGCTGTACGTGATAGGTGGCTACCCCTGCCCTCCGAGAGACAGATGGGGATGGTCCGATGGTTTCAGCCTGTCAGAACCACCCAGAGGGGTGCTGCCACCAACATCAGCACCCATGAACCCCCTTCCTTGTATTCAACCACAGCCACCTTTCAGGATTCAGCATAATGTTGGCTCCATAAACTTTTTCTAGTTTACTCAGCTAACCCTGAATGCTAATTCTACAACTTCATGTTTTTTGGGCGGTTGTTTGTTTCTTCTGGTGGGGGGCTGAGACAGAGTTTTGCTACATAGCCCAGCCTGGCCTTGAACTCACAGCAATCCTCCTGCCTCAGCCTTCTAAAGAAGTGCTACAATTATAGGCATGCACTACCACCCTCGGCCTAATTTTTTTTGTGTGTGTCTTTTTCGTTTTTATGGGTACCAGGGATCGAACTCGTGACTGCCTGCTTGCAAGGCAGGCGCTTATGCCGCTGAGCTAAATCCCCAGCCCCTCCTCGGCCTAATTTATGTTTAGTATTTGTTAATCCCCTTCATTCCTCTTCTGTTATTTTTTCTTCTAACTCATTGAGTTCAGTATTTTATCTTCACTCTTAATAATAATAACAATTAAAACTATACATTCATGTCTGATTACAGCTTGGAAACTATTCTCTAAATTGGGATGTATAATATTTCTTTCTTTCTAAATATTATGTCATCAAAGTTTATGGTTACTTTCAACTAAAAGAATTTTAGGAGGTTTTTTTTTTTTTTTTTTTTTTTTTTTTTTGAGAGTGTCTCACTACATGACCCAGGCTGGCCTCAAACTCAGCTGTGTAACCCAGGCTGGCCTTGAATTCATGATCCTCCTACTTCAGCATCCCAAGTGCTAGGGTCATAGTGTGCACCACCACATATGGGTAGGGTTTTTGTTTTGTTTTTTATATGTGTTTTGTTTTGTAGCACTGAGGATGAAATCAGGGGCCTCAAGCATGCTAGGCAAATACTCTACCCCTGAGCTAGACCCCTTGGTATCCCGGTTTAAGATATTAAAGAGGTAGAATCTGGTTGTTTGCCTGAGAGTGCTGGGTCATCTGGACACTCTAACAATGTGATTTATGTTGGAAGCTTTGGGTCCTTTGACTTGAAGTTTGAGGTCAACCACATGGCAATCAAGTCAAAACTATGCAAGAAGCCCTGCTGAGACTGAATTATGTTCCCTCAAAGTTCATATGCTGAAGCTAACTCTGATCCCTAACGTGACTGTATTTGGAGACAGGACCTTTAAGGAAGTAATTAAGGTTAAATGTTTAAATGAAGTCATTAGAGTAGGGCTCTAATCCAATAGGTTAGTGTCCTTGCAACAAGAGAGAGAGAGTACGGTGTGGTGACACAAGCCTATAATCCCAGCGCTCTGGAAAACTGAGACACCAGGATCAAAAATTGAGCCCAGCCTGAGCAATTCAGAGACTTAGCAAACCTTGTTTTAAAGCTAAAAATAGCAGTTATACATGGCAGATGAGGCCCATTCACCTCATGAGGAGGTAGAAAAGAGAGAAAAGCAGCAGCAAGGTCACACAAGCCCCAGGGGACCCCACTTCTTAAAGGACCCAGCACCTCCCAATAGTGCAACACTGAAGACCAAGCCTTTAACACTCAGCCTTCACTACAGGTGAGGTGAGTTTCTGTAGGGAGGACTATGCTTTCTCCAGCTGAACAAATGGTCAGTACCCAAAACTGGTGTCAGAAATCAGGGAAGCCATACTACATTTTCAGGGAAGATAGTACATTTACTCTAATTTCAGAGTCAGAGACTTCTAAGTTGCCGAGAACTCTTTACATAATATATTTGTGACCTCTCCCCCAAAAAATATTTTTATGAATTTCGGGCCTGCATTATGAACTGAATATGAAGGTCATACATTATTTACTGTGGGATGCTCCAACATTTTAAATTCTAAAATGTAATTTGCTGCTGGGCATGGTAGCACATGCTTGTAATCCCAGCACTCAAGAGGCTTAGGCAAGAGGATTTCCAGGAGTTCAGGGCCAACCTAGATTATATAGTGACTTCAAGTCCAGCCTAAACTATATAGCAAGACTCAAAAAAAAATTTTTTTAGATATAAATTTTATTTTCTTTTAAATTTTTGTAAATATTTAGGCACTATTTTGTTTTTTAGGCCCAAGATTACACACAATCACACTTTTTTCGGTCAAACTATGTTATAAAAATTCTTTGTCATTTATTCCTCTTTAAAAATATCAAAGTCTGAGTATAGAATATTAAGTTCTCCTATAAGTGGTTTTCCTTTTCTTTGCTCCTACCTTTCTCTGGTAATTTTCCTAGTAAGATCTTTATAGATTTTGAAACTCTATAATATTCCCATACTACATTTTCAGGGAAGATAGCACAGACCTGAGCCGAGGCAAATATTTAAAGAAGGTCCTATTATAGGTGGGTGTCCTTCAGAATCAAAGAGGGGAATCCTACTGACCCTGACCTTCCTTAAAGGGTAGAATTGGGCACCAATGGTCTTCGCTGAGCTGTGGCTGGTTCACAGGTGGCCACAGGATCCCTGGGCTTGATACACAGCAGATGCTCGGAAGTACTTGCTGGGAATGGGCAGATCACTGTGCACAACTTACGGAGCAGCAGTTCACCAGCCACGTCCCCCACCAGCCTGGAATTTAGGGCACTCAGTAGAGGTGAATAAAGACATACCCATCACCGAAGTCCCAGCGGTAGAGAAAGGAGGCTGACTTGAAGAAGTTGCTTGGGTCATGGTGGAAGAAGGAGATTTTCAAGACTGTCTTGGTGAGGTATGAGCTGGGCCAGGGCAGGGAGGTATTCTGAGAGACCACGATTTTTCCTATGAGGAAATCTGGGAAAGACAGGGGAAGGGTGAGTCTGTGGAAGTGCAGGGAATGAAGAGCCTGGAGTGACATTATGGGCAGCTAGTGAGGCAGCTCTCCCAACCTGGATCTTTTGGCTGCCAGAGCTCGCTAGAGAAGAGTCCTGCAGGGACCCTAACACAGAGGCCTCCACCTCCTGCCCCTGCTGTCTGGGGACTGGCGAAGACCCATGGTGTATGCTCCTCGCACAACTTCTGCTTCTGATCCCTTTCACCAGGACCCTGAATTTTCTGGCACAAAAGACACCCAGAATGCACAGGATTTGAAAAAAACTTGGGGAAATCCCATTGGCCCTCCATACCCAGGGGTTCTCCAGGGGCAGATTTAATCAACTGTGGGTAGAAAATACTTGAAAAACATTGCCTCAGTACATGCACAGACAGTTTTCTTGTCATTCTCTAAATGATACACTGACAACTGCTTACACAGTATTATATCAAGTATTGAAAGTCATCTAGGGAGAAAAGGACATGGGAGACTAGATGTAGGTTATGTGCAAATACTACACTATTTTATATAAGCAACTTGAGCATCAACAGATTTTAGTAGCCATGGAGGTGAAAGGTTAATCCTTCACAGATACCAACGCATGATGCTCTTTTCTTTTCCTCCCTCTTGTTCTTCTCCTCCTCTCTCCTAGAATTGGGGGTGGAATCCAGGGCCTTTTCACTGAGCTACATCCCCGGTTCTTTTTTATTTTGAGAGACAGGGTCTTGCCAAGTCAGCTCGGCTGGGCTCAAACTTACTATCCTCTTGCCTCGGCCTCCCAGAGTACTGGAATTACATGTGCACACTACCATGCCCAGCTGGATGACTTTACTTCAAACTGGTACCTAAGCCTAGGTAAGGGCACAGTTCTAAATTCTACTGACTGCATTTCTGCTCTCAATGTGCTGGGCTGAGTCAGGCCACTGCTCTAAGTCTCATTTTCTGATGGAAGAAAACAAACCAAAAAAATGTTTTTTTACAAACAAAAAAATAAATGCTGATTTTTTTCCACAACAAAAGCAGAAAATACAATGTACTCAGTCTCAAAAGCAGAATAGGACAAGTTATCACTTGAACACTACCAGTGCTAATGTTTTGACACATTGCAAATTAGGTGTGGATGTGTTAATGTGTATATATATGTGTGTATTAACACAGCTTACTGCAGTGGTCCAACAATTCTGTGCTTTGGGTTTTTTTGTTGTTGGTGGTGGGGTTTTTTTTTTTTTTTTTTTTTTTTGGTGCTGGGGATCAAACTCACGACCTTTGTTTGCCAAGCAGGCACTTACGCTGCTGAGCTAAACCCGCAGCCCAGTTTTTTAATATGTAATTTTACAAGCATGAATATTTACTCAGGACATTGCAAAGTCACTGTGAATGTCCTTAATAGTTTCAAAAATTAACAACGTATTTAACCAATCCTAATGGCTTTGTACTTACCTTGTTTATATCTTTTGTATTATAAAGTATTGCTTCAATCAAGGTTGAGTTCCAGAAAATAAACTCATTATTAAACAATTAAGCTTTAAAACAATAAATAATATGCTTCAAAAGAGCAAGAAGAGGTTTGCGGCATAAGTGCCTGTCTGGCAAGCTCAAGGTCATGAGTTTGATCCTCAGTACCAGAAAAAAAAAAAAAAAAAAAAAAGGAGCAAGAAGGAAGGAACCTGTTGAACAGGGAAAGAGAGGAATTGAGAGAGAAAGAAAGCGAGTATGGTGGGAGAGACAGGAGAAAGAATCAGTAAACAGGGTTGGGAGTGTAGCTGTGTTGTTTGTGTAGCATGCACAGAGTCCTGGCTCCCATCCCCAGTACTGCAAAAGGGAAAAAAATCAGTAAACAAATGATCAGGTCAAAGACTAGAATTTTATGTATTGACCAAGTGATCTCTAAAGGATCCTAATTTATATCCCTGGTAGCAATATCTACTTTAACTGTCCGTTTCATCCCAAGGCTGCCAGCAGGAGGTATTACCCTTTCTAATCCTTCCAACACAGCCAATAACAGAAGCGATCCCGTGGGTATAGTTTGCATTTCTGTGGTGACGAGTGAGGCTGAGTTTTTTCTCTGCAGGTAAATGAACAAATAGAAAAGATGCTCACTTGTGATGGGGAGAGTGACAGCACTCCGGGCCAGCTGATGGCACATCCAGCAGTTGGCAGCAGTGACCCAGACAGAGACCGGGAAGTCCCCAGGCGCGTTGCTCACCACACGGATAGTTGAGCTAAGGTCCTTCTCCACCTTGCTGGTGAGCATCAGTGGGGTGTGGACCCAGTGGAAGCGGCAGACGTGGGTGTCGGCAGGCAGAGCCAGGCTGCCATTGTCTTTGGCCACCAGGCTGGCTGAGACGGTCACCTCTGTCCCCGTGGTGGCTGGGCCATCAGTTGTAAGGCTGAGTTCATAAAGATCTAGGAATCCAGAAGTAGACTGCGTTACAAGACGGGCTATGGCCAGGAACCCCTTGGCCTCCACTGGGCCAGCTCCGTGATACCACACTGGTCCCTCTTATTAGCACAGGTTAGATTCCAAAACCCCCAGTGGAAGCCTGAGACTGATGTCAAACTCTGTTTACTATGTTTTGCCTATTTCTACATACCTATGATAGTTTAATTTACAAATTAGCCACAGGAAGAGATTAGCAACAGTATATAATAGTAAAATAGAACAATTATAACAAATCTAATGCAAGGAAAATTAGATGAACCTTGTTGGAGACCACTACGAAGCAGCGCTGAACAGAATTTAAAATTAACTAATGGACTTCAGCTTTCTATGTTTATCTGTGAGTCTGTCCTAGGCCTAGGCCCCTTGCATGGTGATGGGAGCTGATTCACAGTAAGTGAACTTCTATGAGTCACTGGTCCTGGCTGAGGCATGTAGTGGCCTGTGAGGCCAGAGATACCTCAAAGAGCAAGATAAGGCCACCACTGAAGACACTGTGGCTCCAGTAAGTAAATAGAGACTGCAGCTAAAGGAATTTCATCCCTGCAGTCTCAGTCCTACCATAAATATTATCCTGAAGACAGTTCTCCTACATTGGCATAACTTACTACTTGGAGAAGTCTTTGAAGTGACTCCCAAGGTCCTGCTCATTTCCCACACTTTCCTCAGTTTCCCTGCCTTTTGTTTTGGACCTAATAAATATGAGTGGTCCAAAGAAGTCTTTGTCTTAGCCCTCAGAGTCCCAAACTCAGCTAAAGGATTTTGATCCTCCTGGAACCCTAAAATCATACCACTTGTCTCATTTTATTTAAGCCTTTGCCATACACTCATTTGGGAGATTGGGGATCTAGGTCAGGATCCGATAGAACATAGCCTCTGTCCTCTCAATATACTGTAGAGCCTGGCATAGTCCCCCATGCCTATAATCCTAACCTCTGAGACGCTGAGGCAGGACTGCCTTCAAGCCCCGCTCAGACAACTTAGGAAGATCATGGTTCAAAATATAAAAATAAATAAAGGATTCGTGATGTAGCTCAGTGTAAAGGACCTGGGTTCAGTACCTGCTACTAAAAAAAAAAAGTGGCATTTTTACCCTCCCACCACTGTACATCGGAGGATTACTGACAAATGCCTATGCCCGTGGACCATAGGCAAATGAAACCTTGAAAAGTAAAAGCATGGATAGGGGAGAACCAATGTATTCTATTTTACCCAAGGAGAAACTGAGGCTCAGGTACCTCAAATGAATCGCCCAAGGGTCACACATAACTCAAAGTCTGATTGACTCCAAATCACACGCTTTTTTTTACAGGTATCTTCAAGTTAGTTCCTTTCCTCGCCAGACAACCAGAGCCTCATCGAGCACATGTAATGGCTCAGTCTGACCTGAGCAGACTATACCTGGACAGTGATGGCTTGTGTTCACTGAAGGGGCCTCTGTCCCTGTGGAACAAACCCTGCCAAGAAACACCCCTCATCGTGTTCATTTGGACCAGGCTTTACATGTTAGCACAATTCAAGTTTGAAAGGTGAAACTGAGGAAGAGACAGGGCCATTGCCCTGAGTCATTATTCTTCAACTCTTTTAGCCAGCTACATATTTTATCAAATAAGTAAGGTAAGATTTCTCCATCGTATTGGGGATTGCACTGTGTGACACCCCCATCCCATTTTTTATTTTCTCAAAAGTTGAGATAAGGTCTTAAGTCACTCTGGTTGGTCTGGGCCTTGAGATCTTCCCGTCTCATCCCCTGAGAGCTGGGATAATACGGGTATGTACTATCACATTGGGCCACAGGTAAGATTTTAAAATAAGATTTATTTCCCTTAGAATTAACCCTGTTAGAGCTAGAAGGCCTTGACAGTGGCAGAACAAACTTTGGGAAGGTCTCCTCTGATCCAGAAACGAACATTTTTCCCTCTTGATCTTGCTTCTAACTTTATAAAGTGAGAGGTTCTAGTTCCACATCATTCAGAATGGCAGCCAAGGCTTGTCTGACTATGGCTGTCAGTCAAATTAAAAAAAAAAAAACAGAAAACCTATTTTCTCACGCAAGTCACATTTCCAGTGCTCAGTACCTATACATGGCTAATGGTCACCCTAGTGGACAACAGAATATTTCATTAGCTCATCTCCAGGATTCCTGCAGGGCCAACACTGGAATTTCATGATTCCAGCTGAGATAGCCCCTTGGAGAAACTGACCAGAAATGTGTCAGTGTTCTTCAGGAACCCTGGAGACCATTCTACATGTTACAGGCAGGGAACTGGGATTTGAGCATAGGATAGTGGCCAGGTGGGGGCTTTAACATCTTCCTTCCACCACAGTGAAGGTAAGATTAATTGTAAAACATCTGAAAACAAAAGTATAAAATATTTCCTGGCATGGTGGTACCTGGCTAAAATCCTAATACTCAGAGAGGCTGAGGCAGGAGGAGTCAAGTTGAAACCCAGCCTGGGCAACTTAATGAAAATGTGTCTCAAAATTAAAAATTAAGAAAACAGCTGAGGATGTAGCTCACTGCAAGGCCCTAGATTCAATCTCTAGGACTGCCAATTTTTTTAATATTAAAAATTGAGATAGTTAATAGCAGCTATTGTTACTATTTGTTACTTACCATATACAAGTCACCCCTCGGTACTGTGGGGAACTGGTTTGAAGACTCACCCATGGATACCAACATTCGTGGGTCCTTTTTTTTGTTCTTTTTCTTACTTGTGTGGTTAGGGATTGAACACAGAGCCTATGCCCTGAGCTACATCCCTATCCTGGTTTTTGGTTGGATTGGTTTTTTTTTTTTTTTTTTTGATACAGGGTCCTGCTAAATTACTAAACTGCCCAGGCTGGGCTCAACTTTGTGATCCTCTCACCTCAGCTTCCCAGAGTGCTGGGATTACAGGTGTGTGCCACAACTGCCTTCAAGTCCTTATTTAAATTGGTGTAGCACTTACATATTTCCCGTCCACATCCTCCACATCCTTCAGTCATCTCTACATCACTTATGATATGTGATCTAAAGACTATGTAATTGGGCTGTACTGCTTAAGGAAGATGACACAAACAACTACTCTGTACATATTCAGTACAGATACAACTTTTACTCAGTATTTTTGACCCATAGTCAGTTGAATCCAAGGAATGAAGAACCTATGGCTATGAAGAACTGTGTGTATTTTTCAAATTATGCTCTTTATATGAAATGATAAGATTTCATTTTTTTCAATTATGTATTGTGGGCATTTTCCTGAGTAATTACTCCAACTTTTTAAAGAATTTTACTTTTTGTTTTTTGAGATAGGGTCTCACCATGTAGCCCAGGCTGAACTCAAACTAATGGTGATCCTCCTGCCTCAGCCTCCCAAGTGCTGGGATTACAGGTGTACACCACCATGCCCAGCAATTGAACTATGTTAGACAGCATAATATTTTATATAAATAGTTAAGATTGTAGGGGACTGGCTTTTTTGTTTGGTTTGTTTTGGTTTAGTACTAGGGATTGAATCCAGGGTCTTTGCACTGAGCCACATCTCCAGCCCCCTTAAAAAAATTTTTTTTTTTCAATTTTAAACAAGGTCCTGCTAAGCTGCCCAGACTGGGCTGGAATTCATAATCCTCCTGTTTCAGCCTCTGCTAGAATTGAAATTACAGACAGGGGCTGGGGATTTAGCTCAATGGCATAAGTGCCTGCTTGGCAAGCATGAGGTTGTGAGTTTGATCCCTAGTACCAAAAAGAAAAAAGAAAAAAAAAAAAAAGAAATTACAGACATATGTCACTGTGTAGTTACTAAAAAATTTTTCTGTGTGTCTTTTTCATTTTTATTGGTACCGGGGATCGAACTCACGACCGCCTGCTTGCAAGGCAGGTGCTTATGCCGCTGAGCTAAACCCCCAGCCCCCTGAAATTTCTAATATCAGGTTTTCATCAAATAAGTAATACATATGCATAAAGAATATTAGAACTAAAATGGATTTGGGAAAAAAACATTAAAACTTCCCCACTGTCCTACCTTTCAAAGACAACTGTTGTTGTACTTTTGACATCTTTTCCATGCACAGAAAATTTTCCCACAGTCACATCACACACTGCACTCAATTTTGAATTTTTTTTATTTTCACAGGATAACACATCAAAGGCACAAGTGTGACTGCACTGACACCATCAGGTATTATCTAATGCACACAGCCCTCACACTTGCCGACAGTGCTCTGCGCAGGTGTGCGTGTAGCACTGTTCTTTTCATTGGGTTCTTCCTGCAGGTGAGATTTCTGCAGGGCGTGATGTCGGAGAGTATCCAGGGCCCAGGGAGGAAACTGCATGACCTAGGCAGACCTGGGCAGAAGGAAGAGGGGGAAGGCTGCAAGCCCCATCCCGCCCCCTCACACGTATCACCTTCCCCACCAACTCATGCTGATAAGAGCCAGTGACAGAACTGCTGTTGGGCTCTAGGCCCTTCACCGGGCAATCCTCTGGGTACTATGTAATTAAACTCAAATTACCCAAATTTGATTGCTCAAATTTAAGTAAAACTAAAAATTCTTTTTCTTGATCACACTGGCCACATTCCAAGTGCTTTACAGCCACATGTGGTTGAGGCTACTCTCAGACAGAGTATTTCTATCCTTGAGCACCTGATTAACCAGTGCTAGCCTAACCCTCTGAATTTCTTCTTTCCCCTCTCATACTGTGTTGTGTCCATCTAGCCCAAGAATCAATCCCCAGAAGAACATGGTGATATGCATGTATAACATCAGAACTTTGGAAGGCTGAAGCAGAATTACTAGTTTGAACCCAGCCTGAGTAATTAGTGTAAGACTCTATCTCAAAAAATAAAAATGAAAAATAAAAAAAAAAATAAAGGAAAGGGCTAGCAGATACGGCTCAGCGGAAAGGCACTGAGTTCAGTCCCCGGTATGGGGGTGGTGCTCAGTCATCCGCCTGGGCATCTCCTTTCTTCTCCACCACCACTTACTCCACTGCTTACGGGCAGCATGCAGGGGTCTGAATTGCTGCTCCACGGTGGCCCCTGGCCTCCAGTGCCACCTCCTCAATGATCTTCTTACATACTTAGTCTGGTAATGGACCAGCCTTAGTTGGGGGGAGGGCAGGTTCACATCTTGGAACATCCATGCTCTAGCCAGCTACTTACCCTTCATGTCCCCACGTATGCTCTGCCCTTTCTAGTCTCACTGCTAGAATACCCTTCTCTGCCAATCTGTCCATGGGAGTAGCAGCTTCTAGAAGTCTTCCCTCTACCCTTAACCCTCAGAGCTCTCCAGACAGCCTGAACACACTGCTGTCACAATTTTACACTGAACGAAGATTCCCTCTTCTCCCGAGGTGCTCTGAACTCACTGAGGACTGGGGTCATTTCCTGCTCCCTTATGAACAGCATAATTCCTGGCACACAGTTGATGTTCAGCACTGCTGCCTCTGAGGGACACTTGGAGGGTAGAGTGTGGCACAGGGACCAGCCACATGGTGCCGGCTCAGGAGACTGTTTACCCAGGTGCTACCAAGTCCCTTCTGTGTGCCCAGTTCCACAGGGGCTGGGGAAACCCAAAAATGCAGAACCTGGTGGACCATATTTGTCCTCAAGTATGTCCCATTCACCACTCAGCAATATTACTTACTGCCACTATGGACTTCAGCTTCAGCCTATCCTGTCTTAATCCCTTTCCTTCAGTGTCAGGTCTTGAGTTATAAAGCCATTTGAGTCAAGATGCCAATGGTTGGTCACTTTCAAGGAAATGCTGGTACTGAAAAAGGGACTTGCATTAACTCCAAAGACAGAATTCCAGGTACTATGGTAGAAACTGCACCAAGCTAATACAACAGTGTGTATATTACACAGGGGATCCAAGGTCCACATGGGCCACTGCTACCATGCAGATTTATCCCACAGTCTGTACCCCCAGGACTGGGCTCCATTCTTCCTCCTTTTGGCTGTGAGCCTTGCTTGGACAAGAGGCCACCTCCTCCCTTTTCACTCTGTTCTCTCATCCTCTGCCCCTCACCCAGTCAAGAAGTGTGGGCCAGAGTGAGGCTGACAAGTGCCAGGAACATTCGGCAGCACGCTAATGGCCATCTAGCATCTGCAGTGAGATGGGCGCATGTCAGCACCGTGCAGATCCGTTGCCAGGGAGATGGAATCAGGGGGGCAGTTGTCTGGGTTGCAAGAAGAGATAGATGGGGATAGTGAGGGGCTATGGCTGCTGCAGATATGGCACAAATGCTGGCCCAGCTCATGGGAGCCTCCCTAGCTGCCCTGCTATAAGGAGGCTGCAAGGTCATTTTGCTTAGGTTGGATTTGGAGAAACAGGCATCTCAGAGCCCCCAGGGCAGTGGTGGCAAGGCTTGTAGAGCTTTCAGTGATACCAACAGCCCACTGTAGCACACCTGCCACAGGCTCCAATCTCATCACCATTGCCATAGGGGATGCTGCCCTTCCTTCTCCCCCAGGGCTTTTGGAATTGTCCAGGCATCAGGGCTGAAATGGACCATAATGGTCTTGCCAAGAGTGGCTGAAGAAATCAAGCCAAGGCCTGGGGCTGAACTCATTCAACTTCATCTTTCTAAGCATGCAAGCTGTGGTAGCTCAGCCTAGTAGTACAGAGCCACCAAGGAATGAGCTTGGAAGGATTCCACAGGTGACCCTAAGTGATCTAGAACTAAAGGGGCCAAAGCAGAAAGGAAGGGACAACTGTCCCAAAAGCCTGCTCTGGAAAAAAACACCTACCAGGTCCCCAAGGTTTCCATTCAAGAGCAAGCAACCTTTCCCACTACACAGGATGTGGGAGTCTTGAACATTCTAGAAGATGGCTACATCAGCCCTTTCACATAGCATATACAGTCCAAAGCCTTTCCAAAGAGAGCTCTGATATGTAGATAACACAGACTAGAATTAATAAACAACCCAGGGCATGGCCTTCTGCCTTACAGAGCACTGGTGTAAGGCAAATTCAGGCAGAATGACCATAACTCCAGGAAGGGTAAAAAGGCTTTTAAGCGTCTACATTCTTCCTATGGGTTTGAGAGAAGGTATGTTCCCCAACCCAGTCTTTGCTACTGTAATTCTGACAGTATCAATGGGGCAGTCTACTAGCAGCAACTACCCATGATTTTTTTTTTACAACTTAGAATACATTATTAATTTCTTTTCTTTTTGATACCGGGAATCGAACTCATGACCTCGCACTTGCCAGGCAGGTGCTGTGCTGTTGAGCTATATCTCCAGCCCATATTGCTAATTTCCAGTGCATGTAACCCTCCTCACAGACTACAGCTATAGCACTAATTTCCAGTGCTTGTAACCCTCACAGACTATGGCCCAGCTCATGGGAGCCTGCCTAGCTGCCCAAGTACAAGTGGATCCAAGGTGGATCCTGCCCAAGTACAAGTCCCACAAAATTCTAATTCATGCCTAAAATGAAGGTTTTTAGTTTACCTTGTGGCGTTTCACAAGTTTCCATCAGATCCCCTCCTTTCCTTACCAGTTTTAAGAGAGGCAGATTATATGAATAATGAAAAATGTTGAGTATTATTTATCCCCATCCCACCTGTCCTTGACAACTTCTAATCTGGGTGTTTTTATTATTCCCAAAATGTGTTGAAAAGGTTGGTGCCAGCCTCGCGGTGGTAGGAAGGTGTGTACAGCGTGGGGCCCTTGAGAGCCTGTCCATTTGAGCCCATTTTGGAAATGACGCACAGAGAGGAAATGGCAGACTGGCCCTCTTGGCTCTAAATCTCACCCCACCCCCTCCTCAAACCAGCACTAGCTGAATGTCAGCTTCCCCAGATAAGGGGACATCTTGAGGCAGAAAAGCTGCCCCGAGGGCAATCTGTGTTCCCTGAGGAGCTGTGTCCCACCCCAGCCTCTCCTTCTTGTAGTCCAGCGGGTGCCAGGTCCCCAGGCATTGGGAGAGATGCCCCAGCCACCCCTTGCGCTTCTCGGGGCAGCACCGACCCTAGAGGAGAAAGGAAGCAGGCATCGAAATGGGCAAGGGAGACCCTCAAGTAACGGAGAGAGTTGGGGGGAGAGGGACCAAGAAACAAAAGGGAGAAGAAAAAGCATCGCTGAGCCCTATTGGCCTCCCATTTTCTCTAGGGCTACCGCAGAGGCCTGGGGAAAGGGTGCGGGGAGGACCCAGCGAGCTCCTGGTAGCCGGGTCGCCTTACCTGCAGCCACCCTCACCGGGGCCAAGGGCAGGAGGCAGGCAAGCCAGAGAACGCGGCCTAAGCGAGCGCGGATGGCGAGAGCCATCGCAGGAGGTGCGCGAAGCAGAAGGCGCGGGGCTCCAGCTCCAAGGCTGCTCTCCCCGGCGTGCGCGCGGGCTGTGCGTGGAGGTGCAGGCGCAGCGCTCGCTCGTCCTCGCCAGGGTACACCGTGTCGCTGCGCGTCGCCGCCGCCGCCCACAGCCCGCCGCGCGACCCCTGCCGGATCAGCCAGTCTGCTGTGCCGCGCCCCTTCCCCGCGTCGGTCCCCTCCTCTGATCTGCTTCGCCTCCCTGCCTTCCCCACCCACGCCCCCTCCGTTCCCCCACCAAGTCCGTGCCCGCGCGCTGTGACTCAGCGTCCCTAGAGGCGCGTGCAGCACCGCAAAGCCGCGTGCAGGACGCCTGGGCCTTTCCAGGTATGTCCAGATCTTAAGCTTGCAGTTTTTCATTCAATAAACACCTAGGTCCTGCAGTATGCCAGAGGGCCAAGATAAGGAATGATCATGTTGCCAATCAGCCTAGTGAATGAGCAAAGGGCATCTCTGCTAGCAATCCTTATGTCACCAGATGACAACAGGTAATCCTGGATGCCAGCAGTTGACAAATAGCTGCTGATCACTGCTACCACTGGCCGATGCCAATCCCACCTCTGGTCCCTAAGTGTTTGTGATTCTTTAAAAACCAATCGCTGTGTGTGCTTAGTTCACATTGCTGGAAACTACAAGAGCACCACTGTGTTTTCTAGTGTAACCAGGCCTGCGCTGCAGCACAGGGAGGATGAGTACACTGGCGGGAAGTCTCCGAGAATAAAACCTACAAGTTCCTGGGAAGTGCTACTTATGTAGCAACTTGCAGATCTGTTTCAGGGAAGGCAGAAACTAGGGAATCTTCTGGAAGACACGCTGAGAACGCTGAGTCTATAAATAAAGGGCCCAGCCCCCTACCTTTCTGATCTTAGACCCCCGAGGGTTCCCTCTCAGTTCTTCAAAGATGCAACAGTATCTTTTGAAGTGGCAGAAGTGGGGGAGGGACCCCACACTGACTGGCTGCACTCACCTTGGAGTGGGGAATGATGGTTTGCTAGCCCAGGAGGACGCTGAAACAAACCGTCTGTGTCTATTAGAGTGTAAGGGGGAGGAGCAGACATGGCTGGCTAAGTCACCCTCCCCCTCAGCTGTGCAGGGAGAAGAGTCGGTACTTCTTTGTATCAGTAATACTGCTCCCTAGTCAAAGCAAATACCTCCAGCTGCCCTTATAGTAGAGAGTGAGTTTTTCCCAGAAGCCGGGTTGGGCCTTTGTGGCCTAGGAACTGGTCTCACTTGTGCCTGGCAGGCACAACGGATCATAAGTACATAACCCATTGCATCAAGATATTTAAGTCCATGCTACCTGTCTCTGGAACCGCTGTGGGCTCCCTGAGGATGGGCTCCACCACATCTGCGACCTTATGTAAATGGGGGTGGGAGGAACAGATTTGAGCAGTCCCCTTTAGACAGTGCTAAAAAGTGCAGGGGGGCATGGTGGTCCCACAACTTCAAGAGGCTGAGACAGGACAATCACAAGTTTGAACCCAGCTTTGGCAACTTAGTGACCTACTGAAACCATTCTTCAAAATAAGGGTTGGGTAAATGCTCAGTAAAAAGACCCAGAGTTCAATCCGTGGTACCACAAAGAGAAAGAAAGAAAGAAAAAAGTTGGTCCATTTGGATTACCATTTCTAACTGCCTCGTATCTGATACATACTGGCCCCTTTGGCTGTTTTTATTGACATTATCTTATGTGATCCCCACAGTGACAGACAAATGGGACAGCCTGTCCCTTCCTAAAGTGGACACCAAAACAGACACTGAAGGTATCCTTACTACACCTGGGTCCAAACATCCAGACCACCTGGGTCTGAGACACAGGTACAGACTATAGGCAATAAAATTTCATCACCTGGCTAATTAAGGGGTTCATTAAATTTTGGGGGAATAGTGGAAAATTCAGACCTCTGATGTCTTTTTTTCTTTTTTCTTTTTTTTCCTTTTTCTTTTTTTTTTTTTTGTACCAGGGATTGAACTTGTGACCTCATACTCGCCATGGATGTGCTGTTGAGCTAAATCCTTGGCCCTCTGATGTCAACACTTGATTAAAACAAAATTCTTTCTGAAGCAGTTTACGTTGTCTGTTGCCAATCAGCATAGGGTACTTTTGCTCAATTCAGATGGAAATCATGAACCGGCAAAGTGTGTATCTGCTAGCAGTCACCAGATGCCACCAGGTAATGCTGGATACCAACAGTTGACACAGCCAGCCAGCCATTTATCAACGACACTGCCGGCTGTCACTATCTGACACTGGTTTGTGCTGAACACCATAGGCTGGAGGCCTCAACCACATAGTCTTCATTGGCTGTTGGTCTCTGAAACTCAGGTATTAACAGCTCTGTGTTTTTGTTTTTCTTTGGAAAAGGTTGTTCTGTCTACATCACTCAAGATAAAAATCCCAAGTACATTTATAGGACTTTTAGAGCCAATACCAAAGAATGAATCACAAGCAGGTTTACAGGCACACCAAGGTGATTTGTAACAAGGCCTGTGCTGCAGCACAGGGTGGTGAGCAGGCTCCTGAGCTAAAACCCAGAAATGCTACTTATGTAGCAGTTGGTAGACTTGTTTCAGTGAGGGTACAGGCTGAAACTGGACTCTTCTGGAAGGCTTGCTGTAAACAAGGGGCCCAGATATGTGCCTTTCTGATTTTAGTTACACTGGGATGTTCCAGTTCTCAAAATGCAACAGTGTCGACTGAAGTGCTGCAAGTAGGGAAAGCGGAACTACACTGCATCTCTGAACTCATGTTGATAGCTAGAGAAGACCTTCCTAGATAGCCATGGAAGAAAGATGCGTGCAAGGGAGAGCAAAGAAAAGCAAGGGACAGACAGCTGCTGGCTAAGACACACCATCGCCTCCAGCCAGCAGGGAAAATGAGAGCGCCAGGCATGTCTCCTGTCTCACTCATCACCTTTAGGAATAGAAGGGTAGCCGCCCTAGGGATTATATTCCTACCACAAATCCTCATTATCCTCTACTAGATGTGTGTAACATGGGACTGGTACTGAGCAGCTCCTGGGGCTTAGCTTTGGTGGCTAAATCCTATGGTAGGTTGCAGGAGTCAACATGGAATTTAGGGAGAGATGTTTTTGAATTTTTATGATTTCAGGTTTGGACTTCAGCTCTTTCAGGGCAGCTGAAGTCCTTAGACATAAGGATACCTAGTCACCCTGTTGATACCTGTAAGAGATCTTAGAAGGATTTGTCACAGTGGAAAATTGTTTGCAGAGATGGAAGTCATAAGGTCAACCTCCTGGAAATTCAGTGTCGAAGTTACTTTTCTCCTTGCTAAGACAAAATATTCAACACCCAAAGTTAAAGGAGGAAACTTTTCTTTTTCTTTCTTTCTTTCTTTCTTTTTTTTTTTTTTTTTTGAGGAAAGTTTTATTTGGCTCACAGTTTATAGATGTTTCAGTCCATAGTTGGCTGGCTTCATGGCAGAAAGACATCACTGAGAAGAAATAGTCCTAGGACAAGTGGGCAGAAAGAGCCATTATCCCTCTTTCTGTCCCTTATACTTTTTTTTTGTTTTGCAGGTTACACCCTAGGGTAGTTGTAGAAATCACTCCCTTAATCCTGGCCAGAACTATGCCAAACCAAGATTAATTAGTTCACTGCTCTTAATCTCAATCTCAGGTAGTCTCTGGACATCAGCAAGATGAAGATAAACTTTCTGCCAAGCCATAAAACACATTGTCTGGAGTCCAACAACCAACGCAGTCCTTCTCAGCAGAAACCTCCTGAACCTGGTCTTTACCAACATAATTTTTATCAGTATTTTAGTCTTCTGAGCTCTGACCAGAATCTCCCATCAAATACAGCCTAAGGTCTAATAAATAAATAAATAAAGAAAGAAAGAAAGAAAGCTCTATTTTTTGAATCAGCATCTGTAAATCTTTCCTATTGTTTCCCCTTCCCACAATCCAGCTCCAAAGTCTCTTAAGCCACATAGTTAAATACAGTCACAACAACAATTCCATGCCTGGAACCAAATTCTTATTTTTCTCATTGCTGAGACAAAATATCCGATACCCAAAGTTAATAAGGGAAAGTTTTATTTGGTTCACAGTTTGTAGAAGTTTTAATACATAGTCAGTTGGTTCTATGATAGATAGGGGACATGAATGAGAAGAAACAGTCCAGAGCAAGTGGTCAGAAAGAGGTCATTAGCCCTCTTGCTGTCCAATATGTGCTTTTGCAGGTTACTCACCCTAGAGTGGGTGAGCGCTCCCACATTTTATCCTAGCCCGAACTATGCAAACCAATCAATGGGCTGACTTACTAACCACACACCCTTGATCTCAGCCCCACACTTTCTCAATACAGCCATCTCTGAGAAGCACTCGCACCACACCATGACTACATGGGGCTTTGGGGAGATATCTAGACACAAGATATCATCCAGTATTTAAGGGAAACAGGGGTTCCAGCAGGGCAGAAGATGTTGTATATGCGCCTTATCTTTTGTATTTGGGATTGAAACGTAGGCTTTTGCACTGAGCTACACCTCCAACCCTTTTTATTTTTTATTTTGAGATAAGATCTCCTAAGACACTAAATTGCCCACACTGGGTTTGACTATGAAGTCTTTTTGCCTCAGCCTCACAGAGTGCTGGAATTAAAGGCCTGTACAACCACATCTGTGCTTTTAACATTTCTGTGCCTTTCACTGCTATATACTAAAATTCTTTTCTGTGACAACAGTCAGGAACTGAAGTCCTCATCTCCACATTGGGGGAACTCCTCAGGCATTATCTAGTGACCAAAGGATTTTACCTACTTTTTTTTTTCTTTTTCAGACAGGGTTCACTATACAGTTCAGGTTGGCCTTGAACCCACTTTGTAGCCCAGGTTTGGCCTCTGAAATCACAGTAATCCTCCTGCCTTAGCCTCCCAAATGCTGGGATTACAGGCATAAACCACCACATTCTGCTATCTACCTACTTTTCTGTCTTCCTCAAACATTAAACAATTGTTAGAGACAGATGTTACCACATCACAGGTATGTAATCCTGGCACTGTGGGAGACTGAGGCAGGAGGATGACACTTTTTTTTTTTTTTTTTTTTGTCTTTTTAAAACAGGGTCTCGCTATGCAGCTCAGGCTGTCCTTGAGCTCACTTTGTAGCACAGGCTGGTCTCGAACTCACAACGATTCTCCTGCCTCAGTCTCCCGAGTGCTGGGGTTACAGGCATGAGCCGCCATGCCCAGCTTGAGGATCACAAATTCTAACCCAGCCTGGGCTACTTAGTTGTTTAGACCTTGTCTAAGGGGAAAGGACCTAGGGTGAAGGCCCTGTGTTCAGTTCTGAAACAAACAACAAAATTGTCAGCACATCGATTTTTAGTCCTCATATATTTCAGCTCTTTTTCCACTTTGGACCTTCAACTTTTTGGTGTGTTGGTGGGATTACAGAGGATTTTACTAAGAACAGTAAGCTTCTTCCCTGAGGAAGGAAATAATCGATGCTAAAAACATCCACTTGCAGCCCCAACATTTCAGGTGTAGCTTGTTTTGTGTCAAAGAGCATGTTTTTGGAAAAGGTCCTTTCTTCTAGGGTATCTGCAAGTCCTGCAAATTACCTCCTGCAAAGTGTGAAATGTAATCAGGGTAGGGATCACAAAGATACTGGTAAGTCAGTGGTGACCTGGCAGGGTGGGGGTGACATAGGAAGGTGCAGGAGGTGAAACTAGGCCCTGGAAGTGGTTGTCACCGTTTCTCTTTCATGCTCAGTGTTGGACAGTTTTTGATTATTTTTGGCATTCAATCTGAAGAAGCACAGAAAATGAGAGAGATAAGACAAAGTAGAAGGCCTTTAATGAGGGCATGGAAAAGCTTCCTGGTGTAGAGGGTATAGAAGCTCTCAACAAGAACAAAGAAGTGCAGTTACTTTTATCAGTCCTGGCTGGAGGAGGAGTTTGGTAAATCGGCAAAATGGCATATTAACTGATTTGAAGGAGCATCTGCCTGCATAAAACAGGAGACAGATTTACTAGGGGCTGGAGGTGGAGGCTTGGGTGGTTGTGGAGTCTTGGGCTTGGAGAGGGCTCCGCACATGTGCAAAAGGAAGCAGGAGGTTTATCTCTAGAATAAGGAGAATGTATACTTTTGAAGCGATAAGTTGTTTCTCTGGGTCAGGTACCAAGTTGGACAGATGTAGCTAAACCCAGGCTAGCAGAAGCTATCAGTTGTGTTAAGTGGGATCTGAGGGGGCAGTCAGACAACACTTTCTCCTTCAAGGCAAGTCTTGGCCATCAGATTGTTCCTCCCCACTACTCCGTTTTTTCATTGCTGTGAACTGGCCCAAAGCCAGGCTGTTTCTCTTGTTTTGCCATGGGTAGAGGGCATCTGTCAGCCAGGTAGGAGTGGACCGAAAGCCGAATTTCGTGGTCAATCCTCAAAGTGATGTAGCTGGAAGACAAATGGGTCTTTCTGGTACCCGGCAACTGCATGCAGCATACCATACTTTCTTTGCTAACAGGGTCTCAGTATATTTCTTTCTAAAGTACCCCTTGCATCTTCTTTGGCTCCTAAAGAAGGCTCCCAGGAAGGGAGAAAGGCTGATGGAATTCCGCTCTGCCGGTCACAAGCAGTCCAGGGTGAAATCCATCGGGACCACCCCAGCCGACTTGTGCAATCCCGGTATAAGCTCAAGCCTGGCTGGCCCCTATGAGGTGCTTTAGGGACACCAGAGGCGCAGGGAAACTCTACCGCCTCGCCCCACGGCCCCTTCCTGCAGCCCGGGGTTTAAAGAGCCTCCACCCCTCTCCCCACTGCGGGCTTCAGAGGACCCTCCTCCTCCCCTTCTACGCCTAGCCCAGCAGCCCGCCCAGGCCTCTCCCACTTAGGGGCGGTGCGCTGGGGCCTAGTTCTCGGTGGGCGGGCGCGGCAGCCGCTTTAAGCGGAGGCGGGACAGAGCGGAGCGGAGCGGCGGCTGCGGTGAGGGCTTCGCCCGGGGCGCGGGCCGGACTGCGGGAGGCCGGCGGCCGAGGTCTGGGTAAGCGCGCGCGGACGTGCGGCTCTGGGAAGTGTGCAAAATGCTTGGGCCTGAGGAGTCCTCTGTGCCGCGGCGGGGCCTCCAGACGGGGTTGTGTCCTGCAGACCCTCGCCGGAGCCACCCCAGGTGTAGGGGCTTAGGCGACCCTCAGGCCTTTGGCGTTTCTGGTCGATTCCGGGAGCAGGTGGCGGGAGGCGCAGGGTTAGTGGTGCGGGGATTGGCCCTCGGCGCTCTCCGTAGCGCGGCCTAAGGGGGCGGTCGACCGCGGAGTATCCCGGGACGGCGACAAAAGGAGGGAACCCAGGTGCCTTTTGGGGCCGTGGAGGGGTTGAGGTTGTGTTCCCGAGAGATGTCTCTCGGCTAGCCTGGCACCTCTCGGCCTCCATGCAGGCACCTGGCTTGTCGGGCGGAACGCGGAGAGCGAAGGTACGGTAGCGGCGACTACAGCGCCCTCTCGGGTCGGGCGGTGATGTCTGAAGCCAGGCTCGGGGCAGTCGGGGCGCAGCAGTTGGCCCTGGGCTTCGCGGTCCTCTCTTCACCACCTGGCCGGACGTGGTAGCACTGGCGGCCTCTCTAGGCTCCGGGTGGCTTTCCCATCGCCGAGAGTAATGGGATGTTTCCCCTCGTTGGAGAACTGGGAAACGGAGCCCGGCTTCTCTCGAGGGTCTCGGGAAATGACAGCGTTAATATGTAACATTAACACAAAAACAAAAAAAGATCGAGACTTTTTAAAAGTTTGGGCAAGACTAGGGGGATTCTTAGGGAGAAGCCATGACCCTGAGGCTTGGGTTCCAAGGGACGGGAATAAGGCTGTGGGGTCCTAGGTATCTGGAGGACGGAGTCGTTGCTCTCCTCTAGGTGACCTTAAGTAATTCTGCTCCTCAGGATGGGGGCTTTCTCGTGGGTGCTTGGAAGTCCTCTGTTCTTCAACATTCTTGGGCGGCTTCTTTGGGGAACTGTTTTTGGTGTCTCTGAGGACCCCTGTCATCAGTGGCAGTTGCAAGGAGTTTATGTTGAAAGGCCTGCAAGGGGTCAAAGAAAGAAACCAAGCCGCAGAACCACCTCTTCTTAATACGGAATGAAATTATGCGAGGAGGAGGGGTAAAAGCGATTTCACCAGATTCTGTATACTCTGTGCCATCTCTTAGAACAGAAACCCGAATTTTTGCCTATGTGTAAACTTGGAGCAGCAGTTCTCCAAAGACTTGTTTTCGATTCACAGAGATGCTTTTAAGGTGTATTGAACAAACACTGTTTGAGTGCCTGGTGATCCACAGCTGTAAACTAAACTTTAAGCTTCGTGGGACCGTCACGGCGGTCACAGTCACTAGTATAATGTTTAAGATATCCACCCTTGGCCTGTGATGATTTTGTTGTACACCAGTTTGAGAATCAGTCGCCTAGGGCAAGAGTTGATAAGCTGTTAGCAGATCAAATCCAGCCTACTGCTTGTTTTTACATAACTCGTAAACTAAGAATACTTATTTTTATTTTGATGCTTGAGATCAAACCCAGGACATCTTACATGCTTAACCACGGAGTTATACTTCCAGCTGCAAGGATGACTTTTGTGTTTTTTTTTTTTTTCCCCCTTCGGTACCGGGGATCAAACCGCCTGCTTGCAGGGCAGGTGCTTACGCCGCTGAGCTAAATCCCCAGCCCCCAACTTTTGTATTTTTTTAAGTGCTTGGAAAAATATGTCAGAGTATTTTATGATCAATGAGAATTATATGAAGTTCAGATTTCAGTATCCATAAATAAGGTTTTATTGAGACCCAGCTGTGCGCATTCACTTATGTGTTTCGTGTGAGTCCTTGCTGGCTACAGCAAGTAGTTGTGACAAAGACTACATAGCCACAAAGACTAAAATATTGGGGGCTGGGGATTTGGCTCAGCGGCATAAGCACCTGCCTTGCAAGCAGGCAGTTGTGAGTTTGATCCCCGGTACCGATAAAAAGGAAAAAGACAAAAAAAAAAAAAGACTAAAATATTTACTGTCTGGATCTTTACAGAAAAATATTTGCTAACCTGTGGCTCAGGGAAACAAATATAGTAGGAAAGAAAAGCTCTAAATTATATTCAGGAAAAATAAATTTGGGTAAATTTTATATTCATAAAAGTAGAATGCTTTTATTCCAGGTTAATGGAGAAGTTCCTAAGATTAGTACAGACATTTAGGTAAGATTTTTGTATAAGTTGAGAGCTCATGCCCTTGATAAATTGGCTTAACCTTGTATTACTTTTCATAGGCTGAATGAACTCATGGACCTGGTAGTTTTCTTTTGAGAAAGAAACCTGCTCAAAAGAAAAATGGCGTTTGTTGCAACACAAGGGGCCACAGTGGTTGACCAAACCACTCTTATGAAAAAATACCTTCAGTTTGTGGCAGCTCTCACGGATGTAAATACACGTGAGTTTATCCTTTTATTACTAAAGATGCATTAACATGACTGTTTAAATGATGTGTACATTGAGATAACAACGTAAGCTTTTGAAATCTGTCCTTTTTTTTTGTCCTGGGAATTGAACTCAGGACCTTATACTCACCACGTAGGCCCTGTGCCACCGAACTATATCTCTGGCCTCTGAATCCCTGTTTTAAGCCAGACTTAGTGGCACACATCTATAATCTCAGCACCTGGGAGACTGAATTGAAAATCGCTTCAAGTGTGAGGCCAGCCTTGGGCTACATAGTGAGTTCAAGGCCAGCCAACCTGTACTTCAAAGCAAGACCCTGTTGGAAACAAAGACTGAGGGGAAAAAAAATTCCTGTTTTTTAAATTTTTTTCCTCCTTACTTTGTGGAGAAGCAAAATGATGAGCAATTCTGGCTGGAGTCCCAAAAAGGCATGAGTGAGTGTGTGTGTGTGTGTATGTGTCTGTGTATATGTCTGTGTATCCTTGTCTGTGCATGCACACATGTGTCTGAGTCCAAATGTGTGTGACTGGTTTTAGGGAACTAGCTATGTGCCTTGTATTGGGCCATGACAGTAAAACTGATAAGATCTGATTGCTTCTCTTAAATTATTAAATCAAGAATTTTAGGGCCATCCTTTATGTAATTTGTTGCCTGATGGTTTGTTTTGTTGTTTACAGCTGATGAAACAAAGTTAAAAATGATGCAAGAAGTTAGTGAAAATTTTGAGGTATGAAATTTTTTATTTTTTACTTTTCTTTTTGAGGTAAATATTCATTTATGCTTTTTATTGCTGTTCTCTCAGTCTTTACCGATTTAAAAATCAGTGTCTTTGTTATTATAACTTTGTATTTTAAAACTAGTAAAAGATTTTGTTGGTAGTGTTGTTCATCTTCTAATGGTAATGAACCCTGACTGTTGAGAAATGTTGCGTTTATTTTGGTTGTTTTAAAATGTTTTAAAATCTTATGCATGTACTCTTGGGATGCATTCAACTTAAGTTGTGAGTTATATCTAGGTATGTTAAGTTGTGAGTTATATTCAGGTAATAATATGTTAGGGAATGAAATTTGGATGTCATCATTCCCCCCCCCCCTTTGGTGCTGGGGGTCGAACTCATGACCTCGAGCTTGCCAGAAACTAAATCCTTGGCCCTAGATATCATTTCTTACTGTAAGACATTAGCGAATACCAGATGTGGTGGCATATGTAATCAACACTCAAGAGGATTGCCACAAATTCGAGGCCGGCCTGGGCTTCATAAGGAGTTCAAGGCCAGCCTAAATGACAGTGAAATCTTGTCTTAAAAACAAAACAAAGACTTCTGTGACTTTGAGCAAGTAGTCTTTTTTTGGATCTAAAATGAAATGTGGTAGAAAATATGGCGTGTTTAAATAAAATATTTGTTATAGTAAAAGGCATTGTCATTAATCCCCCTGAAATACTCCCTACAGTTCAGACACCCTCATCCCCTTGTTTTCGATACTTTTTGAAGCAGAAATAAAGTCCTTTCTTGGCATGTCTTTAGTTGGACTGTTCTAGTTCCATCAGTGTTCTAAATTTGTTAAAAACACTGACTTTTCTGTCATTTCAATTTTGAAGAACAGCCAGAAGTTGCATGATCTAGATTGGGTAAATAAAGTGATTGTAAGGATATGTACCATGTTTTCTGTTTTAAGTTTTATTTGTTTATTTTTTTAATTTACTTTTTAGTACCAGGGATCGAACTCAGTGCCTTGCATGTGCTAGGCAGGAGCTTATGCCGCTGAGTTATATCCTCAGCCCCTTGCACCATATTTTCTGAACTTGCGTTTTCACTGGCTAGTGCTTGGAAGGAACAGTCAGCATAGTTTTGATTGTACCTTACAAAACCACGAAAGGATTTCTAGAACTGCTTTACACAGTGGCAAGGACAACGGAATAAGGGTGTTTGGAGTGATGGAAGGTATTTTGAGAGGGACTAATGGTGATGTGTTTGCCTTTCTTTGTTTTTTCGAGACGGGCCTTTCTGTGTTACAGAGGGCAACCTTGAACTCACCACGTAGCCCAGGCTGGCTTTGAACTTTCAGATCCTCTTGCTTTAACCTCTGTAGAGTGCTGGGATTACAAGAATGTGCCACCACACCTGGCAATATATCTTTTACTGTGATAAGTTTTATAAAATTTTAAATATTTGCTGTATTTTTGGTCACCCCATGTATAGCTTCCCTTTTTTTCTTTTTTTGAGATAGGGTCACCCTGTGTAGTGCATTCAGGCTGGCCTCAAAACTCTTGCCTCAGCATTCTTGGTAGGATTATAGACGTGTACCACCACAGCTGATTTTATTTATATAATTTTATATTGTCCCACAGGTTCCTGAAACAGCTAATTTTTTTCAGTCCTTTTTTTTGTTTGTTTTTAGGTTAGAAAAATCTATTGATCATTCTTCAGGTTACTTGACATTTTGTTATCTCCGATCTATTGGGTTTTAAATTTTTTTATCACTGTTTTGGAATTTTTTTCATACCAGCTATTTTACTTTCAGTTCTAGAACAGTCATTTCTTTTTTGTTTGTTTGCTTGGTTTTTGTTTGGTGGTACTGGAGATGGAACTCAGGGCCTTTTACTTTGGGACAAGTTCTTGCTGAGTCACTAGATTGTCCAGGCTGGGTTTAAACTTTTGATCTTTATGTCACAGCCTTTTATATCTTATATTTTGAGACAAGGTCATGTTAGTTGTGCAGGCTGGGCTTGAATTTACAGTCCTTCTGTCTCTCAGAGTGCTGGGATTATAGGCAGGTGCCTCCACGCTCAGCCCATGTCTAGTAAGTTTTGATTATATAGTGGACATTATATGAGTGAAATTATGTAGTGATTCTAGATTCTGTTACCTGCTTCTGAAGAGTATTGATATTTTAGTTGTAGGCAGTACAGTTGCTGAATGAGTTTAGAATACATTGAACTTGTGTAGACATTGTCTTATGCTTTAGTTGGGAGGATCTGTCAAAGGCCTAAAGTGTGTCTCTTTGCAATGATGGAATTTAAGCTCCAAAGTCTGTGTCCCTGTGCATCTCATCAAAGGTTAATTTTAGGCTTTGTTGCAGCTGGTTTTGAGTAGGCTTTGCTAGGATATGGTCTTCCTCAGCTGGGTGTCTCATATTTTGGATGCTATTAGCAATACTAAGTAGGTCTTTGCATCCTGTGCAGGCTTGAACTCCCAACATTCTTTTGTCTCATTAAACTACCATCAGTATCTTCATTCATCTCTCATTCCTAAAGCAAGACCTCAGGCAGAATTATCCTGAGTCTGTGCAGCCTGTCCATCCACTGAGGCCTTGGGGGCAGTTCAGTAATTCATTTTTCTCTGGGGCTGTACTTTCTCAGCAGGCCTGTCTTATACCCTATTTGAACCTAGCTGAGCACTATCAAATTGCACCTGAGTGGAGATCCATCCTGTTTATGAGATTCATCTCTTGAAAATCATGGTCTTGTATTGCCCTTTGGCCAACTAAAACTTTTTCCTATTTTACCTAGGGCTGTGTGTATGTGTGTATATGTGTGTGTGTTTGTGGTACTGGGAGTTAGACTTAGGGCCTTCTTACTGAGTCACATCCTCAGCCCTTTTCAAATTTTTTATTTTACAATAAGGTCTTGCTAAGTTGTCCAGGCTGGGCTTGAAGTTGTGATCTTCCTGCCTCAGCCTCCTAGAGTGATGAAATCACAGGGTTGTATTACCACATTCAGTTTCTTTTTCCCAACTTTATAGTTTATCTGAGTACCTGTTAATCTCACCAGACAGATGAGGGCGCCATACTTCTGGTTTTTAATGTGGAGATGATAAAATTATCACTGAGTTGGTAAGTTTTAAAAGTATAGATGTGAAAACATCTACGTCTGCATAGTCCTTTGTATTCAAAAACATTAAACAGATACTAGTGGGATTGAATCAGCTACCCTGTCTGTAGCAACAGGTATTTTAATTCGCTGACTTTTTTTTTTTTTTTCCCTTGGTGATAGTTGTTTTTTAATTAACATTTTCAAGGACTTGTTGCCTTAGGCTGAGCTGGGAAGAAATTCCTGGGCTATTTGGAGATGTACTTAAGGATTTTTCACTTAGCCCGAGTTGCTAAATCAAGCTGTTAAACAGAAAAAAGATGGGAGGTGAAAGAGGATAAGCCTGCATTCTGCATTTTATTGAAGAAACCCGTGAGAGAACTGTAGTCCTGACGGATTTACTGGAGAGGCTGAGTTCTAGGGCAGCCTGTCAGCCTGCAGAAATAGGCCTATAGGCTGAGCTCTTACTTGGATTGCCTCTCGATTGGGAAGTAGTCAGTGGATTTTGGCCTTATGTATGGGAAACCATAAACTATCTATGTGAAAGTGGAAGCCTGATATTATTGGAAGTACAACAGATGAAGGCCCATGTTAGGGAGGAAAAATACCAGAAGCAGTTGGGAAGGATACAGTTAGAGAATAAAAAGAAGAAAGGAGAAATAGAAAAGGAAAAAATAGAATGTGAAGAAGAAGAGCTAAGGGAACATCTAAGGCAAATTGAGGAACAATGAACACTCAAAAAGGGTATAAAATACAAATGACTCACATAAATTACTTGAAGTGCTGAAGAATGTCAGGGAGATAAACATGAGAAATACTGTGGAACATCTGTAAGACAGTTTCAAAGGTGAAGGTCATGCATTTTGTTTTTCCTATAAAGTTTTTCCAGTCCTTTTAAAAAAAGTTAGTATAATTTTAGTAAAAAAAAGTATAATTGTCTTTTCCTTGTGATTTTTGAAATCCATTTAAGTATCTTTAATGAAAATCACTTGACTGAGCTCTTGAATTGCATCAGTATGCAATTTTAAGTTATCACTCCTACCACTCAAAAAAATACTTCAAAGAAGTGAGTTCAATATAAAAAGCTGCCTTTCATTTTGAGAATCTTAGTGATTCATTTTTCTATTCAGGAATAAAATTTTGGACTGAATAATTGGGTATCTTAGTTACTTTCTTCATTGCAATATCTGACATCCACAACTTAGTGACAAGCCTTACTTTGGCCCACTTTTCAGTCCATCGGTCAACTCCAAGGCAGGATAGAATGGCAGAACTGCATGCCTTAGACTGCATGCCTTTGCTTGTGGCAAAGCAGACAGGAAGCAGGTGGAATGCAAGAGCAGAGAGGGAGGGAGGACCCTGAGAAAGAGAGAAATCCTTCCAGGCCATGCCTCCCTATCCGTGACCTACCTCTTCCGACAAGACCCCACCTCCTAAAGCAAGCCAGCTATAACCCCAATAATACAACCACTTATCAAAAGCCCCATGTGTGAATATGTGAGGCTTTTGGTGGACACGTAGGTATAAATCAAGACATTAAGCTATAAGTCAGAATGCCGGGCTATCTTTCAAGACAAAATATGGCATCTTATAAGTTAGAAATAACATGAAAAATTCATATGGGTTAACAGCTGGTGGCCAAGTTTTTTTTTTTTGGTGTTTTTCGCTTTTTATTGGTACTAGGGATCGAACTCACGACTGCCTGCTTAACAAGGCAGGTGCTTATGCCGCTGAGCTAAATCCCCAGCCCCCCCAAAGTTTTAAGTATTAGCAGAAAAACTAGACAGCTTGTTGAATGAAACCTAATTGGCGCAGCCTGGTAGTGCACACCTGTAATCCTATCATTCTGGGAACCTGAGGCAGGAGAATCACAAATTCTAGCCTCATCTCCTTTGAGCATTTGACAGGAGCTCAATAAATATTTTTCCAATGAATTAGTGAGACAGTAAGGCAGAAAACTTCATTGTTAGATACACTTAAAACTCCGACATTGAGAAAGTTTTTAGTATGAGCCCTTTTTGTTCTTTAGGTAATAGTTTTGTTAGGGCAGTGGTAGACACTTAGCATGGTATTTGGCACATAGGTGGTCTGTAAATACTTACAAAACAATTAGCATTTACCCTATGTAATGGTTCATTAGCTCATGTAATCTTTGTCTTAGTCTATAAGGCCGGTTATTGAAGAGAGGTTAACTGACTCTAGTTTGTACTTGTTAAGTGGGATCCAGAACCTAAACTGTTAGCTATTTTAATACACTATCTTTAAACTAGAGTTTTCATTTCCCGTTCATCTTTTAAAAATCAGAGCTCAGTTAAATAATGGGTTGAATTAAAGCTAAATAATAGTTGACGTAATTAATAAATTACATGTTTAGATTGGAAAAAGATGTCAGTTTGTTTAGGCTCTTCATTTCCTAGGTGAGGAAAAGGTTATATAGTGGACCCCTAGCGTACAAATTCAGTTTGATCCTGAGGGCTGGTTGTAACTCAGGTTGTCAGTTCAAGGCTCAGGCTCCTCTGCACAGTATTCAAAATCTCTCTCCTGTATACCGGCAGATCTTAGAGAGAGACATTGGCCCAGGATTTCTCAATTTACCCTATACAGAGAAGGATGTTGTAATCCTCTTTAAGGGTTAAATCTATCTGAGGCTGTCTGGACGCACAAGTGGCTGGCATTTGTATCATAACTCAAGACGTTGGTTGTGAGTTAAGACTCCAGTCATAACCCCAGTTGTGACTGTGTCAGGGTGGTAACTTGAGGGTCCACTGTAGCTGGCCTTGAACTCACTAGAAACTATATGACTTTAAGAGCTTTTATATTGAGATTATGCAGAGCAAGCCTAGAATGGGCCCCCCAGTGCAGTATTTGCACAGCATTGGCATTTTTTTTTCCTTTCAAGTCTTTATTTTTTAACTGATAACATAAAAGTTGTACACATTAGCGGAGTCTTAACGATGTTTTAGTACATGCATACATTATGTAATGTGTAAGAGTTAAACATACATTTTCTTTATTGTGAAACCATTCCAAGTACTTTCTTCTGTGGTTTTGAAATATGAGGTGCATTATTGCTATCGAGAGTCAGTCTACAGGGTGCTCCTAATGAGTTGTAGTCAAAGATGTATTTATCTGCCTTGCGTCATCCTTCCCTCTCTCCCTACTACTGTCTCCAGGCTCTGGTAACCACTGGTCAACTCTAAACTTCGATGAACTCAACTTTATAGACTTCACATCTAATTCTTTCAGTGCTTAGTTTATTTCACTTAACATGATGTCCAGTTCTAGCCTGCTGTGAAAAATTTTTAAATTTTAGGGATTTTTGACAGCTGAAAGTATTCCATTTATATATGTACCATATTTTTCTTTCTCCCCCTTCAGGACTGGGGATTGAACCCAGGACCTTTACATTAAGCTACATTAGCAGCCCTTTTTAAAATTTTTTATTTTGGGACAAGAGCTTGCTGCATTGCTCAGGCTGGGTTTGAATTTACAGTCCTCCTGTCTCAGCCTCTTAAGAGCGCTGGGATTACAGAAATGAGCCATAATGCCTGGCACTTGTACCACAGTTGTGTTATCTATTCATCGGTTGATGGATGCTTAAGTTATTTTCCATTTCTTCGCTATTGTGAGTGGTGTTACAATGACTGTCAGTGTCAGCAGTGACATTTGTATTTGTAGCAGCAAATTTTATATATTTTTGAGACTTCCTCTATGCAACAATAAATTTTAGCCGCTAGTTCTCTTGATTTGGATTTCAGAAACAGCAATCATCTCAGTATATATAAAATTTCATTATCACAAAAGCATTAAGAATATTCAGAATTACTGTTCTATAAAAATTTTTTTTGAAGTTTTTATGAGTTTGAGATGAAAATATATACACAAAACTTAATGGAATTTTTTTTCCCTAATTAGAATGTGACATCATCTCCTCAGTATTCTACATTCCTGGAACACATCATCCCTCGATTTCTTACATTTCTCCAAGATGGAGAAGTCCAGTTTCTTCAAGAGAAACCAGCCCAGGTAATCTGTTCAAAAGACTCTGTGAGAGAGAAATGCTATGCTATTGGATTGCAAGCATTTATGAAGTAAGATAAGTCAGAAAAGTTAAAGTTGTATTAAAAATGAGAAAGTGAGATGGGTGTGGTAGTGCAGGCCTGTGATCCCAGGTACTCTGGGGCTAAGCAAGAGTTAGAGGCCACAAGTTAGAGGCCACCCCGGTCAATTTAATTTAACACTTATTTTATTTGGGGTTTTTTCGAGATAGGATCTTGCTTTGTAGTTAAGGCTGGCCTTAAAATCACTCTGTAGCCTAGCCTGGCCTCAAATTTTTTGCAATTCCCTTGCCTCAGCCTTGCAAGAGCTGGGATTACCAAGCAGCCTGGGTAATTTGGGCAGCATAGCAAGACCTTGTCTTAAGAAAGAGGTTTTGTCTGTTGAGGAATACTTGGTCCACAACTGTTACCTCCTCAGTTGCTACTGAGGTTTATTTTATCTAGGCCATCCTTTCAGTGTTTTTTTTTTTTTTTAATTGGAGATCTAACTTTAGTATCTTCGTACCGAGTTACATTCTCCAATTCTTTATTTTATATTTTAAGACATGGTCTCACTTAAGTCTCTTAAATTGCCTGGGCTGGGCTGTAAGTTAGGATCTTCCTGCCTCAGCCTTTCAGAATGCTGGGATTATAGACATGTGTTATTACACCTGGCTTTCACAATTTATTATGTTTGCCAATTGCTGATGTACATGTGTACACTGTTTATTACAGAAAAATGCAAATATATACACTAAGAAAGACTAATGATTTAATGTCCACAGCCAACAATAATCTTACTAATTTTAGTTTTTATAACTCATGGTCAGTGTCATTTTATCTGTACAACCTTGCTCTTCACACTTCTATCCCCTACTTGTTCATTTTAAAGTAGTCCCATTATACCATTTGTCTATAACTATTGCAGCTTGGCTGTCTTTAAAAGAGCTTCAGAAAATTGCTATAGTACCAGTGAATTTTTGCTAGTTGAGATATTTTTATTTTGTACTAGTTTAGGAAGTTACTAATTTGACCTGTCTTGAATTTGTCAGCGCCACAGGCAGAATCATGGAAACTTAATACAGTTTATGATGTAACTAGTCTCTAGGACCAGAGTAAGTGGAGATTGCATTATGGGAGGAAAGCTGAGATTGTAAGGGGAGATTATATATTTAGTTTGATGCTGGGTGTGGTGGTGCACATCTGTACTCTCAGCACTCCGGAGGTTGAGGCAGGAGGATCATTATGAGTTCAAGGCCAGGCTAAACTACAGAGTGAGACCCTGTCTCAAAAAACAAAACAAATTGAGCTTGTTTTGCTCTTTCATTTTATTTCTTCTGTTTTTGCACACTTGTCCTTCTGGTAGAAATACTGATTAGTTTTGACTGAAAAAGTTAGTTTCATTGATTTTGGTACACAGTTGTAGAAATGCTGAAAATAATGATTTTTGGTATATATTGTGGATTAGATTTGAGTAATTTACAAATGTCTTTCTAAAATTAGATCTATTTTTGATGTTTCTTTTTGTGTGTGGTAGTTGGGGATTGAACACAAGGTCTTGCATATATGAAGCAAGTGCTCTACCACTGAGCTACATTCTAAGTCTTTTAAATTTTATTTTGAGACAGGGTCTTACTAGTTGCCCGGGCTAACTATAAATTTTTGACCCTTCTGCCTCAGCCTACTGAGTAGCTGGGATTGTAGGTGTGCACCATCACACTTAGCTAAAATTGGACCCCTCTGGTTTTGTGGTGGTTATGATTAGGTACTAAATGCCCATGATACATGTGTAATATGAGACAATTAATTGAAACTTTGATGCATTTTATCTTAATGTTTTCATTTTTCCTTATCAGCAACTGCGGAAGCTAGTACTTGAAATAATTCATAGAATACCAACCAATGAACATCTTCGTCCTCATACAAAAAATGTTTTGTCTGTGATGTTTCGCTTTTTAGAGGTAACCTTTAAATGTTATTTCTTACTGTGTAGACATGGTAAAACCTGTGAGTGATTTTCTTACAGTAAAATCCAGTATTATACAACTGTTTCCTTTTCATTGAAGTTTTTATTCACACGAGTAAAAGTTTTTCTTTATTCCCTTTCCCCTATTTCTTTTCATTAAGAAAGAGTACTGTACTTACTTGGAGAGTTTTTGACTATACATAGTGAAATATGTGTGGCAGATGTGTTGGGTGATGGTTATCAAACAGCGCAGGGTTCATTTGTGTTGTGTTTTCTATCGTGTGTATCTCAAGCATAGTGTTTTACAATAGCAGCAGGTATTTGTAAAGAAGGTTTTGAATTCTTGGAGTGAATTTAATTGGTATCTGTTCAAGTTCTCAAATTGTTTCTCACTTAGTCTTGCTGTGTTTAGAATTCTGCTGTTTGGAGCCCCTTGGAAAGATAAGCTTTGGAGTGGGATAGAATTGAATTTCTCTCATGACTCTTGACACTTTCTACCCATAGCATTGAAGCCACATTGCTTAACTTCAGTGAGTCTTCACTTCCTCATAAGTAAAATGTGGGTGGTACCCCTCACTTACAGAGCATTTGTGAAGTACTTAGGATGAGGTCTAATCCATGGTGGATGCTCAGGAGTAGCGTATTTTTCCTCGTCTTTTAACAATATGGGTTGAGTATCAAACACCATCCCCCCATCCCACCACTCCCGCTTTTTTTTTTTTTGGCAACAGGGTCTCACTATGCAGTTCAGGCTGGCTTTGAGCTCACTTTGTAGCCCATGCTGATCTCCAATTTGTAACAATTCCCCTGGGTAAGCCTCGTGAGTGCTGGGATTAGAGGCGCGCCAACACACCTGGTTGGGTTGGGTATCCCTTAACCAAAGTGCTTAGCACCAGAGCTGGGCGTGGTGTGTACAACCTGTAATCCCAGCATTTGAGAGGCTGAGGCTGGAGGCTTGCCATGAGTTCAAGGCAAGCCTAGACTGCATAGTGAGTTCAAGGCCATCCTGAACTACTAGTGAGACCCTGTCTCAAAAAACCAAACCGAACCAAACAAAATTTCTTAGCACCAGAAATGTTTTGAATTTTTTTGGATTTTGCAATATTTGAGGTACAGCACAAGTGTAAATAACAAAATTCACTTGTTTCATATAAATCTTATACATGTAGCCTGAAGATAATTTTATATAGTATATTTTTAGAGCACCTATGTTTTGACTATTCACTGGTTAGAAATTCCACACCTGACTTCATGTGGTAAGTCACAGTCAAAACAGCGGCCATTAAGACATTAGTAGTTAGTTTGTGATGTGACTTGCCATATACATCAGTTCATTCATCTGTCAGTTGTATTCACATGGAGCTTGCTAGTGGTTGCCTTTGAGCTTTTATGTATTTATTTATTGTTATTCAGCAGATATAAAATGACCATGGTTGCTACATGGTAGTTTCTGGAACTGGTTTATTTTTAAGTTGGTTTACGGAGGTTATGTGTGCAGAAAATGCTTAGGAAATTTATTCTGGGAGGTGAAATCTTCAGAAATATAACTTTAAATTTTTCTTTCTTTTTTTTTTTTTTTGCCCCCCCCCCCATTTTTCTTTTTTTAAGACGGAAAATGAAGAAAATGTGCTTATTTGTCTAAGAATAATCATTGAACTACACAAACAGTTCAGGCCACCAATCACACAAGAAGTAAGTTATTTATTGATAGAATTCTTAAGATATCAACAGATTTCTTCTATGTAAATTAACTTTTGAAGTAGACTCAACAAGTTTCAATGTGTGTGTATCAGTATTTTGCTGAATTTGTCTAGTAGTTGAAGTGTATTAGCTGTCCTAACTGGCACTACATTTGAGTTGATGTGTCAAAAGACTCCAGTCATGGTATGCTGGACCAGGGTTAAGATGAGTGTTGTGTAGTTAACAGCTGAGTTTGGCACTCAGTTCTCAACTTCAGCGACACTGGGTGAGCTCCTAGCCTTTTTATAATATAGGGATAATTAGAATATGTTCTCAAAATGTCTAAAGAATTAGATATAACTAAGTTCTTAGCTCAGTGGTTACCTACATAGTAAGCAATAATCATACTGTTAGTCATAATCAAGTGAATATCTTCTCTTAGATAATCTTAGTTCCTACTGTAGAATGTCTGTTGAAAGCATAAGGTTGAAATAAGACTACCTACTGCCTTAGCCTTCTGAGGTCCAGCTGATCCGAGAGGTACAGATTCTTCTTACTGTTGTTAAGGGGTAACACCTGACTCAAGACCACAGCAGGGATGACAATACAAATATTCAGTATCTGGGTGATAGCCTTTCCTTTTTTTTTTAATATATGTATATTTTTCATACAATTGTGATATTGTATATAACATTTTTTGTTTTTTTTCCTTCACATTATATGTAAGCCTTTTCCCAATCATAAATAGCTTTTAATTGCTGGATAATATGGGTGTCCTTATTTCTAGATATTTAAAGTTTTTCAAGTTTTTATTTTATAGTTGTTACTGAATATCCTTATGGTTCAAGTTATGTCATTGACTAGGTTTATAGAAGTAGAGTTCCTGAGTCAAAGATCGATGTTTTAATGCTCATATTATATACTACATTGCTAAGTTGATTTTCAGAAAAGTTTCAGCAGTTTATGGTTCTTTAAAAAGTATGAGAAACTCCCTCTCACACCCTTCATGCATTTGTGATATTCTGTGTGTGTGTGTGTGTGTGTGTGTGTATGTGTGTGCTGGGAATCAAACTCATGACCTCGTGCTTGCCAGGCAGTCACTTACGCTGCTAAGCTAAATCCCTGGCCCCTGTGTGTGATTTCTGAAAGGCAAAAAGTGGCTTTTTTTTTTTTTTTCTGTTTCTGAATAGAAACTTGTTTTCTGTTTATTGGTTTTGGGTTTCCTTTTGCTATTTGCATCTTGTCTGGCATTTATACATTTTATGAGCGCTTACTTGTTTTTCCCCAGTACTGGAGATTGAACTCATGACCTCATGCTTGCCAGGCAGGAGCTGTGCCACTGAGCTGTATCCACAGCCTGAGATGTATTAATTATATAATTCCTTGTGTATTAAGACTTAAGGTGTTTTTTAATTTTAACCATTTTCTGTAAACATAGTATAATGGAAAATTTTTTTTTCCAGATTCATCATTTTTTGGATTTTGTGAAACAAATTTACAAGGAACTTCCAAAAGTAGTGGTATGTTTTTATTATAGTTTGAATTTATTAGCTGTATTTATTATTTGTTTATCCCAAAGGAAATTTGGAACAATTTGAAGAAAAAATAGGGGGAGGGCAGTGTTGTGCTAATTTTAGGATGGGGAATGTTTAGTGATGGTTAAAATCTAGGTTGATAAATCGGCCATTCACAAAAGTTGTTTTGATTTCTCTATTAAGATTAAATATTTTTGACATAGAAGCAATACATTTTTGCTGTAAAGTTTATGGAAGGAAGCAGAAAATATTTCAGCTATTAATTCTGACTTGTCAACAATGATTGACATTTAAGATTTTGTTACTTTTACTTTGTGCATGTTATGGTATAAAGCTCATAATCTTGAAGCCTTTTGGGAAAAGTACAATATGTTTTCCATATTTTTATATATCATTACATTTTTCCCCCCATACTGTTAAGAACTCTACAAGCATTTTGGTTTCTTCCACAAAATGTCAGATACATTTTGTGTTTGACTTTAGTACAAACAAATTTTATTCTCTTCACATAGAACCGTTACTTTGAGAACCCTCAGGTAATCCCTGAGAACACAGTGCCTCCTCCAGAAATGGTTGGTATGATAACCACAATTGCTGTGAAAGTCAGTCCTGAGCGTGAGGACAGTGAGACACGGACAGTAAGTATTTTCAGCTGCTCTTCTGAGTTGTTTCTATTGTTTTGTTTTAATTCACTGCCCCTGGAGTTGTCCTAGGAAAAAAATGAGATGGTTAAAGTTTTCTCTTTTTCTTAAATAATTAGAGGCATTTAATGAAGATAAATTTATGTGTGTGCCTGGCAGACTATTGCTGGTTCTGCTGTGCAGCCTAAGAATGTTATAGGTGAACCATTGTGCTCTGTTGATGTTAGGATGTAAAGACCAACTTGTCCCAGAAACCCTGAATCTGGCAGGGAAGATTGGCAGACCAGGTGTGGAGGGCTGTATTCTTTCTGTCCTTAGTAGCATTGAGGTTTTTGTTTTTGTTTTTTTGGTACTGGGGATTGAACTCATGAATATACTCTTGCCAGGCAGGTGCTTATGCCGCTGAGCTAAATCCCTGGCTCTTGTTTCTGTTTTTTGAGACAGAGTCTCACTATGTACCTCAGGCTGGCCTTAAACTCACTATATAGTATCCCAGGCTGGCCTCAGGTTATAGCAGTCCTCCTGCCTCAGCCTCTCTGAGTGTTGGGATTATATTTGTGCACCACCACTCTGGCAGCATTGAGTCTTGACATTGATGAAGTTCCTGAAACAACAGAATGCATGTAGTTGAGTAACTGAGAGCATGGGCTTTGGGGCACAGAGCTTTGGGACAGTGTTTCCATCTTCTACTGTGATTTTCTGGCATAGAGTAAGCTATAAACCTTCATTTCAATCCCCCCCGCTTGGTACTGGGGATCGAACTCACCATGTTGTGCTTGCCAGGCAGGCATGTGGGCCACAGAGCTAAATGCCTGGCTCTCATTCTGATCTTATTTTTCTGCTTATCTGAAAACCTGTGTTGTGGGAATTTTGTGGAATTGTCTGCAGGTACTGTGTTGTTTTTTAGTGTCTGCTGCAGTGGTAACACGCATTGTGGTTTTATTATGACTTGTGTTCTTGTATTCTTACCATTATTTTATCACTCATTTTGGCTGTGCCAAGTGTTTCAGTTTGTCAGCACTAGGAGGTTGAGGAAGGAAGGTTATTGTGAGTTTAAGGTCAGCCTGGGCTGTATAGTAAGTTCAAGGCTAGCCTGAACTACATGGCTAGACTCTGTCTCCAAAAAAAAAAAATTGTTTCAATTTGTGCTAAGATGAATAAGAATCTAAATTTTTAGGTAAAGCTTTTCTTTCTTTGCTGTTGAATTTGAAACTTTTCTATATATACCCCTTTTTTTTTTTTTTTTTCCTTAGCTGTTCATGTCTGTTGTCCATTTGTATTCTGGGTGTGACATTTTCCTTACCTGTTTTGAGTTCTTAAATCAGGGTTTGTTTGTTTTTTTTAACATTCACTGTAAGCATTTTCTCTTTCTAAATATCTTCAAATAAAACTGAAGATAAACTTTGATGCTTTTTGCTATTCTTTTAAATAGAAATGTTAGCTTGAAATTTTCTTACAGTTTGTCTTTTGATAGATTTTCTTGAAGTTTTTATTAGAAATGGTTATGTTAGAAAATATAAAAGTGTTAAGTCGCAGTTGTTTGTACTTTGCTTTCCAAACAGTTTGGCTGTTTCATCACAGATACTTAACAAAGGTGTGTCAGTATTGTCTTTGTTTCAGTGCGTTGATACATAATGGGACAGTGATTGGGCTGTTGTAAGTACCACAGTGAAAACCAAGTTCTACTTCTTTCTTGCAGCATTCCATCATCCCCAGAGGATCACTTTCTTTAAAAGTATTGGCAGAATTGCCTATTATTGTTGTATTAATGTACCAGGTATGTATTGCTTATTTGTTTTTTGTCTTTATGACAAAATTCACAACTAATATTCTGCAACAAAAAATTATGATACACAGCTAACTGATATAATGACTCCTATAGTTGCTTTGGTACGGCCAGATAATTTTTGCTGTCAAAGCATGAGTATCTGATATGTTTTCTTTCAGCTCTACAAACTAAATATCCACAATGTTGTTGCTGAATTTGTGCCCTTGATCATGAATACCATTGCAATTCAGGTATCTGCACAAGCCAGGTGAGATTTCTCTGCATAGTGATGTAGCTGGCTGCTACAGTGTTTTACCTGCATATAGTAATGCACTTGGTACTGTCATTCTTACGACATCAAAATGATGTGTTAAAATTGTCATAAAGTTAATATGGAATTTTCACTTTTTGAACTTGTGTTTCAGTAATAATTGCTATACTTATTTTAATTCCTCATTTTGAAAAGATGTGATGTTTTGGTTTCTGTTATCTTACAAAATAAATTTGTAAGTGCACCCACTGTGGTATATCCAGGTTTTGCTAACCATCAAGCCCTTGCTCTGCCTGTTCTTTTAGCATGAGTGCTGTGGTTCCTTACCTCTTTGTTCCCTCACCTATTGAAACAGTTCTGCTTATTTTATCCTTTGGAGCCCTTTTTCAAACCTCGTAGTATTCTTAAGATTTGTATGGCTTACTCTTTTTTGTGGGGGCAGGTGCTGGGGATTGAACTTGTGACCTTGCACTTGGCAGGCAGGTGCTTATGCCACAGAACTAAATCCTCAGTCCCTGTGGCTTACTCTTGACTTGCAGCCTGTCTGCTGAGTCATTTGAGGACAGGATCTGATAGGGGTCATTTCAAACAACCCCGTGGACCCAACATAGGGCTTCCGTTGTGCATGTAAGGTATACTAATACTTTTTGTGTTGGGGTGAATCAGTCTTTCATTGGCTTTATAGAATTCACATTCTAACTGCTATACATTGGTTTGGTGAGCTGTTAGGTTAGGGCCCTTTAAGCTCTTTGTTATTTGGAACGTTGTAAAAGTATTGTTCTGATCTGTGTAAAAAATAAGCTGTGGGTTTAGACGTCATTACAGGCATTTAAATTAATACTAGCATCACTTAAAGAGCTAATACTGTAAATTTTATTCATTTCCTACTTAGGCAACATAAGCTTTACAACAAGGAGTTATATGCTGACTTTATTGCTGCCCAAATTAAAACATTGTCATTTTTAGCTTATATCATCAGAATTTATCAGGTGAGTTCAATGACTTTTGTTTTTGTATAATTTACATACAATGTTTACCTTATATGAGCGCACATTTCTTTGAATTGACAATTGCTTACAGTTGTTAACCACAAACACAATATATAGAATATTTTCATCCCTCCAAAAAGTTTCCTTTTGTATATTTTCATTTCAACTTCTTTCATCTGTAGTTCCTGACAAATCTCAATCTGTTTTTTTCTGTTTCAGTACTTTTGCCTTTTTCAGTGTCCTACAAATGTCACATGTGTAGTATATAATGAATATAATTTGTTGATACTGGTTTCTTTCACTTAGCAGTAATGCTGAGATTCATCCTTGTTATTTTATCAAGATGACATATTTTTATTGCTGGCTAGTTGTCTTAGTTTGCTCAACCGCCTTAATAAAATACCATTAATGAAATAGTTTAAACAATGCAGATTTGTTTTCTCCATATTCTGGAGACTGTAAAAGCTAGATTAAGGTCCTAGCAGGGTTTGGTTTTTAGTGAGAGCTCTTTTTTACTTGCCAAAGGTGGCCTTTTTGCTTTTCTATAGTGAAGGGTGGCTCTCTTTTTCTTTTGTAAGTCTTGGAAGATTATATTCCTACATTATGGTGTCATTTAATTTTACCTCCTTAAGACCCTAATTCCACATCTGTCATACTGGGGTTATGAAATTAATATGAATTTGGTGGTGGTGAGGATGACACTGTTTAGTCTCATAGCAGTAGTATTATATTTTCTGGTTGTACATGACGGATTTAGCCATTCATCAATTTGTATACATTTAGGTTGTTTCCAGTTTTTTAAAAAACAGCTTTATAAACACAGAATGTGGTGGTGTGCCTGTAATCCTGGCACTTGGGAGACTGAGGCAGACAGATTGCTATGAATTTGAGGCCAGCCTGGGCTACAAAATGAGTTCAAGGTCAGCCTAAAGAAAAAGACAAAAAATCCAGTTTTATTGAGGGTACATATCATAAAACAGAGCAGTTTTTAGCTTATTCACGAATTTGTATGACTGTCACTACTATACAATTTTAAAATAATTTTATCACCCCTAAAAGAAATCCTGTGCCTGTTAGAAGTCACTGTTGTTTTTCCCCAATTTTGCACTTCCCAGGCAGGCATTTGTGCTACTGAGCTAAACCTCCAGCAACCCTCTCTAGTCTTGGCAGTGAGGGAGACTGTGATTAGAGTTATCTAATCTGTTTTTGTGATCTCTGGGCTCACTCATGACCAACATTAATGGAATGACTAAAGACTATTTACGTTTTTTGTCTGTTAGGATTAAAACTCCTATGAGTAAATGTTTGCATATAGATTTTCATGTAAACATAATTTGGTTTGTTAACTTGATATTAGAAGTTACATATTAAGGCAAATAGGTGTGGAGGAGATTGAAGCTTACAAATGACATTACAAAATAAAACCTTGAAGGTAGTTTTGGATGCTTTTTTGAGGAGCCTGTAGGAGACCTGTCCAACATAACAGCCTGAAGACTGCTTGCTTTTTTATGTTATAATAAGTACATGCATATAAAAAAGTTTTGTTACTTACACATTAATTATATTATTTTATATGAGGTTCAGAACAAGTCCTTTACTTAACTGCTGCCCACCCAAGTCAAAAGGTTTGACATCTGTGAGAGTAAGTCCATCTTTACTTAAATAATAACTTGGAGAAATATTAGACATTGTCTCCCATCAGTCAGAATTCTGATATAGTTGGTCCTTTGTTGTTTTTTTCAAAACAGGGTGTTGCTGTGTAGTTCAGGCTCACCTTGAACTCACTGTGTAGCCAGACTGGCCTCAAACTTGTGATCCTTCTGCTTCAGCCTCTGGAGTTTTGGGATTATAGGTGTGTGACATCATGTCCAGCTTGTACAGTCAGTCTTGATGCTTAAAGACTATGTAATACATTTAATTCTTACCTGTTCTATAGCAATGGAATTCATTACTATAATTACTTACTTTTATAATATAATTCATTACTTTTTATAAGAATTTTACCTCTAAAAAATAAAAGTAAAAGCCTATGCTAAATTGTTTAGAATAAAAACTAACATCCTGGAGTGGTGATTCATAGCTGTAATGCCAGCATTTGGGAGGCTGAAGCAGAATGATCACTGTGAATTTGAGATCAACCTGAATTGCATAGTGAGACTGTCTGAAAAAAACAAAAATAACTACCTTTGAAAGCTTTTGTAAATTCTTTTTCTGTTGTAATGTGTTTAATTAGTGATAATTTATAGTAAGGAAGTAGAACATTTGTTTTACCAGATTGAGATTTTTATACCCCTTGATAGTTGAGTGAATGAGTTTCAGTTCTCTTGGTAAACTGTCTTCCTGAGACACTTTAAAAGGAGACTGTGTTTAGAGTTATCTAATCTGTTTTTGTGATCTCTGGGGTCACTCATGACTAACATTAATGGAATGACTAAAGACTATTTACGTTTTAAACCCTTACCCTCATTTACTTTTCCTCTGGTAAGAAAATAATACATAATCACTGTTTACACTAGGGAAGGTACACAAAAAGTATAGATAACATTCATAATCCCATTGTGCAAGAGAAGGACTACTTATGTTGCCATATATCTTCTGCTATGGCAGTGGTAATACATACACACACAACAGTTAAAACGTTTTGACTATTGCCTGCTTAGTAAGCCTATAACTTTAGAAGGGTCATTTAGTCAAGCTTAGTCTTACTTGAATTTTCTTTCTTTCTTTCTTTTTTTTTTTTTTTTTGTGCTGAGACTCAAACTCAGGACCTTGTGCTTGCCAGGCAAGCGCTGTACCACTGAGCTATATCCTTGGCCCTTACTGAATTTTTAAAAAGCTGATGGAATTTGAGTTTTTCTGTATATATTTTTTGGCAGTGTGACTTTTTAGCTTTATCTTTTTGACAGGAGTTGGTGACTAAGTATTCTCAGCAGATGGTGAAAGGAATGTTACAGTTACTTTCAAATTGTCCAGCAGAGACTGCACACCTCAGGAAGGAGCTTCTGATTGCTGCAAAACATATCCTTACCACCGAGCTCAGAAACCGTATGGCTATTTTGTCTTTAAATGTTTGTATTACTCCCATCTTTGGGAAAGGGCCTCAGTGGCCTTCCACGGTTGTGTTGCTGGATTCCGTGTCTCTCTTCTTTACTACTATCTTGGGTTTATTTTTCTTTGCTCTGCTTCTCTACCCATCTGCTCCTTTTGATTGCCTGCTTGCTCCTCCTTCCCTCTTTTAGCCTGCCACCTGGGTTCTCCTTTTATCTTTAAAAAAAAAAATCTCATAATTAATGTGATAATTTGCTTAGTATAATTTATGTTCTGAGTAGCTTTTGGTACTTTTCTGCCTTATAACTGCAAGTTTTTGAAATTGCAAATAGCTATTAACTTACGTACCTCACACCTATCAATATTTAATTGGTGAGCAAAATCCAATGTTTCCATCCTCCATCCCATGTGAATGATGGATTGGTGCTGTTTGTATGTATTAGGCTGGTCCTTGGTTTTGCTAAGCTGATAATTGTACTTTTTGGATCAATGATATATGTTGATAATTTAATACTTCATATATTTTCGTGTCTAAAATGTTAGATTGAAGTTATGCATTATAGAGGTTATAGTCATTTTCCCCAGTAGTTTTTCATATTAAATATTTATTTGCCATTAGCTTGTAAACTAGAGGGCACATAAAATTGAGATTTGGCATTATTATGTAGTCTTTAAATTTGAAAGGAAGGTCATAGTGTGAGTCCTTACCCATGAGTTAATACAGAAAAGCAGAAGTAATTTACTGAAATAGAAGTTACAGTGACCAATACATGTAGGTGTAGCTGAAAAGAAAACACTTTTTTTGGAGAAGGGGCTGGGGATATAGTTTAATATGCACAAGGGTCTGTGTTCAACCACAAGCACATACCCAGAGTAAACATTCCTAGGCCCCCTTTTTTGAAATTTAGCACATATTGCAAAGTGCATAAACGAAATGTGCAATTTCAAAATGAAAACAAGGCACACATGCCTAATCTTCACCCAGGATGAGAAATGACAACAGTGCCTGCGTCTATGACCTCTACTTCCTTCCAGAGTTATTGCCATTCTGATTTGCTGGTGACCCTTCCTTTGAAATATATCTCCTTTTCTTGTGAATAATACCAAAATAGAAGGATTTTAAGGGAGACTTTTTTTCCTCCCTTCAATATTGAGGATTGACTCCAGGGCCTTCTTCATGTTAGATAAGCACTCTACTACCGAGCTCCACCTTTGGGTCTTTAGAGGAACAGATCTGTTTAGCTGAAGTGGGTGAGTTACGCCTCAAGAGCCATTCTCAGATTACTTTTCCAGTATTCCTGCCTTGAGAGTAATGAGGACTCAGCCTCTGCTGTTGAGAAACTGGTTAGCAGGAGGCTTTCACTTGTGACAGTGCAGTTCTTAGTACTTACCAGGTAGTTGGTACTTAACTTCATCACTGGATAGGCAACCTTCTCTTGAGGCCATGAAGCTTGATGTTGGTCTGTCACCAGCTCATTAAGATCACTGGATTCTCAAGCTGCTGTCTTCTAAAGTTTGATCCCATTAGACCTGTGTAATTTAGCTTTTACATTCTTTCTCCTTTTGAGAGGTATCTCTTTGTGAATTGACTTTTTTTTTTTAATACTGGGCATCGAACTCAGGACTTTGCACTTGCCAGGCAGGTGCTTATGCCACTGTGAATTGGCTTTTTTTTTTTTTTTTTAAAGATAATATATAACATTTTATTTTGAAGCCCAAAATAGTTCCTGGGACTTAAGTAGGTGTCAGCATCTCATCTCCACGAGGTTTATTGAAAGAAGCATTCTAAGACTCATGTTGAATGTTAACTATAATGACATAAAATTCAAGAAATGTGTGATTCAGGTAAAATTTCCATATCTACTGACATTTGCTCTTAGACTTAGTTTTTAACCTCTGAACTGATATCAAATATCCTTTTTTGGGTTTTTTTTTTTTTTTTTTTCCAAAGACAGGTTCTCACTGTGTAGTTCAGACTGGTCTTGAACTCACTATGTAGCCCAGGCAGGCCTTGAATTTGCAGTGATTTCTATGCCTCATCTTCTGAATGCTGGGATATAGGCATATACCACAATGCCTGGCTGTGTCATACCATTTGCACAGTTCTGAAGTGCCAGGGAATAGGGAAAATCTAACATGTTTCTAGAGATTCTACTTTTGGATCATGGAAAGGATGTATGACTTAATTTCTTAAAACTTCTCCCTTTATATATAATTTGTGCTTATCCCTTAGCTAATTTGCCAGCATTTGGTGTGTGAAATTTCATTTCCTCTTGTGTCTCCTGCCTGTTGGCCATATGTTGCTTCCTCTGACCTCAGAAGGGCCTGCTTGCTGCTGCTTTCATGTGGCACATCTCCGGTGCTGCCTTGCTTTGGAAGTTAGGCGGGGATGTGCATTGTCTCCAGTATAGGCATTTCTTTTATATTTTTGACCCCCAGTAGCTACTTGGTGATGAAAAATGTATACTTCATTTAACTTACCAAAACTGGCTATATGTCAGTCTTATTCTAGAATCTAAATGTCCTTTTGGGTATCTGTTTTACTTCATGCATTCTCTGACACTGAAGGTGACCTTGACAGCACCTTTGGAGACCAGTGACTTGTACAGCTCAGCAGAGCCAGTGCCTTGGCTTGATAGCACATGTACCTTTAGACTACCTCTTCTTTTCTTTTTTCAAGTCTGGGTTGTGTGTAGGGCTGCACACTGGCTGCACTGGGAAGTTATTTAATATGTAATTGTTCTCGTCAGTAATATGCAATGGTATCTTTTCTAGAGTTCATTCCTTGCATGGACAAGCTATTTGATGAATCCATATTAATCGGCTCAGGATATACTGCTCGGGAGACTCTAAGGTATGAGATTAGACCCTGATATCTGGTTAAATACCAGCGGTAGTGATCAGTGGCACTTAAATGTTATAAGGCTCTTGGGCCTTGATTCATTCATTGGATTTAGAATGGTAAGAATTTTTGGTTATATTATATACTTTCACTTAAAGGAAGAAATCAGAATAGGTGCTATAAATTGCAGGTGGAAATTTCAGATTTTTTTCTATTTGTATAATGCTTATTATTATTAGAAAGACTATTTAACAGTCTACCAGAGTTAAAGAAGAGAAGGAGCTAGGTGTGGTAGGCCTGTAATCCTAGCACTTGGGAAGATGAGGCAAGAGAATTAAGAGCTTAAAGCCAGCCTAGGCTTCATAGCAAGTTCAGGGACAACCTGAACTACGTAGTGAGACCCTATTTCAAAAATCTTCGGGGGCTGGGGATTTAGCTCCGCGGCATAAGCACCTGTCTTGTAAGCAGGCAGTCATGAGTTTGATCCCCGGTACCGATAAAAAGGAAAAATCCTCAAAAAGAGAGGGAGTATCTTTCAATCCTGGTATTTTAATTTCTTCTAGTATTCATTTCTTACACTTTTTGTTTTGGTACCGGGAATCGAACTCAGAACTTGCACTTGCCAGGCAGGTGCTTATGTTGCTGAGCTATATTCCTGGCTTTTCAAATTTTTAATATTTTTGGTATGGAGAATTGAACTTTACGATGTGACAGGTACTTATCTACTGAGCTAAATCCCTGGCCCCTCCTTGGCTGTTTTTCACATGTTGTAAATTACATTTTTAAGTGTCATACATAGAAACATAAAAATTACACATATTTAGGGTGTGCCATGTGCTGTTTTGAAACCTGTAGACACAATTTCTTATATTTTACAAATATGGCTGGGGGTTTAGCTCAGTGGCATAAGCGCCTGCCTGGCAAGCATAAGGTTGTGAGTTTGATCCCCAGTACCCCCCCCCCCCAAAAAAAAGAACAGATTCAAAATATAGAGTAGTAATTTTTTTTTTTTTTTTTTTGTCTTTTTCTTTTTTTTATCGGTACCGGGGATCGAACTCAAGACCACACATTTGCAAAGCAGGCACTTATGCCGCTGAGCTAAATCCCCAGCCCCTAGAGTAGTAATTGTTACCGTTTTTTTTTTTCTTTTTCTTTTTGTTCTTAAAGTCTCTCTGTGTAGTTCCGTTGATCCTTGAACTCACTATGTAGTCCAGAGTAACCTCAAACTTGTGATCCTCTTACCTTAGCCTTGCAGTGCTTGGATTATAGGCATGCACCACCATATCTGGAGTTGTTACTATTGGTAAAGGAGGAAATTATCATCTTTATAATGTAGAGTGCATGTACCGGGGATCGAACTCATGACCACACGGGCTTGCAAGCCAGGTGCTTAAGCCGCTGAGCTAAATCCCCAGCCTCTGTTTTGTTTTCTTTTGAGGGAAGGAGGATGAATCTTAGGAAAATGTGTAGGATACTTTTGACTATGATAAAAGACTGCTCATTAATTTTTTACATTGTTTTAAAATACCAATCTGTTCTTTACAAATTGAACCTACCTAGAATTAGACATGAGATTATGTTACTCCTGCTTGAGACCCTCTAATTACTTTTCATTGTCCTAAAGTCCCAAAGTCTTGGCCGTACCACACCTATTCCTCCTTGATTCAACACTGCCTGTTTGTCCCAAAATTCTTGTGTTGCTCTCCCTTCTTACCTGCTGTGACCATGCAGGCCCTTGTGGCTCCTTGGCTACTTTGTGCAGTTTCTACCTCAGGGCTTTGGTCTTATTTCTTCCATCTGGAAATTGCCTTGGCTTTTGACCTTATGGTTCCTTTTTTGTCCGTAGGGTTTCAGCTTCAGTGTCACCACAAAGGGAGCCTCCTGGCACTCCGTTAAGAATTATTTTCATGTTGGTCCTTTTCCCTGTGCCCTCTTTAACATCTCTTTCAGCATACAACCCATGTAATTCATTTTTCTTTTTTTTTTTTGGTAATTCATTTTTCACTGGTATTTGTCTTCTGAGAATAAGCTCCATGAGGGCAGGAGCTCTCTTTAATTGATATTCTGTGGTATCCCTAGAACCTAGTGTCTAGCATGGGATAGCTGTTCACATGTACAACAAGTGAAGAGCTAAGATATTCCTGTATCTTTAGAAAATGGTCATGCAAGGTATTGATATATACAATTTATTTTTATATTGCATATTGTTATCTTCAAAGTAGTATAAAGTCACATAATATAAATGTTTGAAAAAAAGTGATCAAAGCATAAACCATTCTTTTTGATGAACTGAGATTAGTTGAATAGTTATATATATAAATATTTATCTATACATATACCTGTTTTTATAATCTTTTTCCCTTTTTTCTTCTCTCCTTTAATTCTGTTTATTTTTGAGCAATAAAACCTATTTAGTTCATGGTTAAGCTGGTAATGCTTTCTTTTCAGGTTAACCATAGGATGTGCCACTGTCTGTTAGGAGCTTCATGATGTGCATAGAAGTTAACCTTTTCACTTGGAAAGTAAAGATGACTGCTTCAAGACTTTAGCCTTTTAGTTATGCAGCCATGAGGGAATAACAGGGATATTAGGGAGCTGGGGCTATATCAGACCTACTTCCCCTAGTGGTGGCTTTTCTGGGACACGTAGTGATCCATGTGGTGGTTGTGAAGGAGTAAGCACCAGTGGATTTCTCTGCCCACAGGCCCCTTGCCTACAGTACACTGGCTGATCTCGTGCACCATGTTCGCCAGCACTTGCCCCTCAGCGATCTGTCCCTTGCTGTCCAGCTGTTTGCCAAGAACATTGATGATGAGTCACTGCCCAGCAGCATCCAGACCATGTCCTGCAAACTTCTGCTGAACTTGGTGGACTGCATCCGCTCCAAGAGTGAGCAGGAGAGTGGCAATGGAAGGGATGTCCTGATGCGGATGCTGGAGGTACTGGATAGATACAGCATCTGTCCTGTGCTCTTTATTTTTCTTATTGTTAAACTCAGAAGTGTTTTATTGGCAAGTTTATGGGGTGACCCAGTTGCCCAGCTTGGGTGCAGGAGTTAGACCACCTGGGTTCAAATCCCAGCTTGCTCTTGCACTAGCCAGCTGTGCTTGGGCAGGCTGCTTTTCTCTGTTACCTATTTCTTTTTTTGTTTTTTTGGGGGGGAAGGGGCACCAGGAATCAAACTCATGACCTTACGCTTGCCAGGCAGGTGCTTAAGCCACTGAGCTAAATCCCCGGCCCTCTGTATCTATTTCTTAATCTTATTACCAGTGCTAGTCATAGCATCTGCCTCATAGGATTGCTGTGAGAGTGAAATAAAGCTGTGTGTGAGTTCTTCCTGTACTTCTGGAAGAGTGTTAGGGGTGCAGCAGCTACATGGTAGGTCCGACATGCATGTTTTTGCAGTGACCCAGTGAATGCTCAACAGAGGGGTAATTTGTGATTCTTAAGGCCAGTGGGCAGTGGTGTGGCTCTGGAGGGATGAGTCTGGCAGACCTGAGTCACATGCAGTCTCTGCTTGTTAGACCATTTCTGAGCTAGACTGTTCCCCAAAAAGGGAGATAATTTTAGGGAAAAAGCCTGGCACAATTTCCCCCTTAATAGCTGACATAGGAAGTACTTGAAAATTACCAGCCTCTGTTCTCTTTGTGAAGGGAGAATCAGAATAACTTTAGCAAGTGGTTTTTGTGAGGTCTTCTGTCATCTGGAAGGGTCATTTGGCCTGTTCATGACCTTTGTTTTCTTCCTACTTTTCTTCCTATTAGGTTTTTGTTCTCAAGTTTCACACCATTGCTCGGTACCAGCTCTCTGCCATTTTTAAGAAGTGCAAGCCTCAGTCCGAGCTTGGAGCAGTGGAAGCAGCTCTACCTGGGGTGCCCACTGCCCCGGCTGCCCCAGGCCCTGCTCCATCCCCAGCTCCTGTTCCTGCACCTGCCCCACCTCCACCCCAACCACCTACGCCAGCCACCCCTGTGACTCCAGCCCCTGTGGCTCCTTTTGAGAAGCAAGGAGAAAAGGATAAGGAGGACAAGCAAACATTCCAGGTCACAGATTGCCGAAGTTTGGTAAAAACCTTGGTCTGTGGTGTGAAGACAATCACTTGGGGCATAACATCCTGTAAAGCGCCTGGTGGTAATTCTGCTCTTAATTTAAGAACTGAGATTTTAGTAAGAGTGAGTTTTAGTCACTTTAACTTATGTGCTGTCTCTTTTTTTCCCAGAAGCTCAGTTCATTCCCAACAAACAGTTACAACCCAAAGAGACTCAGATTTACATAAAACTTGTGAAGTATGCAATGCAGGCCTTGGATATTTATCAGGTAAGGAAGTACTCTGGAATTAGGCTGTTGAATATGGAAAATGGCTCTTAGAATTGGCAGTACCAGTGGAGGAATGGGTCTTAAAAGATATTTGTACACTCAGGCTTGTTTTTTGTTGTGCAACTTCATGTTGAATTCTTGGTGGTAATTCTTTTGAGTCCACATGCGTATTTTGTGGGGAGGTGGTGCAAATGGGATGCAGTAGAAGCTTAGGTTTATTTGCTGTTACTTTTCTGTTCTCAAGACAAAATTTTTTTTTTTTTTAATTCAGTGTTAGGAAAATTTAAGGAGAGAGCATTTATAATCGAATTCAAGCAGTGTCTTTAAAGTATGTGTGTGATCTAATTTTATAATAGAATGTATTCAGAAGTCAGTTATAATACTTATGGGTTATTCTCTCCTGTACTAGGTCCAGATAGCAGGAAATGGACAAACATACATTCGAGTAGCAAATTGCCAGACTGTTAGAATGAAGGAAGAGAAGGAGGTATTGGAACATTTTGCTGGTGTTTTCACCATGATGAATCCCTTAACATTTAAGGAAATCTTTCAAACTACAGTCCCTTATATGGTGGAAAGAATCTCAAAAAATTATGCTCTTCAGGTATAAAATTTCTTTCTTACATTTTTTGTTTTTGGTATTGGGGATAGAACTCATGACTGTGTGCTTGCAAGGCAGGTGCTTATATTGCTGAGCTAAATCCCAGCCCCTCTTACATTTTTTTAAATATTCACTTTAAATTTTTTGGCTAATGTGTTGAACATTCTGTATTTCATTGTTTTGAAAATTTTAAAAATAATGTGACTTAAGGATAGTGCTTGTACAGCCAAGAAATATTAGGCCAGAATGTTTGAAAAAAAGTTTTCAGAGCATTCAAATATTTTGGATCAGCTCCTTTATTTCATAGAAATTAAACATATGCTAAATGTAAGCTCTTGGTGTTTGACGAGGAGAGTGAAACAGATTAAGTGCTGGAAGTGAACTGGTGGCTGAAGGCTCAGCAAGTTGTTTCATTTGGTTCCTTTTGGTGGGTAATTTCTTGGCATACGTATTAACAAGTTTGATGTTCCTTTTTTGAAAAGCGTATCTTCTCTGAAAATTGCCTTACGTTTCCCTAAGGGATTACTTTTGTGCTATGCATTTCTTGTTTTGACAGATTGTTGCCAATTCCTTCTTGGCAAATCCTACTACCTCTGCTCTGTTTGCTACCATCCTGGTGGAATATCTCCTGGATCGCCTGCCAGAAATGGGCTCCAATGTAGAGCTCTCCAACCTGTACCTCAAGCTGTTTAAGTTGGTCTTTGGCTCAGTCTCCCTCTTTGCAGCTGAAAATGAGCAAATGCTGAAGGTAACACTCATTTAGATCTAAGTAGCACTTATATTCAGGGTCTTTTTGCTTCCCCCCTTATTTTTCTTTAGTATCTTCAGTTTTGAACAGAAACTAGTGATTGTATGTGTAAAGTATGCTTTGAATTAAAGATTTGCAGCAGCTAAGGGTCAAGTGTAAGAAACGGTCCATGTTTCTGAGCAAGTCCAATTTGTTTATCTGGTGATTTAATGTGAAAAAGTTCTAACTCATGATAAATAAGTGTGTCATTAGTATTGTCACCATACTTTTTTAAACTTGAGCTTCTGTTTTTGGATCATTCATGTGATGCAGAGTAATACAGGAATTTAAAAATGCCTTTGTGAAACTGTAACAAGGCAGTTTACTGGAATATTTCTTATCCCATCGGTAATCTGCCACCAAGATCAAGTTTTGTTTCTTCAGCTCTCCATATAGCATATAAACAGGATGTCTTGGCTATTTGTTTATATTATCATTTAAATAAAACATTGTTAGGAGGTTGTCATCCTTTCCTAAGGTCATATTAGAGATTTATCTCATCATCTGTTTTTATATCTGACTAACCCTATATAATTGGATTTTATTTTTGGAAATGTGAAAAGCTATTCATAATGACATCACCCAGTAAAAGCAGAAGGCAGAACAAAAACCTTATATGCTTATGACAAAACATTTTTATTCCTATAGAAAGTTGACTGTTCCTACCAGTTGTATGTGCAGAGCAATGTTTTTCATGGTTTTAAAGTTTAAAGACGTGAACAGGTGATGTGAAGTACAGTTGTCTGGTTTTAGGTGATGGTTTCCTTGTTTGTTTAATTTCTTTGTGGTACTAGAGATTGGATCCTTGGCCTTTGCAATGAGCTCTGTCCCTAACCCTTTTGATTTTAGTTAGACACATGGTCTTGCTAAATTGCTAAGTTACCCAGATTGGGCTTAAACTTTCAATCATCCTGCCTTAGCCCTCCAGAATGCTAGAATTATAGGCATGTGTGTGCCACCACAAGCAGCTATTTTCTTTTTTTAATCCCAATTTATAGGAAGTAGTTACTATCATGTAAATATGTGAGGAAAATACTGTTTTAGAGATACAAGATACTTAATTGTGATCTGCTTGCTCCTAATTAACTATCAAGTGTTCCAGTTTTTATCATTACTTGAACATTACAACTGTGTAGACAGACCAACAACCAGAAAGTCAAGAGCTAATAGGACAAAGCTAGTATTGGAGTGTTGTTTTAAAAAAATACTCAAAATTGATAACATTTTTTGTCAAGAATAGTTGGTTTATACTATAAATATACTGTGTTATATGTAATAAGTCTGAAACTATAACAGTGACATTCACAATTCACTGAAATACACAGAAATTTCATGTTAAATTTTGCTGGTGACATGCCAAGACTAGAAATAGAAAATAAGTTAATCTGGCTTAAAATATTAAAGCTTTTAGCTGATAAATTTTTGATGGGAACATATTTTTAAATTTAGTCTTCTGAAACACTGTTTTGAGACTCATATTTTGTGTATTTCCTGTTTGATTGGTAGGGCCACTTAAGTTTTCTTAGGTTACTTTTGTGTTTATAGAGTATTATAGGAAGCAGGCTTCTTTCATCTGTGTTTAACTGGAGATCTTTTACAAAGAGGTGACCACATATACAAGAAATGCATAGTGGGCAGACCCTCAGATTTCTATTGCACGTGTCATCTGTCCAATGTCATTTAAGTACTTAATGACATAGGAAACCTACAGAATGTTTCATTTATAATGAAACTCGTGGAAATCAATATACATCTTAAATTGATTTGAGTCCAAGGTTGGAAATTCTTGGTCCTTTCTCAGAATTGTATGTAATTGTTGTTGGATTGCAGTGATTTTGGATTACAGTCTCTTTTCTCAGTTACCTGCTTATCAGTCTTTTTTCCACCATAGCCTCATCTGCACAAGATTGTGAACAGCTCCATGGAGCTTGCACAGACTGCCAAGGAACCGTACAACTACTTCCTGCTGCTCCGAGCCCTGTTCCGTTCTATTGGGGGAGGTAGCCATGATCTCTTGTATCAGGAATTTTTACCTCTTCTCCCCAACCTCCTCCAAGGTTAGAGGAGTGGCTTTGGCTACTAGTTGGATTTATGTGTGTGCCTGTGTTTTGCTACCCCAATTGCTACCACTTGTATACCTGGTGAAGGTCATGGTTGTGGTAGGTGGGGTGGGACGTGTGCAAGCCTCCCTTCGAAGTGGGGCTTAGAAAGGAGCACTATTAGGGGAGGATCTGTGTCCTCCCTAATGAGGGTCAAATGGGATTTGGAAAATTTCCGTTACCAGGATATGGCCTGGTTGCAGTTTTGTAGCATTTGGCAAGAAGGTCTAGAAAAAATGTAGTTTCTAGAAGAAAAAGGCAAGCTATAAAGCTAAATTATAGTTAGTTTATAGTTTTTAGCTTCTAATTTGTATAACTAGGGCCCTAGAATTCTTGAGTTTAGCAATGTTTTCAGGATGCATAGTTAAAAGGGATCTTGGGTCCATTAAATGTTTCGGAGAATGAACTGATTGGAAACACTGTCCTAAGGCTTTTTAAAATTCTTTGTAAGGTGAGCCCTTGGGTAGGTATTGACTTTTTTTTCTTATATTTCCTTTGCAAATTCCTTAAAAAGAAGACATTTATCGCTTAGTATCCCCAAGAGGCAACTAGGATACACATGAGTATGTAGAATAAAAATGGTCATTAATCTTCCACGGGTGGTGCTTCAGCTAGGCCATAAGTAGGCCTTTTGTCCATATTTAGCTGTCTCTCGTTACTCTTCCCCTACTTCTGTTCTCATTCTGCTTTCTTTCTGAAGCACACGATACTCTGTCATCTCTGAGCTTCTCTCCTCTGAGTTTGTTAAAGTCCACGCTCTACTGGGATCATACTTTTCTACCACCTTCTCTTCTGGGTTCGGAACTGGTTCCGCTTCTCTGAGAACTCTTCTGACTGTTATTCTCATAGAGTTGGGTCGACTGTTAAATGCATTTCTTTTGGTGTTTAGAAGGTCTCAGAAAAAAACCTTAGTAAATATTTGATAATGCTCATGAAGGATGAGAGATTGATTTCATAGGAAGGAGACTTTTCTGCATTTACAGTGAACAAAACTAGATATAAACAAAATACTCATTTTAGAGCACAGATGACCATGAGCACATCATAATGGAGTCTTTGTCTTTTAAGTTGAACTTACTAATAGTCCTTATTAAGTTTTTTTTTTTTTTTTTTTTTTTTTTTTTAGAAACTGGCTTAATACGATTTTTGAGAAACTGTAGTATAAAACTGCATGGTTTTTGAGGTATTGCATTATAAAAACATAATTTGTAATAATTATATACACCTTGCTGTAGGCACTGCAAAAGGGCTTCTGAATGTTAACTGCAGCTTATAGAACAAATTTAACAGCAGATTATAGGGGGACAAAAAGCCTTGAGGTTCAGTAAATGTTTTATTGCTGACTTTGGTACATGTCTGGGACATGATGTTGCTGACAGTCTGAAACCCTTTTTTCAGGTCTGAACATGTTGCAGAGTGGCCTGCACAAGCAGCACATGAAGGACCTCTTTGTGGAACTGTGTCTCACTGTGCCTGTGCGGCTAAGCTCCCTTTTGCCCTATCTGCCTATGTTAATGGATCCCTTAGTGTCTGCCCTCAATGGGTCTCAGACTTTGGTCAGTCAGGGGTTGAGGACCCTGGAGTTATGCGTGGACAACCTACAGCCTGATTTCCTCTATGACCATATCCAGCCTGTGCGTGCAGAGCTCATGCAGGTAGGTCTGCCTTCACCTCGGCCCCGGCAGGAGTGCAGAGCCCCACAGGTGTAGTCTGTAGGAGGATTCAGCCATCCCTGGGCGTCTCTGTGGAAGAGACAGGCTCTCTGAAAAATCGAATGCTGTGGTTTCATGCTTGCTTCTGATGTAATAAAAGAGATATGGAAATGCTTACTGTAAGTGTTGAATGGGTGCTTGTTTTGCAAGGTTGCCTCTTTCTGAGGGCTTTCACCAGTGTTGTATTTTCAGTAAACAGATGAGTTGTAAAGGCAGTGGTTATGCTCCCAGCAGGAGCCTCTAGCCACACAGACCTTCAATTCCATAATAAAAGGACTCTGAAGTGAAGGTTTGGGTGTCTGTCGTGTCCCATCCTAAGTGAAAAAGAATGTCATGGAGAAGATTGTTTTAAAGATTTTTTACATTTTTTATTCACTAAAGCTCATGTTAAGTATCTTAGACTTCTCATATATTGCTACTGTTACTATTTGTGATGTGTTTGGTAACATAGATTTGGACTGTCTGCTGTTTATTCCTCTGCCCCTGTAGCATAGAGCATTTGAACCTAGATGGGATCATGATACTAGCTTTACCTGATAGAATTTCAGTAATTCTAAAGGACCAGGGATCTTTGGACACACTGGATTGGAGACTATACCCTTGTACTTACAGTTAAAATTGGGAGATGCCTTGCCTTCCTGTCCTGGGATTTAGATCTCAGGTTCCATGTAGGCTGAACAAGATGGCATAAAGGTTAGAGTAGAGTCCTGAGGTCCACTTTTCCTGTTGTCACTCAGAGGATTGACTATGAGCCTACTTTTTTTTTTTTTTTTTGTCTTTTTCATTTTTATCGGTACCAGGGATCGAACTCACGACCGCCTGCTAGCAAGGCAGGTACTTATGCCGCTGAGCTAAATCCCCAGCCCCCGAGCCTACTTTGAAAACAGGGGTGTTGGTTCTAGATTGCCAAGTTTGGTCCTGACTCAAGTGTAGAGTGTGTGTGAGCAGAAGATGAGGAGAGGAGGCAGAGAGTGGGTATGGGTTCTTAAAAAAGGACAAGGTCAGTGCCTTTTTTTTTTTTTTTTTTTGTCTTTTTCCTTTTTATCAGTACCGGAGATCGAACCCACGACTGCCTGCTTGCAAGGCAGGCGCTTATGCCACCGAGCTAAATCCCCAGCCCCAAGTTCAGTGCCTCTTGCCCACACCATGAGGCAGATAACCCTGCAGAGAGATGAGGTCAATGTCACTCATTTTTTTGAGGCACAGTAAAAGTGCCCACCCTATGCCCTTGGACAAGTGGCATGGTGTTGGTTTTTCCTCACCCCATTCACTAGCTCAATGTTTGGGGTACAGAGCTGGGAGAAAGAACTTCTACCATGTAATGTGTTATGATGTTGAATTGTGTCCTGAGCTGTGTTAACCTATTATTTGAAAGAACTTCAAAAAAATTGTTGGTTTTAGGCTTTATGGCGCACTTTACGAAATCCTGCGGATAGTATCTCTCATGTAGCCTACCGAGTACTTGGCAAATTTGGTGGCAGTAACAGGAAGATGTTAAAAGAATCTCAGAAGCTGCACTATGTTGTGACTGAAGTTCAAGGCCCCAGCATTACTGTGGAATTCTCCGATTGCAAAGCATCTCTTCAGCTCCCAATGGAGAAGGTAAAGTGGGAAATCTTTGGGGAGCCTTGCAAAGATGCTGTGTTTTCTTTTTAAGAAAGTATTTCTTTTTACAGTAGGTAAATAAGACTTGTTTTGGAGGGGAGGGAGTTCTTAACTTAAGAGTAGAACAAAATTTTATGTGATTATCTCCTTTGTTATGTGGACCCTTTTAGTAGGGCAGTGAGAGACTATTGCCTTGGGAACTTGGGAATGTTGAATTGTTTTTTCGGTCTTTCTAGGTGAACATCCCTAAATTCTTGGTCTGTTTTTTTCCCCCTCAATCAGATTTTACTGGTATATTTCCTTTTTCTTTTTTTTGGTACTGGAAATTGAACTCAGGGCCTTGTGCTTGCCAGGCAGGCACTTATGCTGCCGAGCTATATCCCTTTTAGTGCATTTTACATACACATAGTGATTACATTCATTATAGAGAATTTGTATCTGTACGTGATAGAACTCCCATTCCCCTAACCTCCCGTCAGCCCCTCTTCCCTTCCTCAATTACAAAAGCTTTGCTTCCATTTCTCTTTTTAGTTTTCCCTTCTTTCCACTCCCTGCTCCTTTGTTCTCTCCATTTCTTGGTCTGTTTTGATCCCAACAGACTTTATATCAAATGCCATTAAGAAGTGAAGTTGATTCTTGTCTATGAACATTGTCTTTCCAGTACCTAATTTCTTCCATTCTCTATCCAAACATAGATCATGCTGTTTCTGTCCTTCCTGGCTCTTAATAACACATATGTTGTTACCATTAATGTTAATGTATTAGCTGTTAAAGGCTTCACTTCTTTTTCCTTTTTCTTTCTCTCTCTCTCTCTCTCTCTCTCTCTGTGTGTGTGTGTGTGTGTGTGTGTGTGTGTGTGTGTGTGAGTGAGAGAGAGAGAGAGAGAGAGAGAGAGAGAGAGAGAGAGAGATTGCACCGCCCTTGACTCCCTGGACAATCTAGTTGATATGAATTAGGATACAAATGGGTGTGTGTCTTTACATAGTTGTGTAGATTTTTTTTGAAGAAAGAAGATGTGACCTGTTTTCTCCTTTAAAAAAGGGAAATCAATAAGAATTTAAGAAAGCTATCTTTCAGATTTGAACTTAAACAGGGGAAAGTCTGTGGTCATCATATAGGCCATACAATTGTGAAGGTGATACAGAATCTAATTTAACACAGCAAATCTAATCTACCTTAGGAGGTCTGGTCACATATCTGTAATCTATTGGTTATTAAAACATGAAGTTATTAAACAACCTTTCTCATTTTCATTTGGTGAATACTTGTTGGGATATCAGCCCAATGCAAAAGAAGACACACACTGAGATTCTTCTGGGAGCTACCAGGACTTTGAGGGATAATTTTTCAGAACTCTAATTTCAGTGCAAATTTCTGTGCTTTTTGTTGCAGGCCATTGAAACTGCTTTGGACTGCCTGAAAAGTGCCAACACAGAGCCCTACTACCGGAGGCAGGCATGGGAAGTGATCAAGTGCTTCCTGGTGGCCATGATGAGTCTGGAGGACAATAAGCATGCGCTCTACCAGCTGCTTGCACACCCCAAGTACGTGATTGTGTCGTTCTCTGTGACTAGGCATGCCTTGCTGCAGGAATTAGGACTGCCTAGGTTTCTCAGTATAAGGAGCATGCTCCTTCATGTCAGGAAGACCATGTACTACTTACCTTTGGTCTCCAGAGAAAATGGAAAGGAGGACTTAGCTGCTGAGAATAAGATTTCACCTCAGTTATACTTGCTGCCACCAAGTAGTGTCATGTCCCTTTTGACTTCTTTTGCTCACCATTGTATGTAGCTCCCGTCATATGCAAAACATTTGTTGGACATTTTGCTTTTCCATTTTACAAAGATCTTTCTCCAAATACTTACTTTGATATTTGTGTTTGTCCTCATTACTATAGGCTATGTATAATACATGGATGCTGTATTGTCTTTCTGTTTTAAGGACAGATTTTTTTTCCATATATCTTCGCATTTCTTTCTTTCTTTTCTTTTTTTTTTATATTGGTACCGGGGATCAAACTCACGACTGCCTGCTTGCAAGGCAGGCGCTTATGCCACTGAGCTAAATCCCCAGCTGATTGATCTTCGCATTTCTTAACAGCTTCAAAAACAGTGCTAAATTTATAGAAGGCACTCAGTTGTTAAAAGGGGCATTGAAGAGAGAGCAGGCAAAAGGAGCTCCCTCTGCTTTTGGGAAGAGAAAAGGAAATAACAGTATTGTGACAGCCAGCAAATGCAACTGAAAGCAGAAATGCCCCTGTGCAAACTTCAGAGATTAGGATCAACAGAGCGAGGTTATAATTTTACTTATGGTGTTTATAAAAGGGAAACTTGAAAATACTTCCAGAAATCAGAAACCTGTAGAAATTGCTCAAGTTAAGGGAGAGAAAGGGAAGGCAGCGAATGTTTAGATGAGTAAAATACCCAGAGTGCATGCAGAGAGGAAACTATGTAAAGATGTAAAATTTTAAAGAGAACAAATCGAGTAAAGTAGCATAATTTGGTTGATGTTCCACAAGATGTGAGAGACATAATGGCCAAGAACTTTACAGAGCTGATGAAAAGTAAACAACAGTATACAGACTCAAGATCTTCTGAGACTTCAAAGCAGCATGAATAAAAAGAAATGTGCACATACATACATTAATAGTGAAACAGCAGAAAGTCAGAGACAGGGAGCATCTTACAAACTGGAAGAATAAAGTGACGATCTTGAAGTGAATGTTGGCTTGGCAGCTTTGAAAGCCACTGCACAGCAGAACATAACCTTAGTCTGGAAGAGAGCACCTGCCAACCTAGAGTCATGGACCTGGTGGAAATGTGACCGATAAATAAGGACAGAAGAAAGATATTTTCAGATTAAATCAAGTCTTTTTCCTTGTGGGTCTGTCATGGGGGACATTCTAAAGAGTGAGTTTCATTCAGACTAAAGAAACACTCCTCTTTGTATGATCCAACATGGGAGAAAAAACGAAAAGCAAAATTATGTATGATGTTAAATGTAAATGGGATGTGATCAGAATAACAGAGGGCACTTACAGCCTTAAAAGTCATAATAGATTGTTCACCATATAAACAAGTGCATTATTTCCAAACAAAATGTGATTGATGTGTGACATAATAGAAAATACCACTGAGCAGTAAGAAGAGGCAAACTGCACAGTGAAGCAGTCAAACCCAAGACCATATATTGGAAGATTCTACTTAAGGAAACCTGGAAAAGCCAAAAAAAGAGGCCAAGAACAGACCAGTGTTGCTTGGGAGCAGGAACAGGGATTGGTGATGGCTTGCACAACTGTATATATTTACTGAAACTTAATGAACTACATACTGAAAATGATTGAATTCTGTAGCATATAAATTGTGGCTCAGTAAAGGCTGTTTTAAATAGTAGAAAAATAATTGAGCTAAATGAGTCAGAAAAATGTAACAGTGAAAAGAAAACTTAAGAAATGAAGTAAGGAAACTATATACAGTAAATGGCTCAATAAAGCAAATGTTGATTTTTTTTTTTTTTTGAAAGAATAATAAAATTGGAAAGCCTCTGGCTTGGAGTAAAGAAAACATAACCACTATCAAGAAGGCAAGTGACATTACAGATGTGTGAAACACAAAGCAAAACGATCATGTCACGGACAACTTTCCCAATAAGTTTTAAAATGAGTGTTTATGTTTTCTCTGACTTTTATGACTCTTGTCATTTTTGAGGAGACCAGCTGTGTTGCAGAGTCGTGGAGTTGTCCCTGTTTCTTCATTGTGAGAAGACAGATCATTCCCTCAGTGGAAGTCCCAGGGAAGTTTTCTCACATTCCATGTCAAAATGACCTCGTACATTATGCTTACCAGGCTGAGGCAGAGTAACATGTAAAGTGGACAGGGGAGCTACTTGTGTTTCTCAGAGCTTTCAAAGTTGAACTCAGTACTTTTGTTTAATGTATTAATGACTGTTATTTTATTTTAATCGGTACCAGAGATCGAACACATGACTGAGTGCTTACAAAGCAGGCACTTATGCTGCTGAGCTGAATCCCCAAGCCCGACTGTTATTTTTTTAAAAACATTTTTATTTTTATGTTTATAATATATAATGATTACATTCATTGTGGGGAGTTGGTTTATGGACATAATACACCTTAATTCTTTTACATCCCTTTTCTCTCCTCTTTTCCTCCATTTCTCAGTTTCCTTCCTATTTACAAAAGGTTGATCACCCTATTTCTGTTATCTTTTATTTATTTATACTTAGGATAGCTGTGTGATATTTAAGCTTGCGCATTTGGTTTATTTCACTTTATTATGATCTCAAGTTACGTATTTTCCTTCACATGACTCAAATTTATCTTTATAGCATAGTACTCATTGTGTGTAAATACCACATTTCCTTTATTCATTCATCATAAACATGAGTGTGTGTGTTCTCATTGTAATATGGTATCTTTAACTGTTTTGGGAAGATAGCTAGATCAAATGGAATTTCTAGTTTTAGTTTTTTGAGGAACCTTTATACTGCTTTCCATAGTGGTTGTACTAGTTTGCATTCCCACCAGCAATGTAGAAGGGTTTGTATTTTCCTATAGCCTCACAGGCATTTGTTAGTGATTTCCTGATCTTTTTGGAGTGAGATAGGATCTCAGTTTTTTAATTTGCATTTCTCTAATGGTGAGAGATGTTGAGTTTTTGTTTCCCTCCTCATGTATGGGCTATGCTTTTTCTAAGAAGTATGTATTTCAGTTGCCCATTTTTAAAAATTGGGTCTTACCCTTATTAAACATTTGGGGTTTGAAGTATATCCCTCTTACCCTCCCCTCTTGGTTTAGTTAATCTTGTGTAAGGGCTACATTAAATGCTTTGTCAGAGGCACAGCCCATTTGATTCTGTGCTCTTGGTATGATATTTTAGCATGTAATATATGTGTAGCTGCCTTTAAGTCATAGCTTTTTTCAGACTTGTTTGATCATTGATTTTAGCTACTTTTTAGGGCTGACTCTTAAATACAAGGGTGAGACACCAGTTTTCTTAAATAAAAAGTAATAATGAAAATACTGAGTGTGCTACCTATAATTTATAATAGCTAAATCTTGGAAACAGTGCAATTGCTCATCAGTAGAGGAGTGAATAAAGAAGATTGTGTGTGTGTGTGTGTTTAATGCAGTGGAATACTGCTTTGCTATAAAGGATAAACTTGAGGCATTTCTAGGTAAATGGATGCATCTTGAGACCATACTTCTAAGTGAAATAAATCTGACACATGTTTATAGCATTGTTTCTCTAGTGTGAGATACTGAAAGAGTAAATGAGGGCCAAACTGTATAATAGATACTGTGAAATAGGACGAAAACGTTTAAAGAGGAAGCGGGGGAACTAAGAAGTGGGTGGGGGAGGGAGACGCGAAAAAAGAATAGAAGGAAAAAGGTGGGACAAAGCTTTTGTAAATAAGAGGAAAAAGGGTTGAAGGGAGGGGAGGGGATAGGAAAAAGAAAAAGAATCAAGATCTATCACGTTCAGGTACGAATTCCCTAAGATGAATATTATCATTATGTGTATCTAAAATGTACCAAGTTACATTGTAACTTTACAATGTAAAGTTAATTTAAAAAAATAAAAATCCTGAGTATGCTGCCATTTTAGATTTATTTCTGATTGCTCGTGTTCATATTAGGTAGAAATATACTTGGTGTCTTTTGAAACAGAAGTGTAAACATTGATAATGAAATTCACATTTGCTTCCAGATATTGCTGAAATTAAAGCAGAGAAATTAATTTACCCAGGTCTAAATAAGAGGGAAGTGGGCAGGTTGTTAGAGTAGAATCCTCAGCTCATTAGTTGGTTGATGTAATAACTAATACAACTTTGCCTTCCAGCTTTACAGAAAAGACCATACCCAATGTCATTATCTCGCATCGCTACAAAGCACAAGACACTCCAGCCCGGAAGACATTTGAGCAGGCTCTGACTGGGGCATTCATGTCTGCTGTCATCAAAGATCTGCGGCCCAGTGCCTTGCCTTTTGTTGCCAGCTTGATTCGCCACTATACTATGGTGGCAGTGGCTCAGCAATGTGGTGAGTCTAGGAATTGTCATAGCAGAAGGCATGGTTATTTCCCTTTTTCATGTGCTTTAGAAATTTGGTCAGGATATTCAGGATGTTTTGTCATTTCAGAGAAGCTGAGTAGCTGGTTGAGTTTTGGCTTTTTTTTTTTTTTGTACTGGGGATTGAACTTAGGGCCTTCATGCAAACTGCATCCTTCTCAGCACTTTTGGTATATTTTATTTTGAACCAGGGTCTTGCTAAGTAAGTAGCCCAGGAGGGATGCTAGACTCAAACTTGCAGTTGTCCTGCCTCAACTTACTTCCCAGAGGGCTGGTAGAGTGCTACCGTGCCTCTTGCCCTCTGTGGTTGGCGATTTATTGACTTAAAAGCAATTTTCAAGTTTTGTAATTTGTAACTTACCCAATTTCATCTTCAGGCACTTTGTTGTATGTGTATACATGTGTAATAAAAACGGAGGTAGAGTGTTTTTGGACGTACTGCATGTAAAAGTGATGGTTCAGGGTCCATTCATTTCTGACATTCTGCCCTTGGATGTTTTCTAAGACCTCCTTTCCTGTGCCCCATTACTCACTCTGCTCGCTGATCAGTTCCTCTAATGTCCCGTACTTCTCCTTCAGGTAGTTGTTGGCAGTGTTTTTCTACCTGGCACAGCCACTCACCTCTGCTTCAGTGGTTTTCAGGCTCCTGGTAGAGGAGGATCAGTTGTTCTGTTTTGCAGATGATGCTTTTGAAAAGGACAAGAAAAATGCTACTGCTACATAGGTTTCTAAAAATATGCCCTCAATGTTTGGATCTTCTCCCAGCCCAGTACCAGTGAGTTTGCAGATCATATTTGAGTAGTGCTGCTCCAGCTTGTCCTCAGAATCCCTCCTGAGGCTGACCAGCACTCTTCTGTGTGCTTGCCCATCTTTTTGGCCAGAACAATACCATACAACTCTATTTGTTTCTCAGTAATTCCTCTGCATGAACATTGTCTTTCTAGCAAAGGTAATCCTGATAACCTCCCATCTTGCATAGTGTTGAGTACCTACCAGGTGCTAATTCCAAGTTGCTGTGGCCAACTGTTCTTTGACCATGTATATTCTCTGGATCACTTGGCTACTGTTGCCTTTTGTTTGTTTGTTTGTTTGTTTTTATAAAGACAGGGTCTTGTTAAGTTGCCCAAACTGGGCTTGAATTTGTGATTTTTGTGCCTGTCCCTCATTGTCCCAGAGAACTAGAGTTACAACCATGTGCACCACACCCATGCTCACATGTTAGGAATATCCAGAACAACCTATGGCCTTTCTCAGTGCCTCTTGTTCTGAATTCTTAAATTTAAGGGGAAAATCAGGTCGTTTCGCAGTTTGAGGGCCAGGAATGGTTATGGGAATGAACTCCCCTTGCTCTTTTACCTGCTCTCTTTTTCCAGGTCCTTTCCTGTTGCCTTGCTACCAGGTGGGCAGCCAGCCCAGCACAGCCATGTTTCACAGCGAAGAGAATGGATCAAAAGGAATGGATCCCTTGGTTCTTATTGATGCAATAGCTATCTGTATGGCTTATGAAGAAAAGGAACTTTGCAAGATTGGGGAAGTGGCCTTGGCTGTGATATTTGATGTTGCAAGCATCATCCTGGGCTCAAAGGAGAGAGTAAGAAAGAATGATGTCTTCTGATAATAGGGGTGTTTGTACCCGGGAGTAGTTGTTGTAAGAAACTAGTAGTTTGAGAGTTTCGGTATCTTTAAGACTTACTTGTTTCTCTCTCTAGGCCTGCCAGCTTCCCCTCTTTTCCTATATTGTGGAGCGCTTGTGTGCCTGCTGTTATGAGCAGGCCTGGTATGCAAAACTGGGAGGTGTGGTGTCCATTAAGTTTCTCATGGAGCGGCTGCCTCTCACATGGGTTCTTCAGAACCAGCAGACATTCCTTAAAGCACTGCTCTTTGTCATGATGGACTTAACTGGAGAGGTAGGTGTGGATAGCTCCAAGGCTGAATAATCACACTGCTTAGCTAGTCTTTGAGCAGTCTGCCTGGGGGCAGTTCTGCAGTATGTGCTCCGCCCAGCAAGGAAGTGCTAATGCTCAGTTTCCCTACCGTGTCTCTAATTTAGAGACAGCTCCAAGCCCCCTCTCCCATAGGCTGTTTTTGGGTACTGGTTTACTTGCTCTAGAGCAGTCACAAATCAGAATGCATGTGAAGGAAGGGGTGCTGCTTCACATGTACTGCAAGTTTCCACAGTTGTTCTGTTCTTGTGAAACCATTTGCAGATCTAACACATGCTGATAGACTGGTGTAGCTATCACCAGCTTAACTGATAAATACCAGGGTTATATCTAGGTTATGTTTTCTTTTCTGAATTCACCTACAGGGAAGTGATTTAGGTATACTAAGGTGCTAAGTGGATGATATAAAACGGTCTTTCTTGTCAGCTTGTATGCAGGGCTGTAGGTGGGTGTAGTGGGCAGCATCACCCTCCTTTTCCTTCTATGGCCTTCCTGACCTACAGGTTTCCAATGGGGCAGTTGCCATGGCAAAGACCACTCTGGAACAGCTCCTCATGAGGTGTGCCACGCCTCTAAAAGATGAGGAACGAGCCGAAGAGATTGTGGCAGCTCAGGAGAAGTCTTTTCACCATGTGACCCATGATTTAGTTCGAGAAGTCACCTCTCCAAACTCTACTGTGAGGAAACAGGCCATGCATTCACTGCAGGTATTGGCGCAGGTCACTGGGAAGAGTGTGACAGTGATAATGGAACCACATAAAGAGGTGAGATTTTTGATGTGCAACCAGGGTGGTTTTTACTTATTTCAAATTTGAATTCTAAATAATGTTTATAATTTTGTGTTCATATTGTCTGGTTTGTACATACTCTTTCTGGCTTCTTATATGTGAATTGTAGTGTGTTTATATTTTGGCTGTGTCATTATTATTTGTGTCAAGAGAATAGAAGTTTCCTGAGTCTGTATAGTACTATAAGGAACTCTAGTTTTGTTCTGTTTTGTTTTAAGAGAGGTCACTATGGAATCTTAGGAACTAAATGTTTCTGACAGACTTGTCCACAGCTCAATCCTAGCACCTGAATCATGTCTTGCCTACCTTATTGAAGAACTTCTGTGTAACCATGCCTTTCATAGTTTTCAGACTGGTCAGTGTGGAACATTACCACAAAACGCCTTTGTTGTTAAAGGGGCAGCTGGTTAGTGGTGTCCTTCCTTGTCTTTCCCAGGTCCTTCAGGATATGGTCCCACCCAAGAAGCACTTGCTTCGACACCAGCCTGCCAATGCGCAGATTGGCCTGATGGAAGGGAATACATTCTGTACCACGCTGCAGCCTCGGCTCTTCACAATGGATCTTAATGTGGTGGAGCATAAGGTGTTCTACACAGAGGTAGGGGGTGGTGGTGCAGAGTGGTGTGGATGGGGATGTGTCTGCTAGCCTGTTTTCTACAAGAAGTCTGGTGGGCTGAGTTCAGACAAGGCTCAGATAGTGGTATAGGTAACCAGTTTAGCCTGGCACAGCACTCTAAGCAGGTATTTTGTGACTGGGATTTAGTAGGAGGGAGTTTTAGAGATGTTTAGCAAAATGTTGGCAGTTTTGTGAGTCCTCAGGACTCTTGTTAGCTCTACAAAACTGTTCTCTAACTTAGGGCTTTAAAGTTGTATTTTAGAGATACAGTATTCTTCTTTTTTTTTTTTTTTTTTTTTTTTTTTTAATTGGTACCGGGGATCGAACCCAGGACCGCCTGCTTGCAAGGCAGGTGCTTATGCTGCTGAGCTAAATCCCCAGCCCCATATTCCTCATTTTTAATTGTTCTCATCAGCAGCACTCAGAGTAAGGTTAATATACCATGCACTGGTGAGACATCATGGCAGTGCCCATGAGATGTAGATGCTATTTCTTCATGTTGTGAAGACATCGCAGCTGAGCCTGAGGGTTTGTTTCTTAGCCAAGACCACAGAGCAAGTAAGCTGCAGACCTAAGGTTGTAACCAGGAACGCTTATTTCAGAGCATGCTTCCCACTCGCTGCACTATCCAGCTGTGCTCTTATTCTGTTTAGTTAACTTGACTTGCTTCTTGGCCCAAACATGGACACTGGCACTTCACATCTTCTAGACATGTGTCAGTGCAGACATTCCAGTGTGAGGTGGCACTACATAGCAATCAACAGAAATTAAATTGCAGGTATAGTCAGATTATAAGCATTAATTCTTAGAATTTAATCGTGATCTGCTAGATAGTTTTGATTTGGACATTTTACAAGATATGAATCATGCATTTGTAGAGATAGCTGTAGTAAACTAAGGCCAAATTCCTAAGGAAATAAATTTTTGGTTTATACTGTGAGTTTCCAACTATGAAAATTTACCTCTTGATTTTTTTTCTTTTTGAAGTTCTTCGGTTTTCTTGGGCCATATGATCAAGCAGTTACACCTTGTTACATCATTTGCCCTTGAATTGACAGAGGGTCAGAAACCTCTGTAAAATGAGAAAATAGCTTTTCTTGCAATTCTGCAGTCAGACATATTATGATCTGCACAGAAAACTGTCCATAAACTTAGGACTGGAACTTCATGGTGTGAAGGGTGTAAGACTCTTCTCTAGATGTTCATCAGTGTGCTGGCTGTACCAGAACATGCAGGAGTCTCTTGAAAATATAGACTGTTAAGCCCTTTCCTGGAGATTAAGGTTCATAGATATCACACACACACACACACACACACACACACACACGGGAGGAGAACATTGTCAAAGGACCTGGTAACAGTGGTTGTCGATGTCCGCTCCCGGCCGGCAGGAAGGACACACGACAAAGTCTGGTAGTGGACAACCTTTTCTTTTTATTTTCCTTCTCCGTACAGCCTGCCCTGGGTTCTCCCAGCTGAAGCCTCCTCTGGTCCGCTCCCCGCGGCTCCTTTTGTGCTTCAGTCTGCCCCAAAGCCTCTACCGGTCCGCTCTCCGCAGCTCCTTTTGGGCTTTTACTTCTGGGCTTCTACCTGGCTTCTTCTTCCGCCCAGGGGTGGCACCGGTATATATACGGGTACAGTGTCCAATCATGTTAAAGTAAGCAAGGCAAGCTGATTGGCTAACATCATCAGTTGCCAGGCAGACTATATTGTTGAGCGGGTTGTTTACGCGGTAAGCAGGAAACTAACATATTCGATGGGAGGGGTAATCTACCTCAGGCTTTGCTCTTTACCACAGGCCGCACGTCCGCCGCGCAAGGCGAGCTATCACAGACGCGGCTCCCAACATCTCCCCCTATTTTATTTTTTATGAATGTGCGCATCGTAGCCCTTCCTGGACTGGGTGCAGAGGCTTATGCCCTATGTGTAGGCCCACCGTAGGTCCTTGGCTTAGACCCTGGTTGGCCATGCCATGGTCTGCCAAGGCCCTGAGGCCCTCGTCCTTTTTCTAGGGCCAGGCACAAACTGGACGGAACCTGGATGCACACAAGCTTGCATTCATTTCCTCTCCGTAAAGAAATCCCCTCGGAGAGAAATTTAGACCTGGGCAGCATCTAACAGTCCAGCGGCTTACGTGCAGGATGGGGTAGGGCCTGGCTTAGGTCGAGTCGTGCTGGGGAGGCACGCTCTTACCCGTCATTGACTCACCTACCCTGCTGTGTATTGTCACCTTATGGAGGAGAATGAGGGATGCCCGCCATATCTAGACTCGGTCGTGGGCCAATTGAGCAAGCCATGCATATGCCTGAGGATCTTCTTGTCCATTTCGGGCTACCGCTATTTCTATTCATCTTATTGGTTGGTCTGTGATGGATCTCCAGTAGGGCAGGTCTGATCTTCAGTCGAGGGCTTTGTTGCCCGTGTCAGTCTCTCCGGTATCCACAGTGGTTCTCGTCCCGGTTCCTGTGGGAAAACACAAACCGCGCCTCAGTTCCAGCTGACCACTGGATCCGGGCCCATCCATTGTCCTGTCAGGACATCTTTCCACTTCACCCACCCTTTATGGTTGGGGGAAGGGTTGCAGTGCTCCACGGCTGGGGAGCGATTATCATTATTTAAATTTAAAAAATTGTGTGTGAATAGTGCCATGGATAATCGTGCCTTTGGGGCCAGGCCTTGGCCTACTCCCCCTTTTTGTTTTTTATTTTTTATTTTTATCTTTTTCGTTTTTTTTTTTTTTTTTTTTTTTTTTTTTTTTGGTACCAGGGATCGAACTGGCGATTGCCTGCTTACAAGGCAGGCGCTTATGCCGCTGAGCTAAATCTCCAGCCCCCCTTTCCTCGACCGGCGTTTTTCTCAGCCTGCTCGGCAGAGAACTCTGTGTATCAGGCTCGCCAATCCAGGTAACTGCCCGAGGGCAGACACGCCTTTGCCAGCTGAATCCAGTCCGCGGGGGTGAGGGGCCCAGAAGACAGATTCTCCAGCATGGCAATGGTGTAAGGCGCAGTCGGCCCAAAGGTTGTAACTGCATTTTTAAGTTTTCTAATCTGCTTTATCTCAAAAGGCTCCCATACATTGCGTCCCTGGCCCATAGCTACTTGTACAGGAAATATCCCGTAGGGGCCACTATCTATCCCAGGTGGATGTACCTCATGAGACAAGCGTCCCCCCTGCCAAAGCCGCCTGTAAAAATACCGACCCGCCGGCGGCGGAGCATAAGACAGCGGCCGTGATTGGGCGGAAAATGGGGGCCCGTGCATCACTTCCTGTTCTGGCGAAAGGGGAGAGAGCTCCCAGGCGGCCGCCTCGTGGCGAGGAATCGCCTCCGGAAACGGCCCCCAAGGTGGGGCGGAAGGCTTCGCCTCCCTCTCGCGCCGGGGAGCGCTCAGGAGCTCTCTACTCCTCCGCAGACCAGGTTGAGCAGAGCGCAATTCGCGGGGCAACGCTGGAAAAGAACCCTGCGACTCCTTATTGAGCGATTTAGGCTCCTGACAGCTGGTCTCTTTGGCCTCCTTGCCATTCAACTTTCCCTCGTCCTCGGAGTCAGACGACTCCGAGGCTAGAGCCCCGTCCTCCTCCTTAGCATCCTTGTTCCCCTTGACGGACCCCTCTCAGGAGCTCCCTGACTGGGCCTGCTCAAATACCCTGCGTACTTTTGTAAGCTCTTGAGAGCTTTCTCCACAACCACCCTCGCTCTTAGTGTTGCTACCTAACATGTTTCCCATCTTTTAATATGTTACTCACCGCGTGAGGCCCAAGGAATCCGCCACTTACGCGTGAGCCTGAGGGGAGTCTAAAAGCCCTGTAGGTGCGCGCCACCCAGAGCCCAGGCTTATCCCCAACTCACCTGTCTCGCAGCTCTGTACTGGAGCGTTGTCCACTTCCACGTCTCGGGGGTGATCAGTCCCCGTACGGGCCACCAAATGTCGATGTCCGCTCCCGGCCGGCAGGAAGGACACACGACAAAGTCTGGTAGTGGACAACCTTTTCTTTTTATTTTCCTTCTCCGTACAGCCTGCCCTGGGTTCTCCCAGCTGAAGCCTCCTCTGGTCCGCTCCCCGCGGCTCCTTTTGTGCTTCAGTCTGCCCCAAAGCCTCTACCGGTCCGCTCTCCGCGGCTCCTTTTGGGCTTTTACTTCTGGGCTTCTACCTGGCTTCTTCTTCCGCCCAGGGGTGGCACCGGTATATATACGGGTACAGTGTCCAATCATGTTAAAGTAAGCAAGGCAAGCTGATTGGCTAACATCATCAGTTGCCAGGCAGACTATATTGTTGAGTGGGTTGTTTACGCGGTAAGCAGGAAACTAACATATTCGATGGGAGGGGTAATCTACCTCAGGCTTTGCTCTTTACCACAGGCCGCACGTCCGCCGCGCAAGGCGAGCTATCACAGACGCGGCTCCCAACAAGTGGTGATTAAGGTTCATAGACATCACACACACACACACACACACACACACACACACGGGAGGAGAACATTGTCTAAGGACCTGGTAACAGTGGTGATTAAGGTTCATAGACATCTCACACACACACACACACACACACACACACACACACACACACACACACACGGGAGGAGAACATTGTCTAAGGACCTGGTAACAGTGGTGATTAAGGTTCATAGACATCACACACACACACACACACACACACACACACACACACACACACTAAAATATAAGTTAAGGGGAAAACACTGATAGAATGACATCTATTTTAAGTGTTAGGTACATCGGTACTTGTACACTAGAACATCTGGAAGGATAACCACAGGAACTCCCAGTGGTATTCATCCTCCTTCATTATGTTTTCTGTTCTGAAACAGAAAAATTACAAACACTCAAATATTTGTATAATGGCCCATCTGTTAGTCCAGGGCATTGGGTAAGCAGCTCGAACAATGGGTCACAGACCTGCCATCATAAAATTTGCAGTTAGATGAAATGATACTATCTTTTGAGAAAAAGCATGGTATCAGAGTGAATGAGAATGTATCTTAAGAATATATTGATTAAAGAGATTAAGGAATTTTGCATTAAAATAAGGAAGTTTAGTCATATCATGATACTTTTAGAATTTGTGTTCAGTTTATCCATTTTTAATCATACTGCCATGTATATGGGAGATTGCTGTATTCTGTTCCTTGCAAAGTAGCTGTGTCTTTCCAGGAGTGGGCTCACCCCGTTTTATCTTTCCTAGCTTTTGAATTTGTGCGAGGCTGAGGATTCAGCTTTAACCAAACTGCCATGTTATAAAAGCCTTCCATCACTTGTGCCTTTACGAATCGCAGCACTAAGTAAGTTACAGAGTATTAAAAAGAAAGGAGATAGTGACCTTTATTGTTGTTGTCTATTTTTTCTGGATTTTTATGGTGTTTTAAATACAGGATCAAAAACTTAAGTTTGTAGCCAGATGTTTTGGCACATGCTTATAATTTTAGCACTTGGGAGGTTGAGGTAAAAGGGTCATGAGTTCGAGGCCAGCCTGGGCTACACAGCAAAACCTCATTTCAAAAGGCAAAAATCAAAAGTTATTTATCAGATTATGTTATGAGATGTTGTAAGATTGAATATATTATTAAGATTTAGATAATGTTATACGCTAAACCATATATATTACTTGGTAGTAAATACTTCATAATTCTCCTTAAGTATCAAATGTTCTGACTTCAAAGAATTATCATATGGTCTGCATAGTGTAATTTTCATCAGAAACTAAGTGTGATCCAAATAGTGTAATTTTCATCCCGAGTATGTAATAAGTACTATACAGTCTATATAAACTTCTTCATGACTCAGAAGCATTTGAAATTCCTATAGTCTCTTTTCACTAGGAACTTCATGTTAATTGGTTATAGAAAAATTGTGTGGTTTAGGGAAATACATTAGATCAATACTAAATAACCGAAGCAGTCACTTTCTTTTTTTCTTTTTTAGTGAGTAATAAATACCTAGTTGATTCTTTGTTATTGGTTTTTGTTTGAGACATGCTTCAATCCAATGTTAGTTAAGAGAAGACATTCTAGCAAGATCATGTTTGCTAACAGAAAAGAGGTCACAGGAGAGGCACCCAAAGATACAGAACTGAGGAACTAATACACAGTCCCGCTGCACACCTCTATCCCTTTGGTTTGTGCTGTCTTGAGCACTCTGCCCTCATTCTCATGTCTAGGTATCCCAGTCCACTGTTTGGCTCCTCTACCTAATTCAAGAGGGATCTGGCAACACTTTATAAGTTCTTTTAATAAGTATAAAAAAATTATATATGCTTATAATCCAAACAGTAAGGAAACTGAGGTAAGTCTCCTTTCTTAAGAACATTTGCATTTTTAAGAATTTAAGGACTTTAACCCCCAGAGTTGGACACTTGCGTAGTGGAGACACTACATAGTGGAGAGCCATGTGTGTCTGATCCATATATCAGCTATAAGTGGAAGTTCAGAGACTGCATTGTTGTAATTTCAGATGTGACTGCCCAGGCTAGCCGTGTGAGGATGTCTTGGAGGCAAGGGTATCTGGAGACTTGGTATTGCCTTTCAGGCAGAATTGACCTCATTTCTAGACCATACTGAGCATGTGGCTAGTGGACCATGCGTTCTTTTTTAGCAGGAGAGAGGATTAGTGGTTCATATTGTAGTATCTTTAAAAAAAAAAAAATTGTTTAGGTATTTTTCAGGTTAATAATGAAATTTTACCAATTTTTTCCCTAAAGATGCTCTTGCTGCCTGCAATTACCTTCCTCAGTCCAGGGAGAAAATCATTGCTGCACTCTTCAAAGCCCTTAATTCCACCAATAGTGAGCTCCAGGAGGCTGGAGAAGCCTGTATGAGAAAGGTGAGTGTGCCTGTATGAAAGAGACACCTATAAGTCAGTTTGTCTGGGTGTCACATGCTAGATTGTAATAAGTTTGTCTGCTTTGTAATCATGATGGCTCTTTTAAAATGTTAAATAGTAAAGCCCCTTGTTTCATGGTTAGTTTCTGGAAGGCAGGTAGTACTGTTTTCCCAAGGGAAAACACTGACTGCTGTGAGTAAATACTGGTTGGCTGTGAGTAAAATGTAAAGTGTTCTCCATTGACTATTTTTTTTAAACTTCTCTTTTTAAACAGTTTTTAGAAGGTGCTACTATTGAAGTAGACCAAATTCATACACATATGAGACCTTTGTTGATGATGCTGGGAGATTACCGAAGCTTGACGTTGAATGTTGTGAATCGTCTGACTTCTGTTACAAGACTTTTCCCAAATTCCTTTAATGACAAGTTTTGTGATCAGATGATGGTAAGCCAAATGGGATTAAGCAGATTCTATAATCAATTTGAGATGTCAGGCAGAAGGAGTGCCAAGTTTGAGACCAGCCTGGATTATGTAGTGAGTTCAAGCCGATCCTGAGCTACATAGTGAGACCCGTGTCAAAAATTACTGATTTTTCCTCCTCTTTCTTTCTTACAGTTCTGGGGATTAAACCCAGGATCTTCACACTAAGATTCCCCAACCTTACCTCTCAGCCTTTTTTATTTTGAGACTAGGTCTTGCTAAGTTGCCCAGGCTGAGCTCAAACTTGGGATCCTTCTGCCTCAGCCTCCCAGAGTTCTAGAATTATAGACATGTGCCAGCATACACTGTTTTACATTGTTGTTTTTTTAAATCTCATCTTTTTTAAATTATTATTTTATTTTTTCAAAGCTATTTTATTTCAAAGAAAAATAAATGAAATTTCAAGACACGTCATTCAGGGGGCAACAGTGGTACATACATAAGTCTTTTTCTTTCTTTCTTTCTTTTTTTCTTATCAGTACCGGGAATCGAACTCACGACCACACACTTACTTGCAAGGCAGGCGCTTATGCCGCTGAGCTAAATCCCCAGCCCATGTTTGGTGAATTAAAGATCTGATGATTAATATCCTTCAGGGAATTTATTAGTAAAATGTTTTTATTCTAGTACTTGAAGAATTTGCTTTATTTAATACATGCATTGATCAGTGACCCTGCAATATGTAGGTGTTTCATGCAAATCCATTCTTTGGATGCATGAGTTTGAGAAACACAGCTTTTGAAGTTTGACAAGGACTTTAGGGATACTAAAGGCTCAGGAAAGGCCTAGAGAAGAGTGTTTGGGAGTCTTTCAGTCGTTTTCTTGAAGTCCACTTCATTATGGAACTCTTTTTAAAGCATCGTGCTAACTTCCCAGAGCACATTAGTGCCTCCTGAAACCCCTGCAGAAGATTTAGGCCTCCCATCCAGCAGTAAGGCACGTAGATGCAAATAAAGACAAAGAGAGAAAGTTCTGCAGGTGAGGAGCTCTGGGATGGCCTAGTGCTCTCTGTGGAACAAGATGTCCCATGTCCAAATTCTCATGGCTTTTATTGGTTTTGATCAGGGAAGTGGGTGGGGGTTGCAGCAGAGTGCTAGGACAAAGAAACTTTACAGGTATTGGCTGTAAGGAGAAGCAGAACAGTTTTGTACCATACACAGAGGCCCTTCAATTAGCAATGCAATGGACAGCTTGATGTATGCAAGACTGGCATCTTTATTTCCAGGAAGGAATAATTCTTTTTGAGCACCATGGCCTCAACTGAGATGTTGTCTATGTATTAGCTCTCGAATCTCACAGGCTGTTGCTAGGGCCCCCATTCTAGTTATCAGCAGTGGGGGTAGTTCTTATTCGTGTCTTGCAGTGGCATCTCAGCTAGACTTGATGACATTTCTTTTAGCCAGTTGAGGGAACATCTGGTTCAGTCTAGGCAGCTCTGCATATCTCAGTGAATAGAGCTGAAATAAAGATGGGGAAAAATGGAGACAAAAGGCTTCATTTCTCAGGAGAATGCATCTTGGCAGTCTCCCATCAGTACGCTAAAGAGTTAGTCCGGACAATGCATAGTAAGAAAGTAGCCTTTGTTATTTGAATGCCCTTGTTAGGGTTTGGGTCTCGGGCTCTAAGTGTTTGTCCACTTGGATGTGCTGGGCCTAGGTTGGAGCACTGTTATCACAAACCCAGATTAACTATTGGCAGGGCTCTCTTCCCATGTGTTTGCCTAAAATGCAGGGCTTCACTACATACATAAAGAGTGCCCTCATTCTGTACAGGACAGAACTGCTGCCTGACTGCATCAGTTTGTACAGCCTCTGACCTAGAGGGATCTGTACCTATATATCACTATTTCTCCTGGGCTCCTTGTGCTACTGTTTCTCCACTCCAGTGGCCACTTGTCTCCTTTGGTTTTTGGACCCTTTTCTCTCTCATTACCTGGAGTGTACTTCTCCCACTTGGGTCCTTCTGGCCTCCCTCTTTTCAGTCCCTGCTTAGACATCATAGCCTCCCTGGGGACTGCCTTAATCCCAGCCCTTACCTGAAGTTGTTTGCTACTCTTTTTGTAAAACTTACCATAACTGCACTTGTGCACAGCATGCACCTGCTCTTTTACCTGTTTTCTTGCTTGGCCCCAGGACAGGAATAAGATCTCCACTCTGGTACCTGACATAGACCTCGCTGAACAGTTGTAAAAGTAATCAACATATAGGAAAGTGACAGGGCCTGGCACTGTAGTGACTAGGTTCCTGAACTCTTTCTGTCGAATTGATAAATTTAGCCTGTTTGTTTACTATCCACAAGGCTAGTTTAGTGATCAGGCTGTTTAGATAATGTGAGATTCAATCCTCCATTAAATACATTGAAACAAGGGAAATTAATGATGACAAGTTTTCACCAGTTGGCAGTATTTGAAAGTGAAATGCTCCTGTCATGAAGAATTTGTGTCTAAGTCTGTTTTTTTCAACAGCAACATCTGCGCAAGTGGATGGAGGTGGTGGTCATCACTCACAAAGGGGGCCAGAGGAGCGACGGAAACGTGAGTGACTCACTTGTTTCTGGGACAGCTGCCCCTGTGGCACATCGCTGATATTAAGTGTTAATGCCAGAACAGTGCCTTAATTAAATTGCCAGTCAGAAATGGTTTTATGTGAGTATAGTCCATGTAAACTGTTAAAAACATTGTTTTAGAATTACATTTTGCTTTTGTTTCTCTTAATGGATGAACGTTCCTTTTTATGTTTAAACTCTCCCTTCTGTTTACTTTAATATGACGTCTTTGTTGAAAGTTCTGGGAAGCTTGAAATGTTAGTATTTCAATTTTATTAGTACAGTATGTTTTCTAGACCGTTCTTGGCAGCTGCAATTTACATGGTGGTGCATTTCTCACCTGTTGTTTCCATTGCTGTCTATCATTTGGTTGGTAAAAGTTTATGTTTAATCATTATTGTCCGATAAAACTGCCTAGAGATTTTTTAGACTTAAAAACACGAAGGAAAATGTAATAAAGCATCACGTAAATATCAGCATACATATTTTTTCTAGGCCTAAGATTCCTTATACAAACTGCCAAAAATTGAGACTAGCATTTAAAGCAAATTTGTGTGATTTTGAAGAAAAACCACTCCAGTTAAATCTTTTTAAAGTATCTGATGTTGGTCATTAAAGGCTTACTGTCTTCAAAAATGCATGCTTTCTCCTGTTTTGAATCTAATTTATTATATGTGCTAATTTTAAAAAGTATTTTTTAAGTTCATGATGCCCTGTCAGTGGAATGGTACATCCTATACTTTCTGATATCTGGTGACATCCTACGGTAGTGTCCCCACTAGGGAATTCCACATAGTTCTTTTGAGGCATAAATAATACGACTTTTTGTCTTTTCTTGTGCCTATTTGTTGGATGCTGTGTTTCATCTCAACTTGGATTTTTTTTTTTTGCTTTATTATGCTTTGTTTTGACCATTTCGTATCAGTGTAGTTTGTTTTTGCATCTTTCTTGCTGCTTCTAAATAGCCAACTAAGCAGAACTAAACCAGGATTTTAAACTTCTGAAAGAAATTTTATATTATGCACAACCTTGTGAATGGTTTATTTACGCATGCAAAAAAATCTTTATGGAAGAATTGGTTGTTTATATATGCAAAACAAAATTGAAAATCTTCATAGAAGAGAGCATATTGATAAAGCCTGTGCTCTTATAAGTAGGTACAGGTGCCTCTCATTTCATGGAAGTATTTTTGCTTTACATTTTTACATTTGTTTTTACAATAAATTAGTTTCCTGAAACACATAGTACTAGAATAGCAATAACAACAAAAAAATCTATTGGGTAGATGAATGACTTCCATTGAAACAAAAAAAAATTGCATAAATTTTGTAGTACATTATTTTGGGGGAGGGGTGCAGTTCCACTATCAGGGCATGGGTGCTGGGAAGTTCTTAAGCTCCTTCTAAGACATTTACATTGTCCTATGAATGTACAGCCTAAACAGCATTATATGCTAGGTTTTAGGACGTGAACCATGTGTCTGAAATGCAATCCATGGGATTTAGGGTCCAAGGGCAGAAAACATGGCTATGGTTTCATCACCGAAGCCCAGGGAGAGGCCTGTGCTCTGCTCTTGAACTCTGATAATTTTTTAAGGGATGTTGTACAGAATCGGCACTGGCCCAGGTCCTGAGAAAGTAGTATATTCTTGTTTGGTAGAATTGCCAAATAATTTTGCTTAGTTACCAAATTTGAAAATGTTATAAGAGAGAGGAGAGAGGTAGAATCTCAGGTGTAATTTGGAATACCCCTGAAGATCACCATATTTAGATTCGTTTCCCCTTTTGATGTTATAACAGACAACAGGACTCCCTGGTAGAACGCTACTGTACACACACACACATACACAGGAATGCATGCAGCTAGTTTTATGAAGACTGCTTCACTGCGTAAGATAATTCAGCTCTCTGATGGGTGGTATCATGGTCTGGGGAGTGAGACTTAGACATGTCTGATTTGTGGGGTTGCACCGCCTGGTTCTTTTCTGACTCTAGTTGGGAAAGGTCTGTCATCCCCCCGCCCTTCTGCTTGTAATGTCTTAGCACTTTACATAAAACTTTGAATTATTTACTCTAAAAAGTAAGTCTTAAAAATGTGTTTGCATACAAGAAGGTCTTACCATTTCTCCTCTTATACAAGAATCTTGAAACATTGTTTTTAACATTTGACTGAGAGAAGAAACACTCTCTGTTAGAGGCTATCCCAGGGCCATGTTAGACATCTGAGGGTGGAAGGTGTGCTGTTTGCTGCTGAGCATTTGTAATTATTGTGTGCTTTTTGATAATTGTGTCTTTACTGTCTTGTTAACCCCAGTAACCCTTACTGTGTTTGAGTATTTGGGAAGTTTTTATATAAATGACATAAATAGAAAAAGATGATTTTCCTCCCCATCCTCAGGAAAGCATTTCAGAGTGCGGGAGATGTTCCTTGTCTCCATTCTGTCAGTTTGAGGTGAGAACAACCTATTAAAAGTCAGTTTATGACTTGCAATGTGAAGAACACTTTTATCTTTTTTTTTTTTCTTTTCCTTTTATCTTTTTGTTGCCTTTTTTCATGCTGTAATTTTTGTTTTGGTTCAGCCTGCCATGGAAGGGGTAGAGGTGAGAATTTCAGTGGAGTTGCAGGCGGGGGTTGTTGTCGCATTTGGTTTTGCTGTGACTCGTTAGCTGTGTTGTGATTCTGTAGTGGACACAGTGCCTTGTGCCTTTGAGTGCAGTGACTTGTACTGTCTGTCTGTGGCAGAGTTGTATTAGTATCATTGCTGTGAACTGTCCGGATGCCACGCATGTTCTATATTAGGACGTTTTAAGCAAGATTCTAAGTTCTTTTGTTTTTTTTCCACGTGTTAGAATTGCAATATTTCAATGTTATTCAATATTGAATGGGGTTTTGCTGCCATAACATTCATAAGAACTCATATATCTATCACCCTCCTAAGAAGAATTGCCACAAAATGTATATTTAATCTGTTAGAAATTGAGAGCAATCATATTCTGTTGCACACTGCTGGCTTAATGACTGCCTTAAATTTTGAGCCTCTTTGTCCTGCTGCCGACCACTCCCCTTCCTCTTCTTACACACACACACACACACACACACACACACGCACACGCACACGTATGAGCACACTGACGTAGTTCTAACACTGCAGCTTTAGATAGTCACACTCCTGAGTTTTCTCTCTTCTGTAAAATGGGGATAATGACATCTATAATTTCTGTGATGGTGTAAACACCAAATGAAGTAGTTTTTGTAATGTTGCTATGAAAATTATGACATAAAAGAGCATTTTAGAGTGTAATGAATTTGCAATAGAACTGACTATCTGCCGGCCTGAAAATTTGTAGAAGAGAGCTATAGAGATGGGATGTGGTACTACTTAGTGGATTTTTCTTACTTCCTGCTTGTCTGCTTTTGTTTAAAAAGGAAGTTTGAAAAGTGTCTCAAATGCTACTAGGATTGTGGTCCCTTCTGAGCAGTGTTTGTCATCCCCATTTTACTTCATTGAGAGTGATATATACAATATCTCTTGCATATCTCTTGCATAAGATGCAGGCTGGCCCATCAGGGGCTCTTCTTCCTTGAGGCAACAGAGAGGTCCTTTAAATAGCCCACACACAATTCTGGCCTCTGAGAATGTGAGGTTGTGTTAGCCTTCAGGAGCCCACCCCTGAACTGTCAGAGCACTAAAAACTATAGAACTTGATATTTCGTACACTTTTCACATGATTCAGTAGGGCAACTTGTCAGCTCTATTTTTTGGCCTGGTTGACAGATACTTGGCACTACTACCAATCATTTATGTACACTGATATTAGTTTACAGGATAAAATGTGTAAGTATTTTTTAAGAACTTGTTTTTAGCTAGTTTTTGAAAGCAAAAAAAAGTCTGCTTAATCAGACTTAGTATGTTAAAAGTCCCTGTGATGCCATGGCCAAGTGGGGTAGTCCTAATTCTTGCATGGCCACAGGTATAATCAACAATCCCTGTCTCAGAAAGGGAAACTAGCATAGGTGACCCATAAGATCACTTCCAACACTTACCAGTGTGCCTGAAAACACACAGCATAATCACAACAGGCATACACGATCGCAGCATGCATACATACCCCTTCCTCTTTGCAGTGACAGATGAGTGAAAGCCCAGGGACAGTTAATTTTTTTCAGAAAAAATAGTTTTCTCCAAGACTGGTAAGTTGTAGCTTTTCTATGTTAACTCTTTGCTTTGGTGGCCAGCCTTGTAAATATAGCTAGACTGTAATAGGGTCTGTAGTGGTGTTTCTCTCTTGTGCTTGAAAAACTTACTGGGCTATTTATGATTTCTGATTTTCTTTATTAGGAAATGAAAATTTGTTCGGCAATCATAAACCTTTTTCATCTGATCCCAGCTGCACCTCAAACTTTGGTCAAGCCTTTGTTGGAGGTTGTAATGAAAACAGAGCGAGCCATGTTGATTGAGGTAAGAATCACACTGAAGGTTAATTCTCATTCTTGTTATTTGTAATGTTTTACTTTGTTATAAGTGGAGTAATCTAACAGCATAATGATGCAGAAATTAATGCTTGTGCTTTTAAGAGCAGTCTTTCAGAGTGGAAAATGCATGTTCTTACTTATGCGATGATTGAACCTGAGAAGGGGTGGTGTGGGATGTAGTTTTCCCTTTGTTTTCTAGGCAGGTAGTCCCTTCAGAGAGCCTCTGATCAAGTTCCTGACTCGACACCCCTCGCAGACAGTGGAGCTGTTCATGATGGAAGCAACGCTCAATGATCCCCAGTGGAGCCGGATGTTCATGGTAGGTGCTAGAGCAGTTCTGTGTCAGCTAGTGTGATCCACAGTGTTTAATCCCATTTCACTTCTCAGTGTGTTCTGCCTTGCATCTCAGAGACATTCAAATATTGGAAATAACATTGGTATTGGTTGTATGTTTGAAAAGCTTAGGCCCCAGAATAACTCTTCCATAAGACTTTTTCCCCCTTTAATCTGCCTATAGAAATTGCACAAGAATCTTAGAATTCATATTCTTTCACCTTTTGAGTTTGATTAGCCAAAAACAGGTTTCCTGTTTGCTTTCAGAGTTTTCTAAAACACAGAGATGCCAGGCCTTTGCGGGACGTGCTGGCAGCCAATCCCAACAGATTCATTACACTGCTGCTGCCAGGTGGCCCACAAACTGCTGTGCGTCCTGGCTCACCCAGCACCAGCACCATGCGACTGGACCTCCAATTCCAGGCCATCAAGGTAGTTTCCCTTCTTAGCTCCTGATGTCCCCACTGTGGGATTGAACAGCAGTTCTGATTATTTTTTCTTTGGCAGATTATAAGCATCATAGTTAAGAATGATGACTCCTGGCTGGCTAATCAGCATTCTCTGGTGAGCCAGCTGAGACGTGTGTGGGTCAGTGAGACCTTTCAAGAAAGACACCGCAAAGAGAACATGGCTGCTACCAATTGGAAAGAGCCCAAGCTATTGGCCTTTTGTCTGCTGAGCTACTGCAAGTAGGTGCAGTGGGGAGCTTTGTGTCCGCCACGTAGTTGATTCTATCCAATAAACTAAGCTGAGGGTTTCTTCTTTATAATTTGTACAAGGCTACAAGGTTGTGGCTCGTAGAAGACTTACAGTCAGGTTTGCTGTAAGCAGTGGATCCACTATTGAATTGCTTTAAAAGATAAGTCAGGGATAATGCATAGTTACAGAATTTACCTTAACCTCTTCTCTTGTTCTGATCCTTTAGGAGGAATTACGGAGATATAGAATTGCTGTTTCAACTGCTTCGAGCCTTCACTGGTCGTTTTCTCTGCAATATGACTTTCTTAAAGGAGTATATGGAGGAAGAGATTCCCAAAAACTATAGCATTGCTCAAAAACGTGCCCTGTTTTTTCGTTTTGTAGACTTCAATGACCCTAATTTTGGAGACGAACTGAAAGCAAAGGTGAGCTCCACAGTTTTGCAGCAGTTCTTGGGCTGATTGCTGGGAAATCTGTCATATTTTTCTGTTCTTCCTTGTCTGTTGGTGCTTCAATAGCAGACTGGATGGACTGTGGATGAGAAAATGACATTACTAAGGAATGCATGGCAAATCCTATGGTGAATCAGTGTTGTTAATTTCTTAGTTTTCAGAAAAAGCTTTACTTTGAGAAGAGTAAGCCAGACTGTTTTAGGTCTCTCTTCCTTACATTTTTAAATCCACTCTAGCAGTTACCCTTTGACATAAAGTCAAGATGAATATTGTTGCCTTGGTCAAGCTCTGACTTGATGGTGTGTTAATGGTCCAGAGCATTGTCCTTTCTGCCTTACTGAAGAGAGAAAGAGCCTGACTGTGTTTTCCTTCTTCATTTTAATTTTTTTATAGGTTCTGCAGCATATCTTGAATCCTGCTTTCTTGTACAGCTTTGAGAAGGGAGAAGGAGAGCAGCTCTTGGGACCTCCCAATCCAGAAGGAGATAACCCAGAGAGCATCACCAGTGTGTTTATAACCAAGGTGGTATCCTTGCCTCAGTGTGACTAGAACTAGTGATGAGTGAATGTGTGTGGATGTGCTAGAGGTTCATGGAAATAGGTTTCCCCCCAAGGCTTTATTTGATGGAGTACATCCATTAGTCAATAGCAGAGCATCTCATTATAATTATTAGTAATTTGTTGAAGGCCATCATTTGGGAATGAGCTAACATTTCTCTTCAGTAGATTTCAGACAGTAATAGACATGTCTTGTTGAAAAATTCAGGCATTGATGATTTTGTGAAAACCTCTACTAACAGGTTTTGATGTTCAGTTTCACCTTTAGCTTTTTAAGTCTTAAACCAATGAGAATATTCAGCTGTCAGTTACTGCTATGATCTTTGATCATCAAGTTAATGGAGCAGTGTTGTGGCAGTGATGATGTCTGAATTTAATTTAGGTTTTTAGTAACTTACCTATATTTCTCTAAGGCTTGTTTTATTAAATTTAAGAGTTAAACGCTGTGTTTACTTTAAGGCTATTGCTTGCTTTTAAATTTTTAGTTTTTAATTTGTTTTAATTTTAATGCATGTTTGCAGTACATAATGATTGCATTCCTCATGGGGCATTGGTAATGTAATAAAACGTCTTAATTATTTTTTCATCTTCTTCCTCTTCCCTGCCTTTACCTTTCCTACATCTCTTGTTAGCCTTCCCTTTTGCAAAAGATTTATACTGGGGGCTGGGGATTTAGTTCAGCGGCATAAGCGCTTGCCTTACAAGTAGGCAGTCGTGAGTTCGATCCCCGGTACCGATAAAAAGGAAAAAGACAAAAAAAAAAAAAAAAAAAAAAAAAAAAAAGATTTATCTTTGTTTCCTATTGTTGATGTTTTATTTTGCTTTTCATTTATATTTTAAATTTCTCATAAAGGAGAAACCATTCAAAATTTAAACTTAAGTATTGATTTTACTTAGTATGGTAGTCTCATGGCACATACATTTTCCTATAAAAGACTCAAATATACTCTTTTTATGGTAGACTACTCCATCATTGTGTGTAAAATTTTTTTAGTCCATTCATATGATGATGAACATATAGCTACTTCCAAGATATAGCTGCCATGTTATGAATTGTGCTGCTGTAATCCAAACGTGGTTATTCATTATCATTATAATAGGATGTCTCTTAACTCTTGGTAAGATATGTAGAGGGGGAATAACAGTTGAATGGAATCTATAGTTTTAGTTTTTGCGGACTCTCCGTACTGATTTCCATAGTGATTGTACCACATTCCCAATAATAATGTAAAAGGTTTTCTTTTTTCACTGGCAGCCTTGCCAGCATTTTTAGTGTTTAGTTCTTGGCGATAGCCATTTTTTTCTGGTGTAAGGTGGGGTTTCAGTGTTGTTTTAATCTGGATTTCTCTAATGGCCAGAGATGCTGGAACATATATTCATTCATGTATTAATTGGTCATCTTGTACTTTTTAATCTGAGAATCGTCTATTTCAGTTTCTCATTTTTTGGTTCTTATTTTGAAGGTTCTAATGTTTTTCAGTTCTTTATATATTCTAGATATTAGTCCTCTGTCTGAGGAATGCTGGCAGAAACATTTTCCTCTTCTGTACGTTGTCTTTTTCACTCTTCTAATGGTTTTCTTTGTTACGCAGTTTTTAATTTTGTTGATTCTTGGTATTTTTTTTGTTTTTATGTAATTGGGGTTCTGTTCAGAAAGTCTTTTGTCTATGCCTCTGTCTTCAAGAGTTTTAACTTCCAGACTGAAGATTTACCTTCCAGTTTTCATTTTAACATTTAGATCTTTGATCTGGTTTGACTTTAGTTTAGTACATGGTAAGATACATCTTCTGCATGTGAATAGTCGCTTTTCCCAGCACCATTTATTAAGGAGGCTCTTTCCTCCAGTGTATGTTTTTGGCTCCTTTGTCAAAGATCAGTTAGCTGAATGTGCTTGGGATTCTTGGGTTTTTTTTGGTACCGTGGATCAAACTAACAACCTCTCACGCTTGCTAGGCAGGCGCTTAGGCCACTGAGCTAAATCCCAGCCCCACTTGGGATTATTTCTGCCTTTTCTGTTCTGTTTCTTGATCCTTATGTCTACTTTTGTGCCAGTACCGTGCTTTTTTTTTTTTAAATCACTGTATCTTTGTAATATAACTTGAAATCCAGGGTTGTGATGCCTTTTACTTTGTTCTTGTTCCTTAGTATTGCTGTACTATTCTGGATCTCTTCTGATTGCATACGAATTTTAGGATTGTTTTCTCTGAGTTCTGTGAGGAGGGCTGTTGGTATTTTGATTGGGATTGTTTTAAATGTTTGATTATATTGGTGCTGCCTGTCCAGGAATAGGGGATATCTTTCCATTTTCTGATGTTCTCTTTGATCTCTTTTTCCACAATACTGTATATAAAAGTCATTATAGAAGGCTTTCACTTCCTTTGTTAGGTTAATTCCTAAGTATTTACTTTTATTAATGCTCTTCTGAACTATATTATATACCTAGTTCATTATTGATGTACAGGAATGCTTTCGATATCTTTATGTTGATGTTATATCCTGCTATGCTGCTGAATTTGTTTTTGTTTTTTGGTACTGGGGATCGAACTCACAACTGCGTGCTTACAAGGCAGGCGCCTATGCCACTGAGCTAAATCCCCGGCCTTGAATTTGGTTATTAATTCCACATGTCTTTTGTTGGAACTTTTTGGGTCTTCTATGTAGGGGATAGTATCATCTGCAAATAATGATAATGTGACTTCTTTCTCTGTACGTATCTGTTTTATTTGTTTCTCTTGCCTCATTACTCTGGGCAATGTTTTCAGTACTTGAACGTTTTCAGTACTTAAAAGTACTGAAAACATTGCCCAGAGTAATGAGGCAAGAGAAACAAATAAAAGAAATATGTACAGAGAAAGAAGTGGGCATCTTTGTCTTGTTTCTGATTTTAGAAACCTTTTAAGATCTTTCGGTTATAATATGATTTGGGGAGTAGGTTTGTCATAAATAGCTTATACTAGATTAAAAGAAGGTCTTTCTGTACTTTTTTTCCCCCCAGAGCTTTTTTCATGAAACAATGTTGGGTTTTGTCAGATGCCTTTTTCTGCATTTATTGAGATGATCATGTGATTTTTGTCTGTTTATGGGATATATTACATTTATTGGTTTGCACATGTTGAATCACCCTTACATTCTTGCGTTCTTGCATGGAATGAAGTCTGTTTGATCAAGATATATGCTCTTTTTAATGATGCGTTGCATTCTGTTATGTTATTAAGGTTTTTTGTATCAGTGTTCTTTAAAGAGATTGGCCTAGTTTTCTTTTTGAGTTGGATGCTTGTCTGGTTTTGGAATAAGAATAATGCTAGCTTCTAAGAATGACTGGAAGTACTCTTCCCCCTTTAATTTTATTAAACAGTTTGAGGAGTATTGGCATTAGATTTTATCTGAATTTCTTTACAATTTAGCAGTGAATTCAGTGGGACCTGGGCCTTTCTAGGTAAGTGTTTTATTACTGTTCAGATTTCATTGCTTGTTATAGATTGTTCAGAGTTTTTATATCTCGTTCGTTTAGTGTTTGTAATTCATATGTATTTAGGAATGTGTTCAATTCTTCTAAATTTTCCAATTTATTGGAATACAAGTTTTTGGAAGTACTTTCTGGTAATCTGGATTTAGGCAGTATCTGTTTTAATTTCATCTAAATGCATTGATAAGGTTTTTTGGTTTCCTTTATTTTGTTGTTAGATTGGCTAAAGGTTTGTCTTATTTTGCTTATTCTTTCAAAGAACCAGCCCTACAACTCAGATTTTTTTGGCTAAATTTCATTCATTTTGTTTTTGATCTTTATAATTTCCTTCCTTGTACTTGCTTTGAAGTTGGATTCTTTTTTTCTAGGACTGTTAAATGTCCATCATTAGATTATTTGGGCCTACTCTATTTTTCTGATGTGAGCATTCCCAGTTGTGAACTTGGATCTTAGGACAGCTTTCGTTGTGTCTCGTAAGTTCTGGTATTTTGTGCTGTCATTATTGTTTGATTTTGGGAACTAATTTCTTCCTTGATGTGTTCTGTGCTCCATTGATTATCGAAGAAGTATATGTTTAATTTCCATATGTTTGATAATTTCTGTGCTTTCTTTTCCTATTGATTTCTAGTTTCATTGTGCTTTATTCTGATAACATGCATAGGATAATTTTGATTCTTCTGCATTTAAGTGTAGCTTATTGGCTGTTATTTGGTCTATTTTGGAGAAAGTTTCATGTGCTGCTGAGAAGGAAGGGTATTCTGTTGTTGAGTACTTTGATACCTATGAAGTTCATTTTTTGAAGTATTTAAGTCTGATATTTCTTTATTGATTTTTTTTTTTTGTCTAGTTGATCTGTTTGTTACAGTGTGATACTGAAGACCAGTAGTATTTGTTCTATGAAGTTGGTTATGCTGGTGTTCAATACTTATATAATCTATAATGGTTATCCCTTTCTGTTTAATTGTTCACTTAACTAATTTATAGTGATCTTCTGAAACTTTCTGGTGAGTTCTGCATAAAATTCACTTTATCTAAAAATAGGACCGCTATTTTTGCTTTTTTTTATATTTCTGTTGCAAGGAATATTGTTTTCCTCACATTACTCTTTTCTGCTGCCCATCCTTTCAAGAGAAGATTTAGTCTTGCAGATTTTTATTTGGTACATGGACTTGTAATTCTTTGCTAAACTGATCAAGAATGTTGAAGGTCATTTTATGTAGCTCAACTAGCTTTTTTTATTGGTATCTTCTGTAAAATTGCTGATTTAATTAGGTTCATTGTCTCTTTAATTTTATCTTCTTTGAACTTGCTGAGCACCTTACTGATTTATTTTATCTCCTCTGTTACTCTTTCTGATCAGTGGGCTGTGTAGTTTTTTATTTTCTCCCCCTCAGGTACCCCATGATGGTCAGATTTGAAGAAGTTGGGAGTTTATGGAGTTAATCTTGATTTCTTATGCTTTTGTTGTTTTGTTTTATGCTGAGGATTGTGGGTTGATTATAGTGGATAATTTTTGCGAATATGGAAACCTCTTAAGTATCTGCTTTTTAGTGAGGCATTCTGGGCTTGGCTTAACTACAAGTCTTTGACTCCATCCCAGTGTCCAACCCCTTCTATTTGGGAGGGGAGATAGCAGTGTATTTGGCCCAGGGCCCAGTTCTTTGGGAGTGGGTGGCAGTATTGTTAATGATACAAAGGCAATTTAGATACTGGAATACAGAGAAAAGCCAGTTAATATCAACAAGTATGCTACTTTGGCATTAGCAATAAAATCAGCAAAAATAGTAAATGTGAAAGAGAAATGATATTGGCATACCTTAAAAGCCAATAGGGTACCACTCTTAACCATGGGAAATACATCTGTGATCATAGTGTAAATACTAAAACAAACAAAACATTCATGAACAGTAAATATCTAGTAAGTTCAAGTATAACTTTACTAACCATACAAAAGCATTCAATAATAATAGCATAGTTAATTGTCTAAAGACTCATAAAGTTTAATGATTATATTAACAAAGGTGATAAGCAACAGAATAATAACAAAATAAAGTTCAGAAAATTAATTCATGGAAAATGAGAACAAACTGAGATAAAGGAGCCTGTTGAGTAAAAAGAATTAAAGATACTAGATAAAACTAATAAAAGAATGAACAAGAAAAATAATAGTAATAAACAACAATAAAAAAAGGAAAATAGTTAAAAGGAATAATAGCAACTGATAAAGAAAAAAGAATGATTCCAAAACAAAGTCAACTTTAGTTTGGAATGAATGGTTTATTTTTGATCTGCAGTCTTGGAATTCAGAAGTCATGATTTTCTCTGCCTAACTTGATTACAGACTGTAAGTTTGTGAGGTATCCCTCTTCCTTCAGAGGGCTCTCTGTCTGTAGACGGCAGACCATGGTAATGGTCTAAGTTAAGGAGTATCTTTGATCACTTTGATCTCTGTTAGATGTAGGTAGCAGGGCAGACTGCTTCCGTGTTCCGTTAATGCCAGCACCTTCCGTAAGGTCACATTCACCAGCTGTGGTTTCTCATGCCAGATGGTGGGATCCTGGTCTTCTTGGCCTGAGCTTACACTTTTTTGTTTGACCTGTACCCTCTCTGTGGCTGTGGGAGGAAAACACTGGAAACCTTGAAACAGAGTTGCTCTGTGGCTTAGTTTAAAACAATAAGCCCCCTTTCCTAAATGGTGTCTAATTATGGCTGGCTCTGCAATATAGCAGATGTTTCACTGGGTTTCTTCTCCAACTCTAGCCTGCTCAGATGAACCAGGTTTGAAGTAAAGTCACTGTTTTTGTAGTTTACAATAGCTGTGGGCTTTTCTTGGGGCTAGATCTTCTGGCCAGGTCAGTAATAATCCCTGGGTCTGCTGGCCTTCCAGGCTCACCTTCTCTCTCTAGGCATTGGCCTTATCCATGATCAGATTGATCAGTTGGTTGGCACCTTTGCTGCCCTGTGTAGAGGAGAAAATAACACAGAGCCAATCTGGAGTTGATGGGTAGCTGTAGCCAGGGTGCCAGATCCACAGGTGTGGAGTTGGTCAGGGACCAATACATAGGACTGTCAAGGCCGCAGTTCTGCCTGGTCCCTATTAGATTTGTGTAAGTTGTTTGTTGGACAGTTGAGTGTATGGCATTCTCCATCTGCCATGTGGATTAATGGTTTTTAGAGGTGAGCACTACATATGTATTAATGGCTACTTCCTGCAGTTTTGACATTACTTCCTGTTCCTGAGCTGAGCCCAAAGTTTTATTTTTAATCCATGTCACGACATTTGTGTTACCAAGTGAGTAGATGGTAGGTTGGACAGAGCCCTTCCTCTTGTACTACCTCCTCCGACGGTGTTTTCTGGGTCAGATGGTGTAATTTGGAAGCAGTGAAGAATTGGAGTTTTAAGTGTTCTTTTTTTTTTTTTTGTCTTTTTCATTTTTATCGGTACCAAGGCTTGAACTCACGACCGCCTGCTTTGCAAGGCAGGTACTTATGCTGCTGAGCTAAATCCCCAGCCCCATTTTAAGTGTTCTTATAAGGAGGAAACAATGTGGGAGGAGGAAATGCTGCCAGGAAGCAGCAGATCTGGGGAAGTGAAGAGCTGTGGAGGCCAGATAGTCACAGCAGAAGACTCCAGTCTCTTTGCACAACAGGACAGATCAGAAAATGGTTAGGATATATAGTTGAATTGAATGGGTCAATAATACGCTTGATTTAATGGAGACTATAGTGTGTTCCTCAAAAGAATGTACATTTTCTCATTTATCCATGAAACACATTTGAAAACTCTGACCAAATACTTGTTCATGTGGAAACCATAACAAGTTTTTGAAAAAAGATTATTTTGGAATCACATTTTCTGATCACGATGCAGAAGACAAAAAATATCCAAAAGTTGACAAGGAAACGATTCTCAACTACTTGGAAATGAAGAATTTAGTCTTAAATCACTTTGTATCAAAGACAGAGTCTTTCTTTTCTTCCGCAAGGTCCTTTGCCCAATGCATTCTGACTTCAGCATCGAAATGAGTTTATACACAGTAGGAGAACTGATGTGGCATACACATACAGTGTGTGTGTGTGTGTGTGTGTGTATGTGTGTGTGTGTGTGTAAAGTTTAAACTTGTCATATGACTCTTAGTAACACAACTTAAAATTGGAAATGAGAGCCCTCCAATGCATCTCCTGAACAGGTCCTAGACCCTGAGAAGCAGGCAGACATGCTGGACTCCCTGCGGATCTATCTTCTGCAGTATGCCACGCTGCTGGTAGAGCACGCCCCTCACCACATCCATGACAACAACAAGAACCGCAACAGCAAGCTGCGCCGCCTGATGACCTTTGCGTGGCCCTGCCTGCTGTCCAAGGCCTGCGTGGACCCAGCATGCAAATATAGCGGACACTTACTTTTGGCACACATTATTGCCAAATTTGCAATACATAAGAAAATTGTCCTGCAGGTACTTTGCAGGGCTCTCTTTCACCCTGCCCCTACGTTCAGATCTTGTGTCGTATGTGCACCCCTTTTGCTTGAATAACTGCTTTTCCCTTTTTCTTGTCATATCCTATTACTATTAAAAGAAAAACAAGCTTACCTGCCATCTTACAGACAATATGAACAAACAAATACTTTTTGGTTTCACTTACAAAATAATTAGTCACAATCATAGAGAAAATTGAAGCGCTGGAGAGGGATAATAGGGACTTAGTGCTTAATGATTACAGAGTTTCAGATTGGCAAAGTTAGAACATTGTGGATACAGATGGTGATGGGAGTTGCACACCAAATCAGGATGCTTATAGTTGGATTGTGTACACAAGAATGGTTAAGATAGAAATTTTAGGTTGAGTGTATTTCAGTATAATAAAAGAACAATTCAGGAGGAAAAGACTATGAATGCACTCACAATGATTCTTTTTATCTCCTTCCTCCTTGGTTATTGCACTGCTCTCTGGTTCCTTGGTAGCCTTACATTTAAAATAGTATCTCCCTTAGGCTGATCTACCCATTGAGTTTTGATCTCCAACTCTGATATTCCACTGAAAAAAGATTTTCTTAGGAAAGGGGATTTCAGCTGGCTATGGAGGTGCACTGCTGTAATCTTAGAACTTGGGAGACTGAGGCAGGAGGATTGCTGCGAGTCCAAGGTCGGTTTGGGCTACGTAGTGAGTTCAAGTGTAGTGAGACCTTGTCTCAAAAACAAAAACCAAACAAACAGAAAAATAGAAAGAGCTCTTGCTGTAGTTACCAGACTAGCTCCAAGCTCCTAGGCTTAAAAAGCTGCTCCTGCTTCAGCCTCCCTAGTCCAGTACCTTGGACTACAGGTGTACATCATTACACCTATCTGAAAATTGTCAAGAATTCCAGCCCATGCACTCCTTGTAGCCAAAAACAATAGGTACTTTGAGTTCATGCCTTGTGATTTTTTGATGAACCCCTTCTTTTTGTTGTTGTTTTCTGTTTTTGAGACAGGGCTTCACTGAGCAGTTCAGGCTGGCCTCAGAATTGAAGGAATCCTCCTGCCTCAGCCTCCTAAGTGTTGGGGTCACAGGTGTGCCACAATGCCTGATTGACTCCCTTATCAATGAACCGACCCCTCTATGAAGTTGGGCAGTGGTTGGTTGAGTTTTGTTTTTGTCATGCACAAATTCTCCTGAATGACTTAGTGTCTGGGCAAGAATTAAATATTATTAGGTGTGGTGTCGTATATACCTCAGTACCCTGGAAAACTGAAGCAGGAAGTTTCTTTTTTTTTTTTGGTACAGGGATCAAACTCATGACCCTGTGCTTGCTAGGCAGGCACTTATACTGCTGAGCTAAATCCCCAGCCCAAAACTGGAAGATTTTAAGTTGGAATCTAGCCAAGGGCACTGTCTCAGTTAGACAAGATTCTGTCTTGAGGTGGGGAGTGCGGATGGGTGGTTCAGTGTGAAGGCCTCACCTTCACATTACCTTCACCACCATTACCAAAAAAGAAAGAAAAGCGTGGTAGTGTGCTTGATGTACTTGCTTATTCAGCACTGACTGCTAGCTCTTGTCCTGAGGCTGCTTTTGTGGTGCCCCCTCCTGAATCTTTATGAAGTCAGAAACCACACCTAGAAAGCCAGAAATCACCTGCCACAGGCACTTAAGTTGCGACTCCAGGCTCTGTGACAGACACTGTTTTCTCCCAGTTGTCTTAGCAAGAAACTTCGAGGGTTGTGTCTGATACTTCTGTCCTTCTCCCGTGCCCAGGCATTGGCAAGTCCTGCAGCACCCTTCCTTTCCTCTCCATCCTCAGTATCAAGCTCTTCCTTGTTTTTCTGTGACCTTACTACCTTCACATCTTACTTTAAGTATTAAAATTGCTGCTTATTCCTGCCCTTTTAACTCCATTTCTAATACTGTGACTGGAGGGAATGATTTGTTCGTCTCACTAATTGCCTGCTGCTTAGGCTTTGTGAAAGTGATACACAAGAGACTGGCTCCTGGCACACACTAGGTGCTCAGTAAATACTAGAATAATTGTGTTCATTGAACAAACTTAATGAAAGAGAGCAAGTAAGCTGTTTCTAATAAGAGCTCCAAGGAATTTTTTAAGAATTACAATAACGTCATTCCTTTTTTCTGAGTCAGTGTTTGTATCGTGTTGTTCTTTAAACCCTTTAGCTTCACCATACACATGGATTTCTTTCCTGTTCTAGGTTTTCCATAGTCTCCTCAAGGCTCATGCAATGGAAGCCCGAGCAATTGTCAGGCAAGCCATGGCTATCTTGACTCCTGCCGTGCCTGCCCGCATGGAGGATGGTCACCAAATGCTCACACACTGGACCAGGAAGATTATTGTGGAAGAAGGGCACACGGTCCCGCAGCTGGTGCATATTTTGCATTTGATTGTGCAGCATTTTAAGGTGTGTAGAGTATACTAATGTACTTAGTGTACTAGTGCTTCTGACAGAGAAATCCACTTTGACCTACTGCCCTTTTCTACAGTAATGAAGTGGTGATTTATCTTTCAGTAATGCTGCTGCCAGCTAGCTGGTCATTGATTAATTCATGTATGTGCATATAGCTTTATGAACATAGAAATTGTTATACTGTAGATGCCTCTTTCTGCTTGGTTTCTTGTTTAAACAATAAATTGTTGAAGTACCTGAATACAGATAAGGTGTTCACTTCAGGTGACTGTAGTGTTTGGTCACTTCATTTGAAGAGTTCTCATGTCATAGGCACGTCTTCCCTATAGCTAAATTCCCCATACTGGGATTTATTTCTCTGTAAATGCTTTATGGTAGACTTTGGTTATAGAAAAACAGATTGCATTGAAAGCTCTTTTTTTATATGTAGTCACCTCATTCTCAAATTGGAAATTTGCTTCTTACGTTTTAGACTTTTTTGATGTCAAATCTTGAAGTTTCGTATATGACTAGTCACCTACAGAAAATTCAGATTTTCAGCATACTGTAATTAAAGATGGGACTAACTTGCTGAAATAGACTATCATTTTGATACTAAGCAAGGGCCAGCAGAGTGGTGATAAGCATACACATGTAAGGTAATAGAATTTCCTTGGCAGAGTTTTGATTCTGAATCCTTGAGGAAGAAGTTGGGTCAGATGAGCATGCACATAGATGTATGTATTCCCAGTGTGACCCTAGCCCTGTGCCTACAGGTGTATTACCCCGTGCGGCACCACCTGGTTCAGCATATGGTTAGTGCCATGCAGAGATTGGGCTTCACACCCAGTGTCACCATTGAGCAGAGGCGGCTGGCTGTAGACCTGTCTGAAGTTGTCATCAAGTGGGAATTACAGAGGATCAAGGACCAGCAGGTAGATCTGTCACCCCTCAGTGTTACCTCTACTTGTGTTCCCTGTACTACTACTTGGAAATCAGTAAGTTGAGGGGGGTGTGTGTGTGTTTAAGCCGGATTCCGACATGGACCCAAATTCCAGTGGAGAAGGAGTCAATTCTGTCTCATCATCTATCAAGAGAGGCCTGTCTGTGGATTCTGCCCAGGAAGTGAAGCGCTTCAGGACAGCCACTGGAGCCATCAGTGCAGTAAGAGCACGTGCTTTCCCTACAGCGCTGTGTGTCATGAAATTGTGACATGTACTGTGCTGTGCTCAAGGAGGACGGCTGGGAACAGCCCCAGGCTATTCGAATTACCTAAGGCATTTCCTACATTTTCAACCACATTTTTCTTAGAGTTCTTTTAGTACTGGTCAATTATTTATGGAAAGGCATCCAAAAAAACTCAGAGCTGACTGTGTAGCTTAGTGGTAGAATGTTTACCTAGCATGCTCAAAGCCTTGGATTCCATTATCACTAAAGCAAAGGGTGGAGACTCTTGGCAGTAAGAACATGCACCAATTTTATTTTTTTGAAAGAGGCAGTGCTTTTTTTGTTTGGAGGGCAGGCATGGAGGAGGCCCTGGACATCTTGATCTTTACCCCATGTTGGAGTGGAATCCCTGAGAGCTGTCAGCTCTACTCATCTGGCATCATGGCTTGTCTCACCAGCACTGGCTTGACCACCCACTTTCAACTTCATGTTCCAGCACTCACTGTCCCATCTTCTGAGGTGGTTCTCTTCCACTGAGGCTCCAGGTGGAAACCTAGACCCATCTATACTATCCGTTCTGTTCTCTCCACTCTCGTGGCCAGGAACCTCCAACTCTTCGCCACCTCGCCATGGCCTCTTAAGTCTCTGTCACCTCTCCTGATAAGGAGAATCTGAAACTTACTCCTGGATTCTTGAGGTGCTTCCATTTTCATCCTATTCAAGTATATGGTTTTGGTTTTGGTTTTTTTTTTTTTACAAAAGCAGTCAGGACCACAGACTTTTTTTCAGACTGAGGTCAGAGGAAACTGGTTAGAGTGTCTGTAATTTCTTAGGAATCTTTTTGAGAACTAAGTTTTCCAACAATTCCCTCCCTTTAGCCAAGGCCTTCAGGCCCTGCCGGTACCACTGTTCCCCAGGCATTTCCGTACAGTTCCCTGGCCACCAGGCCTTTCCTCCACTCTGTCATGCTCCATGTTCTCTGCTTGCGTAAGACCTGTCCACCAGCCTTTTCTGCCTGGCTGGCTTTTTCCTCAGTGATCCTATCTTTCATTTGCTAGGACACACTCTCTCTGTTACTCTGTCAAAGAAACCATTGCTTTCTTGTTGCCATTTTGTGTTTCCCACTCACCTGCAAGGGCAGAGGCCATATCTGTCCATGTCCCCCATGCCTATACCACTGTCTCCCTGGGAGGTCCCACACATCTGTCAGCTGGCTGAACTTGTCAGCACCCTGGGTTCAGAAAGCCCTTCCTGCCTTAAAAGACAGGCCTTTGTAGGTGTTCGGGAGGAGCCAATCGCTGCCTGGAGCTGACTCTCTTCTCGCCAAGCCCATCGATAAGCAGCACACAGATACCGTGGTGAACTTTCTCATCCGAGTGGCTTGTCAGGTACTGGACTACTTAGTGACACTGCATAATGTTGTCTCTGACAGATGAGTCAAAAAGAAACAGATCAGGCCTAAGAGCAGTTCTGTTACTTTCCTGCCAGGTCCCACTGATTTTATGGCAGGTCAATATTTCTGAAATTTGCTTCTGTGTGTATTAAAATTGGTGTGATGTAGAAACCAAAGCCAAGGCGGGCAGCATGGTGATGTACGCCTAATCCCAGTATATGGGAGGCTGAGGCAGAAGCTTGCTGTGAGTTTAAGGCCATTCTGGGCCATATATTACAATGAGAGCCTGTCTCAGAATATAAAAAAAAAAAGTAAAATATTTCTTCTTTCACTGATAATAATGTGTCTTAATTAACATTTTAATGTACATAACATATGGTAATTTTAGTTTTCTCAGTATGTTTGTGCTGTATAATAATTGTTTTGAGAAACTGGTACATGTTCATTGCATTTTGATCATTTTCCAATTTTAGTGTATATGTTACACTAAACATATAGTGATCAAGAGAGCACTTGATCATTTTCAATCCTTTTGCTCTCCCTCTTTCTTCTCCCCAAATTTTCTGTTAGTAAATTGGGAATAGTATATAGGTCAGAATGGTGATGAGGTAGATGGTGTGATCTGCACTACATTTATGTAACATGTAACAATCAATTTAAGATCTTTTTAAATCCCAGTTTGATAAATTTAAGTTGATTTATCATTCATGCCTAGACATCTGTTTCCCAAATTGTTCATTTTTATATTTCAAAAAACATTGTAAATAAAATTTTTATTATAACATTCTCTTTTTTTGTGGGGGGGGGCTCATGTTCTCACAGCTATTAAATAAAATCATGTGTCTTGCAGTACTGTTGAGAATTTCAGGAGCTGAGAATTTCCAAGTACTGGAGAGAAGGAAATAACTCCTTGTTATGTCCCTGCCATGTATGGGGCCTATGCTGGGAGCCCCGTGGGAAGAATGTTCAGATGGCTAGAGATCAGTCCATTGTACAAGCAGCAGAGGAGCCAAGGGGACATGTGAGCCAGTAAGGGGAGGTCAGGCTAGGGAAGGTCACCACGAAGTGGAAAGTCTAGATGTGAGGGCACAGGCATGGTCAGGAAGATGTTGCTAGTATTCCTGGAATGACCATAGACATGTGTTGACTGTTATTTGAATGTGTTTGTAGGTTAATGACAACACCAACACTGCAGGGTCCCCTGGGGACGTACTGTCTCGCCGCTGTGTCAATCTCTTGAAGACAGCGTTAAGACCGGATATGTGGTCCAAGTCGGAGCTCAAGCTGCAGTGGTTTGACAAGCTGCTGATGACTGTGGTAGGTGCACATTTCTATTAGGCTGGGATGGGATTGCTGAGGCTGTCACCCGCGATATTTGTGGATCCCTTTTGAGCCTGACTGACAATCCCCACCTACGAGTCAGTGACCTCGTCTATTTTCTCTTCTAGCTGCTTGTAAGGAGGGGCCAGTTTGATGCACTGAATGTAGGGTTGGGTTTTTCTCTTTTGGTATTGGGAATTGAACTCGGGACCTCACACTTGCCAGGCAGGCACTGTGCTGCTGAGCTATATCATATCCCCCAGCTTTTTTTTTTTTTTTTTAATTAAATTTTTCGGTACATTTTAGGTATAGTGATCACATTTTTCATAGGAAATTTGTGCCTATATATGATATAATTTGATCTGTTTTTCCATCCCTCTACCCTCCCTTCAACTCTTCTTCTCATTTAGAAAAGCTTTGTTTCCATTTTTCCCCTTGTGTGTGTGGGCCCCCCCCCCCATTTCCCTTCCCCTTGGAACATTTTCTTCCTATTTCACTATCTGTTACACATTTTGGTTCTTACTTTATACTCTGAACGTAATTTTGAAGCTTCAGTTCTCCCACAAAGCCTCAAAATACATTTTAGGGTGTTTAAAACCTAATAGTTGTCTTATATGTTGCAGATGCATTTCTTACACTGACCTATCTGCTTTGGGAAAAACATTTTTAGTTGGTTTATACCCCAACTTTAAGAATAAAGCTTGAATTTTAAAAGCAGATTTAATGGTGAACTGTATTGGATTCAGGGTGTTAGTCAGATAATCAGCATTCGGGAGCAATTGCCTGGCTATCTTGTTTCTGTGAAAACCATAATCTTGTAATTTTCCAGTGGTAATAAAAGCTATTGTCCTGCTGTAGCCATTTCATTGTTGTTACAGGTTCTGTCTATCACAGTGTGATATAATATGAAAGATTTTACTTTTAGATTTATAAAACTTACTGTAGGCACTTTCTTTTTTGTTTTTTGGTGACGGGGTTTTGCTGTGTATTCCAGGCTGGCTTTAACCTCACTATGTAACCCAGGTTGGCCTCAAATTTGTAGCAATCCTCCTGCCTCAGCCTCCTGAGTTCTGGGATTACAGGCATGTACCATCATGAGCACTTGTATTGGCCTGCAAAGACTAATGCGGTTGCTCAGATGTTTTGTTCAGGTGTTTTGAAAGGTCATAAAATGTGGTTCTCTGTATGAATCAGGACCATAAAGAACCTCGAGAGACTCTGGCTAGGTGTGTAACTTCTAGATAGTCTGTTTCTTCCTCCCTTGTCTCTGAGGTACTAAGTTACTCTCTGTCCCATGCATTCCTTGCTGAGTGCTCAGTTGTAGTGGCAGTTTCTACCACTTCACTGGATAGCATGTTCATGAAGCCAGATGCTGTACCTTACTGCTGTGGTCTGTGTGCAAACATACAGGACATACTCCGGGCCACAGACACGGGGTCACGAAGCAGGACTCTTTTTTTACTATAAACCATGCTCTTTGTTTTGTATGTTTTTCAGCTTGTATTTGTTTTTAATACTGTCACCATCTATTAGATTAATTCAGCGATAGGCAGTTTGAAAGATACTTCTCTTTGAAGGGGTTTTTGCATTTTCAGTTAAAAAGTGGGAGGGAAGAGGTAAAATTTATTGAGTAAATTTGCTTTTTAGTCTAGTTTTTAAAATTTTTTATTTGGTACCAGGGATCGAACTCATGACAGCACGCTTGCAAGGTCCCTTAGCCCAGTTTTTTAGTAAAATTTAACTAGTTTTCTATTTGCCCCAAGAATATTCTCCAGTGTACTTACAGCTACGGTATTTACTCTGAGTTTACTCATGGATTATAGTCTAACCGTACTTTGAAAGTATGCCACAAAATAACTTACTTCTGTTACTATTTTCCCATCACTCTAGTAGAATATATGGGTAATTTTTAAAAATATTCTCTTTACAGCATTGTTTTTTGTAGTGGTATTTCCATTTATAAAATATAGTAATTCTTGATCTCTGAAAACTAAATGTGAGCAGTGACCAACATTTTCTTTCTCAACAGAAGCAAATTTAAGATACTGATGTTATTTAGTATTGGACATTTATATTTAAATGGGTCTTTTAGAAAGAGAGCTAGCTAAATATTTAAAACAAATTTATAAACAAAACATGAACTCCTACTACATGTGGTAGTCACATGCTTTGATGGGTATGATGTGTTTATTCCTTAGCTATGTTTACTTAGTTTCCAAATGCCTGTGATTTTAAACAGTGGTGGATTTGTGTTTCTGTAATTCACTGTTGCCAGTGCTTGTTTTATCTGTGAATGTTTGTGTTCTTTCACCCCAGGAGCAGCCAAATCAAGTGAACTACGGAAATATTTGCACAGGATTAGAAGTGCTGAGTTTCTTGCTCACTGTACTCCAGTCCCCAGCTATTCTCAGTAGTTTCAAACCCCTGCAGCGTGGCATTGCTGCCTGTATGACATGTGGAAATACCAAGGTGCTGCGTGCCGTCCACAGCCTCCTCTCTCGCCTCATGAGTATCTTCCCAACAGAGCCAAGTAGGTGGCTTCCCAGCAGTGCCTTTCCCAGTGGATGAGTGGGCGTGTTCGGTGCTGAGGATGCTCATTCTCCACTCAGGCATTTCATCATGCCCTTTCCTTTTATTCAGTCCTTCCTTACAAAAAAAATGTGAACAGACTTTTTAACAGCATTGCATTGTTATCTGTCTGCTTTGGAAATTCAGTTCTTCATCTGCTGAACACAGCTATTTCCTTTAGATATTAAAAGGGGCTTAGATTAAAGTATCTTGCAACAAATGTTGAGCAGTTGGCAAGGTCAAAGTTTCCCATGTTGTAAATAAATGTATCTGGAGTGCCTTCTAGTAAAGTTGGTGAGGGAAAAGCTTACCTGTTAAACATGGAACCAGTGCAGAGAGAAAGCTTCACTGCCCTACAGTGAGAGAGAAGTACCTGTGCCAGTTGCTGCAGGCACCAGAGCTCTCAGTGTGTAAGTGAAGACTGTGCCAACCCCAGTCTGTGGTCCTGCACTTCCATTTCAGGTACTTCGAGTGTGGCCTCAAAGTATGAAGAGCTGGAGTGCCTCTATGCAGCTGTAGGGAAGGTCATCTACGAAGGCCTAACCAACTATGAGAAAGCCACCAATGCAAATCCCTCCCAGCTCTTCGGTGAGTATGTGTCTGATTTTCTCAGCAGTGGTTTAGTTGGGTACCAGTCCCTACACCTGGACATGGTTGTTGGGAGGAACTTTGAGCTGATGGGTTGGTTTGGCAGGAACCTATGCGTCGCCCATTGCCCACAATGCCTCCATCTGGCGAGCATGCCACTCCTGAGGACTCACTGTCTCACTGATTTGGCTCTGACTGCCCCAAGTGAAACAAAAGGTAATCAGGGCAGCTGAGTAACTTTGATTCCCAGGTATCTGGAATCCAGGTGACTGGATACTCTGCTTTGTTGTCACTCATGTTTTTAATTAGTGTTGGATTTGGGGTTACCATTTTTTTCCTTTATTACAGTCATTGTGTAAAACATTATAAATATAAATGAAGGAAAACTAATACATGTCACTGTAAGCTTCTCCACCCATGGGTAATCTGTGTTTAACATTTTGGAGTGTGTCATTTTCATATATGTCTGCAGATACACAGATAGTTCATTGTGTAAATGCTTATATCTGAATTTATAATTTTATTTTTACATATGTTCTACTTTCCAAGCTGGGGATCTTCTATTCATGAGCCAGATAAATTTGGTTTAAACTCTTGCTGTGCAAGCTTGCTCCTCGCTCTTTTGTCTTGTTTTTTTGAAATAAGACCTTCGTATATACTTCAGGCTGATCTTAAATTCACTATGTAGCCTAGGCTGGCCTTGAACTTCCTGCCTTAACCTCCCAAGTACTAGTTCTACAGGTGTGTGCCACCATACCTGCTGCTGTATTTTTGGAACTGGGCATATTTAGAGTGAGGAGAGCATTTGTGACTCTTAGGGGGATCATCCGTAGTTGCTGGCTCCCATCTCAAAACAGATGAACATGTCTCATTCTCCAAAGATCCTGAGATGAGCTGACCTTCTTGAGCCCTGCAGCCCTGTTTCCTCCTTTGTGGGGTTGACAGAGCTGGGGTGAGGTGGACCTGGAGAGTTGGCCACACTCATCTCTTCCTTGGGATAGACCAGGCTCTGTCACTGGCATTCCACAGAACAGTGCCTGGGAATGTCAGACATCGTCCCATATGCCTCACAGACATTATCATGGGCTACCCACCTAAAGAGGCAGGCCGTGTACTGACTGCTGTATTGAGAGCTGGCTGTTTAACAAGGCAAGCCTGAAATTGTCCCAGCCTGGGATGTTGTCTTCTGTAAATTGCAAAAACTTTTTAGTCTATGATGTCATCCATGAATACAAATTTAAAATTATTATTTAAGTTGGGGTCAAGATTATTAGAAAAAGTCAGTTACGAAAGGCTGATTATTTCTGTGTATTTATCATTCGTGTTCTAGTGTTGGCTTTGCTGACTTTACCTGATCTTACATGTTTTCAGAACAAAGTGCAAATTAAATTGTATTATATTTGTCATGTTCAGGTAGGCGAGTGAAAAATCTTTTCTTCACTTTCCAGCCATGTCGTATCTTATTCATGAGGGTGGTGTGTGAAAACCTAAATGTAAAATCTAGAGCACAAGTCAGTTCTGCATGACGGTGTGGACATAAGAGGTGGCAGTGAAAACAGAATGCTTCAGAGTATATCATGTGCCTGGAGAAGCTCACAGTGGGCATATTAAGATCATTCTTTTTTTTTCTTTTCCTTCATCAGCACGCTTACTATTTTTGAGAGTCTTGCTATGTAATTGAGGCTGGCCTTGAACTCACTTTGTAGCCTAGGCTGGCCTGGAACTCATAGTGATTCTTCTCCCTACCTTATTGAGTACTGATATTACAGGTGTACACCAGTTTTGTGGTCTTGTTACTTTGTGTTGTAAAACTTCTGTGATTTCTTCATTGCAGGAACCCTCATGATCCTCAAGTCGGCCTGTAGTAACAACCCAAGCTACATTGACAGACTCATCTCTGTTTTCATGCGTTCTCTGCAGAAGATGGTCCGAGAGCATCTCAATCCACAGGCAGCATCTGGGAGCACAGAAGCAACAGCAGGTGACAGCTTGAGTCCTGTGTTTCCCCAGACTCTTGAATACTTGAGCAAAACAGGCAATGTGATTGAAATGTGAATGTGGACTAACTAACATGAAGTCCTGTGGTTCATGTGGAATTTGTTCCAACTATTCTATAGCAGATGTTTAAAATCAAAGAGTTCATTATAAAAATCTGCTTTTAAATAAGTTTAAAAAATTTTTTAAAGTGGTCACACCCTTATGTGAAACCTTTACCATTAAGGAAAGATTAACAGATTTCTGTTGAAAAAATGCTGCTTATTCAGAGTTGCCCTTTCAGAAGAATTAAGTCACAGGTTCCAGAAAAAAGTCATGGCCTGTAGAAGACTGGGTGATGGATTAACATTTGGCAAGGGGCTCTGGTTGGCATGGCTGTTGGATGCACCTCAGAACCTAAACGTTCTGTGACTGTGGCTTCAGGGTGGGACATGATGGAGAGGCTGGAGTGGCCTATGTGGGCCTCACCAGTTTGGTCATTCCCCTTCCTTGTGGGCAGAGCTTACAGAAGGCCACTCTTAGAAGGTGCAACAGTAAGAAAGTAATGAGTCCTTCAAATCCCAGTTACTGGAGACAAGATTTGGAGGGAAAATGGACAGAAACCAGCATGCAAAGTAATGCATGGTGGTGTCCCTTGTAGGATCCGTAGAGATTTGTTGGAATGTGTTCTCTGTTTCCACATGAACAGGAACAAGTGAGCTGGTAATGCTAAGTCTGGAACTGGTGAAGACACGGCTGGCTGTGATGAGCATGGAGATGCGTAAGAATTTCATCCAGGCCATTCTGACATCCCTCATTGAAAAGTCCCCAGATGCCAAGATCCTCCGGGCTGTGGTGAAAATTGTGGAAGAATGGGTTAAGAATAATTCTCCCATGGCAGCCAATCAGGTAACCTGAGCTGGGAGGGCCACTGTGCTCTGCCCAAACAGCCTTCATTTGAATGCAAGGGAAAATTCAAGCTTTACTTTCTTGCTCTTCTGAAACTTCTTGAAGCAGGAAAAATTTTTTTAAAGGTATTTGCACCCTCATTACCTTCAATTAGGATGTAATTCACTCAGTACACTTAGCAATGTTACATAAAAACTTGAGGTTAACCAGTTGTTCATGTTATTGTGGCTTCTGTTAAAAGTGTTAAGCAGCATTTTACTTTTTTTTAATGGTGATTAGACATAAGCTAGAAAATAATAGTACGGTAATAATAAAGGACTATTAATGTGTAATGAGATGACTACAAATGTCTGATTTGTTTTACAATTCAGTTACTTTATCTACAAAGTGAATCATAGCTGGGTGTGTGTGTGTGTGTGTGTGTTAATGCCAAAAAACTCAGGACCTTTTGCTTGCTAGGCAGGCTCTGTACCCTTAAGCTGTATCCCTGCCACAAAGATTAATGTTTATTGTTGGCATTATGATCTTTGATTATTGCAAGGATTACTTCCCTGGTTTTTTGTTTTTGTTTTTGTGTTTTTTTGTTTGTTTGTTTGTTTTTTTGGTACTGGAGATTAAACTCATGATCTTGTGCTTACCAGGCAGGTGGTTGGTTATGCTGTTGACCTAAATCCCCCATAACTTTTTTTTTTTGGACCCAGGATCGAACTCATGACCTCGCTCTTCTGTCAGGCTGGTGCTTATGCCACTGAGCTAAATCCCCAACCTCCATAATCTCTTTTAAAACTTTATTAGCACATCTTGATTTTAATTATGCAGAGATAACCAAAGTCATCTTTGTTTTCTTGTTATAAGTAATTTTGTCTTACTGTAATTGATAAAATTGCAGAAATCTAAAAAGTAATGGAGTACATGGCTGAAATACTTGTAAATGTGTCTTTTCTCAAATAGACATAACTAACATTTTATTTTACAAAACAAATTTTGTGCAGACACCTACACTCCGGGAGAAGTCTATTTTGCTTGTGAAAATGATGACCTACATAGAAAAACGTTTCCCAGAAGACCTCGAGTTAAATGCCCAGTTTTTAGATCTTGTTAACTATGTCTACAGGTAATTATAGCAGTTAATCACATGTTGCATACATTGGCCCATCATGTTTCTAACTAGCCATCACAGTGTAACTTTCGTCTTTTACTTACATGTAAATTAAAAATAATCATCTAAATACTAAATCATGCAGCCATTTTGGTGTCATCCTTGAGCCTTTGGCTGAAAGGTTGCTTAAGTCTGTCATAACTGATAAGGAACCACTGACAGACAGTGACATTTCTGAAGAACTGGTGTCCACCTGTTCTCTACTTGTTTGCTCATAGCTTGAGCAGCCATTGTCTGACCCACTCTTACATCTTGGTGTGACTCCTCTGATTACAGGGATGAGGCCCTGTCTGGCAGTGAGCTGACTGCGAAGCTTGAGCCTGCCTTCCTCTCAGGCCTGCGTTGTGCGCAGCCACTCATCAGAGCAAAGTTCTTTGAGGTGTTTGACAACTCTATGAAGCGCCGGGTGTACGAGCGCCTGCTGTATGTGACCTGTTCCCAGAATTGGGAGGCGATGGGGAATCACTTTTGGATCAAGCAGTGCATTGAGGTAGGGAAGGAGAGCGCACCATCAGTGGCTGAGATGGCACAGTGTGGGTTTTTTGAGTGGCGTGGAAGTCACTTTCACTAAGGTGAATTAGAAATCTCTAGCATAGCTTGCAATGTTTTTTTTTTTTTTTTTCTTTTGTTTTGTTTTTTGAGATGGTCTCACTATGTGTTCAGACTGGTCTTGAACTTATTATGGAGCCAGGCCGGCCTCAAACTTGGTGCAGTCATCCTATCTTAGCCTCCTGAGTGCTGGAATTACCACACTTAGCTGAATCTGCTGTTACTCTAGAACTAATAAAGATTTAAGTTCAAGTGTTCATTATGAAGGTTTTGGTTGATTTATTTAAATCCTTTTTCAAAAAAAAAATCTAGTGATATTTCTTAATTTGTAGACAAAGATTCATTTTTCTGCAATACAACTATTTTAAAGTTGTTTACATGCTGTGGAACATTTAGCTATGTACTATGATTGCCATTTGTTATTCTTAAAATATGAAGATATGAAGGTAGGGCAGCCTAACTGTGCTGTTGGTTTTGAATCCTTAGTGCAACAAGATAGATGCTGGAAATATAGGATGCTCTAGGTCCAGACCTAGAGTAGGATTGGCAGGACAGTTGGGATGCTCCCTATGCACCTGGCAAAATCACAGTGAGATTCGTTGTGCACTGACTCGTTCCTTGAATGAATTATCCTTTATTCTTTGGTTTGTTCATCAGCTTCAGACTCTGAGCAATTGAAGTTTCCAGTAGCAGCTACAAGTGCTTACCTGAAATGAATCAGACAACTGAGGCAGAAGGTTAAGTTCTCTCTAATGCAAAGGAAGAGAACTATGGGACTAGGTCTCTGGAAGAGTACTGTGTTTCTGTTTGTGCTGAATGGACATTGTGTCAGTGCCAGGTGCAGTATGGAATGAGATTTTGTGGCAGCTACATGTGAATCGATGAGAGAAAGGGCTCAGGCCAAGGTCCTTTCCGCCTTTGTCCCAGTGTATCTGGTCCGCGCCTACAGTTACCAGTTGAAAGCCCTTCTGCAGCTGTTACCATCTGTTTACTTCCCAAGCACAAAGGGAGTCGTTTCCTCAGTGTTCTCCTGCCTCCCCTTCTGTCTACCACCATTTCCTCTTGCTGCAGAATGGTTCAGAGCAGATCACATGGCTCCTTGTCCTTACACTTAACCCAAAATCCAACCTCCTGGTTAGGCCTTCTGGGCCCAATGATTGTTCTCTTGCCTCCTCTTTCAGCACTGTCTTGTCTCTCTCTTCCTCTCTAGTGATCTCCTGTCAAACTCATCGGTCATGTTGTCATGTTGTTTTTTTATAGTGACAGGATCTCACTATGTAACCCAGGCTGGCCTCAGACTACGTAATGCTCCTTCCTCAGCCTCTAAAGTGCTGGGCTCATTAGGCATATAATACAAATTTTTTAAATTCTTTCTTTAAAAATTGCTTTGTTGACAATTTGTAATTTTACGTATTGATGAGGGTACAAGGTGATATTACAGTGTATGAAAATAATGTGAACTAATCAACATATCTGTCACTTTAAACATGTAACATTTTCTGTGGTAAACTTCACTACTCACAAAATTGAAGACAATTTTGAAATAAAGGGAGTACTGTAATTGTATGTACCATACACAGTTACTAACTATATTCAACTTGCCGTGCAGTAGGGCACTACAAAACATTCCTGCTATCTAGCTGAGATTTTGTCCTTGAGCTCCATTGTTACAGAACTTACCACACTCTTTATCTCAAGCCCTGTTATTTTCTGGCAGTTCTTCTGTTCTTTGGTTGCAGTATTGTAGTAAGCAGGTCCAGATATGTCCTTCCCTTTGATGTATCAGCCATCTCTGAAGTTAACAAATGCATGCAGGGCCTCCAAAGCATGTGCTGGTGCTCAGTTAATATTCTGAATTGAAGAGTGATGTGGTCAGGAGCAGTGGACCAGAAGCTCCGTGATAGACACAATGTAGGGGTGCCATACAGTGAACAGGTGTGCTCCAAGCAGGTGGGAGTTACGACACTTCACAGGAGATCTCCACATCTCCTTGAGAAACTTCTGCTGTCCCCTGAGGCTGAGGAAACCTTTTGGGACTTAGGGGAGTAATGAAGTCAGCTGTGTGGAAAGCGAAGGGATGAAAGAGAGGGTCTGGAGATGAAATAGAGGCTCTGTCTAGGTAGGAGGTGACATTGGCAGGGCATGGGTGTGTGACAGAGACAGTGAGAAAAGAGGAATGTAGAAGGCAAAGTAGGGAAGCAGTGATGTTCCCGGCTGTGAGCTGGAAGAGGCCTCTAAGAGCGATAGGAGAGGGAAGGAGGCTTAGCTACACGGAACCTACAGAACCAGAGGAACCGGAGCTAAGGAAGGAAAGTTAGCTCTGTCTAATCTTGGAGCACTGTAGCACCGAGCGGATTGTTTCTGTGTGCACACCTGTTGAGATGACTGGGATTTTACCATCTGTGCCCATCCCAAATGCTTTAGGTCTGTCTTTTTTTCTATAACCCTTTCTAGCTCCTCCTGGCTGTGTGTGAGAAGAGCACTCCCATTGGTACCAGCTGCCAGGGGGCCATCCTTCCATCCATAACCAATGTCATCAACCTGGCCGACAGCCACGACCGAGCCGCCTTTGCTATGGTCACACATGTCAAGCAGGAGCCTCGGGAGCGAGAGAACAGCGAGTCCAAAGAGGAGGTAAAGCCTTTGGGTTTTACAAGCAGAATATTCAGATTCCTGCTCTAGAGTTACATGCCGGCAAGAGCAGTGTATCAACTTTTGTTTACTCCAGAAAGCTCTCAGTGTAGTGACTTGAGTTCAGTAAGATTTGCCTAAAATTGAGAAGGATCTTGTATTGACTAAAGTTTTAGGTGGTATTTCCTTTAGTAGTTGGCTTTTGGGAAGACAGTTCCTCAGCAGTAGGGGAAGAGGAAATTATCTGCTCTTCCCTATACACAGAAAATCTTTCTTTGACAAAAAATTTTACTTGCCAAAAATGTAGTCTGTAGGAGTTGTATTTGTTGGAGTTACTCTTTGACCTTTTGGTTTTGCTTATTTTTTTTAGGATGTTGAGATAGATATTGAACTGGCTCCTGGAGATCAGAGCAGCACACCCAAAACCAAAGAACTTTCTGAAAAGGACATTGGAAACCAGCTGCATATGTTAACCAATAGACATGACAAGTTTCTTGACACTCTTCGTGAAGTGAAGGTCTGTATGCAAGTTTGGAAGGATAGGTGTGTGTGTCATTTCCTGCACACTCTCAACCTGAATGTTTAGAATCCTGAATCAGGATTATTCTACACTGGTGTATGTTTTCTTTTACTAGGTACACTTGTCTTTTCTATCATAAGTGAAACCACTGTATAGTTCTAAGATGTGAGAAAGCAGTTAGTGTCTCACAGAAAAAAAGAGAAAGAGGTTAACATGTTCACTGCTATCCCTTGAAATAAGTAGCAAAATTTACTAAAAATGTGTAATGAGATACAATGCTGGGTTCTTTTTTAATGTAACAAAAGAAAAGAAAAAGGAGGGCAAGTTACTGTAGTAAATCAAGTTTACTGTGGAGTGAGAATGCTGAATGCCTCTGCTTTTGAGATTTAGCCAGGTAGAAACTCTGGCTTCTGCACAACCCTCTGATCAACTGTGGGTGTCAACATTTTCTTTCGTAACTCTTTGAGTAGATCAGTTAAGTCTCTGTACTGCAAGTCACTTCGGAAGGGTTAACAGAAACAGTGATGATTCTGTTCATATTACGACCAAGGTTAAGAAAAATGATGAATGAACTACTGTCACAAATAATTTGTATATTAAAACTTTTTGGTGCCTAATCCTGAATTTTGCATTAAATCAATCTTTGAATTTGAATCTGAATGATAGTTGTCATTTTGGATAAGCATAAAATGCTTAAGCAGGAAGCTAATATCCTTAAATATGTAAATGACATGCTGTCATCACATAGACAGGGCACCTTAATAGACCCCTGTCCCTGCTGCCATTGCTGCCATTAAGAAGGGCCAGAGGTCCATGTCCCCAAACCTAAAGGCCTTCTGTGAGTAATGGTCCCCATGGTGACCCTAACTCACCATTTGGCTTAGCTTTTACGCCATGACTTGTGTTTTCTGAGCATGGATGTGGTAGGCACAGCCTGTGGCACCTCAGCTCATCCTTTTCTGTCTCCAGACTGGAGCGCTGCTCAGTGCCTTTGTTCAGCTGTGCCATATCTCCACGACACTGGCAGAGAAAACCTGGGTCCAGCTTTTCCCCAGATTGTGGAAAATCCTCTCTGATAGACAGCAGCATGTGAGTATATTTTTAAAATCCTATTTGGATAAAACAAAAGTAGTTTTAGTTCTTGAAAAGCATTTGTGAAAGAACAGTCTTAAATTTCAGAGGATGAAGGAACTCTTTAAGTGTTTATCTAAGACTGACAGTAAATTCTTGCTGAATTTTGAACAAAGGCCTAAGTCAGCATGCTCTCTTGTTCTAGGCCCTGGCAGGGGAGATAAGTCCATTCCTATGCAGTGGCAGTCACCAGGTGCAACGGGACTGTCAACCCAGTGCACTGAACTGCTTCGTGGAGGCCATGTCCCAGTGTGTCCCCCCAATCCCCATCAGACCTTGTGTTCTGAAGTACCTGGGGAAGACACACAATCTCTGGTTCCGCTCCACACTGATGCTGGAGCACCAAGCCTTTGAAAAAGGTCTGAGCCTGCAGATTAAGCCAAAGCAAACAACAGAGTTCTATGAGCAGGAGAGCATAACACCACCTCAGCAGGTGAGCACTGGCTTGAAATGGTGTCATGCTTTCAGTGGCACATCTCCTAGGTTATTTTACATTATAATAAAGGGAACCATGTTCTGTTTTCAGGAGATACTGGATTCCCTTGCTGAGCTTTACTCCCTATTACAAGAGGAAGATATGTGGGCTGGCTTATGGCAGAAGCGGTGCAAATACTCTGAGACGGCAACCGCTATCGCATACGAGCAGCATGGATTCTTTGAGCAGGTAAGGCACTGTTGGGTAAAATGCTTGGGTACATGCTGATGAAAGACAAGTTTAGGGATTCATTAATGTCATGTCCTCAAATCAAGTTTGTGTATGAATAGTGTTTTATTTGAAGCACTTAACTCTTCTAATATGAAGTAGAATAATCCTCGACTTGAAGTCTTAATTTAAGAGAAATCAACATATATAACATGAACTTTTTTTTAATCTGTACCGGGGATCGAACTCACGACCGCCTACTTGCAAGGCAGGTGCTTATGCTGCTGAGCTAAATCCCCAGGCCAACATGAACTTTTTGAAATACAATCTTAAATCTTTAACATTAGATGCTGGTGTGGGTGCTTTTTGTCTACTGTCATTTGTCTGGTTGGAAAGAAGTAGGTAGATTGCTATCCATGCTTAAGTTCTATTTTCATTTCAATTTCATTTATGGTACTGGGGATGGAACTCACAACCTCGTGCTTATCAGGCAGGTGCTTGTGCTGCTGAGTTAAATCCCCAGCCCCCTGTGCTTAAATTTTAATCCTCAGATTTGTCCTTGCACTGTGGTGTGAGCCACAGAGCCTGAGTCTCAGCGTGAGTAGGACACTAAGATACAGAACTCGGGAAATACAAGCATAGCCTTACAAGTTTTGATCACTAAAAAACAGCGAAATTAATCCCAGGACTGGATGGCCATACTCCCTTGCATTCTGTGTGGTGTTCACACCATTCCCTCATATTCTGTCTGAATGGTGAGTTGAGGTCATCAAGTGGTCTTAGAATTCCAGCACACTCCCGCTCTGTGATTCAGTTTGCCCTTTACACTCAAGTATTGACAATGAAAAAACTTGTTTCTACTTAAAAAGTGGCTTAAAAGCATCATTAACTTTTCAGGCCCAAGAATCTTATGAAAAGGCGATGGATAAAGCCAAAAAGGAACATGAGAGGAGTAATGCATCCCCAGCCATTTTTCCTGAATACCAGCTCTGGGAAGACCACTGGATCAGGTAAGCTGAACATAGGATTTGACATATTTCAGGATCAGTTAAAGGAACCAAGGGAAAATAAGAGAATTCCTTGCAACAGTTGCCCACGTAAAGAATGATCAAAAGTCTTTAAGAATGGCATTTAAAATCTTGCTAATGAAGAAACAGATTATTCCTGCTGCATCTTGGCTCTGGGTTCTTGGGCACATGATACGCAGTTTTGGTAACCAAGGAAGGGTGAGTAGTTCACTCTGCAGTGAAGCCCAGTGGGACCTCCCAAAGCAGTCTCCCGAGCTGTGGCACTCTTTCCATCTGTAGTGACAATCACCACCTAGAACACTAATCCCACCTTCTTAGGCTGGCAGAGTGCTTGTGTCTAAGCTTTGCTCTCCACCCTGTGTCTTCCAGGTGCTCCAAGGAGCTGAACCAGTGGGAGGCATTGACAGAATATGGCCAGTCCAAAGGTCACATAAACCCCTACCTGGTCCTGGAATGTGCCTGGAGGGTATCCAACTGGACTGCCATGAAGGAGGCACTGGTGCAGGTGAGAGAGCTTCTGCTCTTGGTCTGATTGGGCTGCCTGGCTCACAGGAGGAGCTCTGTGTGTCTCTTGGAAATTTCTCCTTAGCTCCAGCTGAACCTTTTTGAGTTGAGAGACAACTATTAGAGAGAAGCATTAATTCTGGTTATTTCTAATGCCTCCTCTAAATTTGAGTGAAATTATAAATTAGCTGTGTGTTTTAAAGTAAACTTTATAATGAGGATTTTAGTGCATAATGGAGAATGGGCACAGGAATACACTTCCTGTTTTCCCTCTGTGCAGCTTTTATAGCTAGATGTGTGATCTATCTTACTGTTAGACATGTGCTAGGTTGACCATGGGCTAGAATTTGCCGGTAGATAGTGTCCAGAAAAGACAGTCTAAGATAAACACATGACTTCTCTAAAGAAAGTAAGGTTGTACCTGTAGTCATAAAATTTGTTTATCGCGTTATATAATTTGCCACAAGAAACTGAACTTTTTCTTTTTTGACCTTTTATACTGAGGGAAGAATGCCCATCGCTTTCTATACAATCTTGCTTTGCAGGTAGAAGTAAGTTGCCCAAAAGAGATGGCATGGAAAGTCAACATGTACCGCGGATACCTGGCGATCTGCCACCCTGAAGAGCAGCAGCTTAGTTTCATCGAGCGCCTCGTGGAAATGGCCAGCAGCTTGGCCATCCGTGAGTGGCGGCGGCTGCCCCACGTAGTGTCCCATGTGCACACGCCCCTTCTGCAGGTGGGTACAGCGCCCTCCCCTGAGCATAGCTTCAGCCCCTGCAGCAGACCAGCTCAAGTCTACGTACGGCCCATGGAGTGAGCTGGACAGTAGAGGAAATGTCTTTCCTTGGTTCTGTTCTTTTCCATTTAAACTCACCATCAGAGTTAAACCATAGAGTGGGGAAAACAAGTGTTGCGCCTCAGTGTTGGTATTTATGAAGGATGTAAGGTCTTGATGACTGGAGACATTCTCACAAGTCCTTTTGATGATTCTGAGTTTGAGTAGAGATTTTCTTCCGTGCGCACTGTATCATCAGCAGTGTGATGGCACTGTTTAGTCCAAAAGGTCCCACCATCAAGCCTCTTAATGCTGCTGTTGAATGGGCCATGCCGCAACTATTTCTGTATTGTCTGCGCTATTCTAACAAATTATCCCAGCCACTGTTCAGCTGCTCAACTCTTAAGATTTCCACTGCTTAGACTCCATGTATATATTTCTGGGATTATGCCAACCTTGTTCCCTGTTGTATCTCTGGTATACTGAACAGAGCAGCCACTAGTGCTATGCATGAGTGAAGCTGTGGGCTTGATACTACAATAGTGATTCTGCATGGTCACACTTGTATTCTATTGAAAAAATAGTTTTGAGATTTGAGTTGTAATTATATATTAGTTTGTTCTTTGTTAATAATACAGTACCATATACTGGGTACATTTCATGGTAGGCTTCTTGCTGGTGGAGTCCCTAAGTGATATAGAGCATCAGATAGATGGTAAGAGACAGAGTGAGTGTTTGTTCTGGTTTATCTTCTTAAATAGCTACCAGTATTCAGTTATGGGAATTCACCCTGATGACACCAGCCCATCTCAAAACATCATAGTTAGGTTAAGTTTCTATTCTCTTAATACCTTTAATTTGTAGGGGATTAAATCAGTATGAGTTTCAGAGTAGACAAACCATTTTCATACCATGGCAGTATAGTTGCTTTTTGTGGTTTTTTTTTTTTTTTTTTTTTTTTTTTTTTTTTTTTTTTTTTTTTTGGTGCTGGGTTTTGAACTCAACCACTTCGCATTTACCAAGCAGGCACTTACGCCACTGTTCTAAACCCCTGACCCCATGGTGGCTTATTAGTATACTCTGATTCTGCGGTCCTCTTCACAGTGGATTAGAAGTTTGTTGAAGAAATTCGGTTTTGATGGTTTTGCTTTTTCTCAAAGTATACCCTAAAGTCATGTCTATTTTGCAGATATGTACTATCTGTAATCCAAAGTATTATGATATTCTAAAGCTTTCTCTTGGATGTAGACTTTTTCTTCTAAAAGTATAAAGGTGGGTTGCCTGCCTCTGTAGCTTTTGGGGATGTTATTTTTGTAGGAAAGATTACATTTAAGAGCTATTAGATGTGTTAATGCAACAAGTATCAAGTGCAAATAACGAAAATTCATTATAAATGAATAACAGAATTATTGTACAGTTTATTTCAAGCATGAAATATTAAATGTATCATTTCAGATACAGTCATCATTTGGTATTTTAGAGGTGCAGTTATAGACAGTTTTCTCTTTTAGTGCTTTGCTCATACTTGGTAATCTGTAAATACGTGGTTATGGACAAATTGACTCCATTTAAAGGGATAATTTCTATCTCCCTACCACACTACTAACCAACATTATAACTAAGAAATCTTACAAAAAACACAGACAACACCTGTAACCATGCCTTTCAGAAAGCTATGTAATAGCACTTCATGTTGTTTTGATAATTGCTCTTCTGTGTTTTGCAATGGAGTTCTCACTGTATTGCCCAGGCTGCCCTCAAACACAGGGGCTCAAGTGATCTTCCTGGCCCAGCCTACTGACTAGTTGGGACCATAGGCCTGTGCCACCACATGTGGCTATTACTATTTTAAATTAACAAATAATTGACTTACATATTTATGAAATGCAGTGGGTTTTTTCTCTTTTGGGAGGGGATGTGTTTATATTAGTAAGTTGGTTACATCAACTAACAAATTGGATACGTTACATGTTTAGAGTATTTTAATGGTGAAAAAATTCTTGCATGCATCATTTGTTACAGTTACTATTCTCAACAATAGATTGCGAAAGTTTGTTCCTTCTAACTAAAACTTGTAATTACCCTTCCTATTCTTGTCCCTCAGCCTCTGGTAACCAGTGTTTTAGTCTATTTCTATGAATTTGACTTTTTTAGGTTGCACATACAAGTGAAATACTATCCACAATACTCAGAGTAGACAGGATATGGAGTCAGCCTAAGTGTACATCAAAAGATGAGTGGGAAAGAGATGTGGTGCACATGTGAAACACTTACTGGGAATAAGCGTTGACTGTGAGTGAGCAGGGACATCTTTGGCATACTCATCTCAGGCTGTTTGAATGTATACCTGGAAGTAGAATTGCTGGATCGTTCTTTTCACGGAGAAGGACACAAAGAGACACTGAGAGAACCGAAGTGGAAGGGGGCCAAAATAACACTTAAAACTTGGTGCTTTTTATAAAAAATTTTCATTAGTTTTGAGAGATTTTAGGTGGAAGTGTGTTCCATTGATGTAACTGAAAACACTATTAACTGTCCCCTGGGGGGAAAAAAATATTGTTTTTAAATAACCACTAATTTGGTTATTTAAAAAAAAAAAAAAAAAAAAAAAACTAAAACGGATTATGAATTCTTTTTTGGAGCAACTTCTAGGCAGAATTTCCATAATGGCAAAGTAAGGATCTCTGAAGTTATCTTTCTTCATGAGAGCAACAAGAATACTTGGGGAAATTGTCAGAATCAACTTAGAAATTTTGGAAATTAAACAGACACTTGCACAATCTAAGGAACATTATTTACTAAAGAAAAATTGTATTTCAGAAAGAACAGCAAGCTTTGTATTATTTTAATTGTCCCAGTACTCTTCTCCCTTTACTCAGTTCTGTGGTATATTTAAAAACTGGTAGCTAACTTCATGTTACACATTTAAAAACCCCAAAAACTCTGATCTCAGAGTGTTCATACTAATTGACCAGCATTGTAGCTCCCTGTTAACAAGGTTTGTCTTCATTTAACCTGAAAGCTTACTCAGAGAGGAAAGCCATTTGGAATGCACTTATAAAAAGAAAGGCAGCATTGGCTTAACATTAAAGCTACCTGATAAAACAGTACCAGCCAGGGCACAAGAGACTACATAACTTCTCTAAAGAGAACATGGGGTATTAAGGTCTCCATAGTGGACTTTTAAAAGCTCTAATGTATTCCTGAAAATTTTGAAGGCCACATATATACTTTACTTTTCTTTTTTGAAACAGAATGAAATGAAAAATGTATTAACACAGGTCCTCAACTGCTGATTTCAGCAGGTAGAAGGAATCGGCAAACTCAAAGACAGGCCAAATGACATTATCTAGCTGAATGAACAGAAAGAAAAAACAGTGGAGAAAAAGGAGCAGAGCTTTAGGGGTCTGTGGAATGTTAACACGCCCGCCAGCATACTCGTACTTACTGGCACAGGGGCAGTGGTGTGAAAGAAAAAGAATATGTGAAGAAATGATAGCCCTGGATTGCTCAAATTTGATGAAATTATTTAAAAACATTTAACTTTTGTCCCTCAAAGAATGACATCAAGTAAGAAAACTTACAGAATGGGAGAGTGTGTGTAAGTCTTACTTGTTAAGGAACTTTTCCCTAGAACATATAAAGAACTCTTATAAATGAGTAATAAAGAGAACAAAATTTAACAATGGGCAAAAGTTTTGGGCCTTTCCCCAAAAATATAAACAACCAGTGTTCAACATTAGGGAAAACAGCTCAAAACATGTTTATGTTTGCTTTTATTTTTTGAGACAAGGTCGTACTATACAGTTGAGGCTGATCTTGAACTCACTGTGTAGCCCAGGCTGGCCTTGAACTCGTAGCATTCCCTCTACCATAACCTCTCACATGGTGGAATTACAGGTGTGTGCCACCATCCTGAAGCATAACTAACTAGATTTTGAGAATGTGAAGAAATTGGAACTCTCACACACTGCTAGTGGAATTGTAAAAATCCTGCAGACTCTTTGCAGATAGTCGGACTGCTCCTTGATGTGTTACACATAGCTAATCTGTAACTCTATACTTCTGCTCTTCATCTTTTGTGGCCATACAGAATTACATAGGAATATTCATAGTAGCAGTTCTCATATGTAGCCAAAAAGTAAAAACAACCCAGATGTCCATTATCATGTAAACAAAACGTGGTACATCTATGTAATGGGATGTTATTTAGCCATAAAAGAATGAAGAACTGATACTGGTATAGCATGGGTGAACCTTGAAAGCATTATGCTAAGTAAAGAAATTGGGCACAAAGGGGCACATGATCCCATTTAATGAAATGTCCAGAAAATGCAAATCCATTAGCACAAAAGTAGATTACTGGCTGTCATGTGCCAGGGAGAGAGAAGATGGAGAGGCTGCTGATGGGCAAGGGGCTTTTATGGAAGGTGATAGAGATGTTCTAGCATTAACTGGTGAAGATGATTGTGTAACTAAGAATATCCTAAAATCTGCCAAAGTGGTAAATCTGTGTTTCGTAAAGCTTTTGAAACATTGTTTACAGTGTGGTAGGATTTAGATAAAGGTTTCAGAAATCTGAATGTAATAAAGTAAATTTGGACTATAGTTGAAAATCGTAAGTTCTAGGCAGTTTTGAAACTCAAGATGAAACAAGGTAACACTGAACTGTGTTCTGTTTGAGAAATTCAATAAACAATGGATTCTGCTCAAAGCAGCCAACCTAAAGAAGAGGACATACCTGTAAGAAGCAAAAGGGAGACTATGATTTGGTGCTTTTTCAGTAGGATACAAAATAAGTGACAAGGATTTAGAGAAGAGAAATTCCTGTGGGCCACAGGAAGACAAGGACAGCAGAGATGGGATTTGGCATAGATTTGGGTAGACATAGAATTGTGGCCAAGCTGCTACTGATGAGAGGCCATCTGAAGTTTGGGACCAGCAACACAGCTGGGGTTTAAGAACTAGACAGACATCTAGAAGGGATGTGGTGCAAAATGTACTTATTGGCCCAAAAAGATGATAACCGTGTTTTAAAACGCTAGACACCACAAGTTAAAATCCAGGTTGGTGGAGGAAAAACCTGTAGGCTGAGAAGTGAGACTGTGGTGATCTTAGACATAGAGGGTCAAAGAGCCAAGCAGAGTTGGTGGCAAAGGAAGCAGAAAAGAGAAAGAATAGTTTGGGAGTGCCATTAACAAGGCTGAGTGTCTGTAACATTGGCTGCCAATTCATAGCTCACATGAATCACAAGCTGTGGTCTTAAAACTGGGGGAAACTCGAGCAGTTAGAGTGTTTGATGTGAAGGGTACATTAAATGTGGAGTCTAAAGTAGCTGAATAGATAACTTCCCTTGGCAGTTGTATCTTAAGGCATTTCCAACAGTCTGGTTGCTAGTTGACTGGTTTGTTTTCTCTTGCATTGTTCATGTAACTTACTGTGGAATCTCTTAATGCTGGTCCCATCAGGCAGCCCAGCAAATCATCGAACTTCAGGAAGCTGCACAAATAAATGCAGGTTTACAGCCGACCAACCTGGGGAGGAACAACAGCCTCCATGACATGAAGACGGTGGTGAAGACCTGGAGGAACCGGCTGCCCATTGTGTCTGACGACTTGTCTCACTGGAGCAGCATCTTCATGTGGAGGCAGCACCATTACCAGGGTAAACCGACCTGGTCCGGCATGCATTCATCATGTAATTTTCCAGATGCCCCGCTGTGCTGGTTTCATGTCTTTGTTTTGTTTATTTTTTTCTTTTCCCAGATTTTCTATTTTGGGTTGGGTATGATAGGTTGAGGTGATAATGCTGGGGAAAAAGATGAAGTAGGAAAGATGCTGTCAAGCCCCTCTCCCCTCTACATTTTTCTGATTAGAAGAGAATTAATTTTTCTAGGCATTGCGTGCCATACTCTGGGACAAGGCCAGTGGGATGGAGCACCACGTGGTAGCACTCTGTCTCAAAGGTCCTGCCCAGGAGCAGCTATCCTCAGTGGCCCTGTGTAGCTGTTTCTGGTCTTAGTCCCCTAGCTCATTCCCTAAACCTGCTGGGCATCTATGTGTTCAGGACAGCCTTTACGACTTAAGGATTTACTTAGCTAAGACAGTAATGCCCTACACTGAGTTTGCACCTTTTAATAATTTACTTGAGACATACTTGTAAAGTACAAAGAAAAGTAGCAAGGGTTTATCACAAAGCTTGTTTTCATAAGCCATGTATGTGTTTTGTAGTTTTTATTAAAGCCTTACTGTAGACTAAAAACATAACATGGACTGTTAACGTATTTCCTTACCCTCTAGCAATTGTAACTGCTTATGAAAACAGTTCTCAGCACGATCCAAGCTCAAATAATGCTATGCTCGGAGTTCATGCATCAGCTTCAGCAATCATCCAGTATGGGAAAATTGCCCGGAAACAAGGGCTGGTCAACGTAGCACTGGATATATTAAGTCGTATTCATACCATTCCAACTGTTCCCATCGTGGATTGCTTCCAGAAGATTCGACAGCAAGTTAAATGCTACCTCCAGCTGGCAGGAGTGATGGGCAAAAACGAATGCATGCAGGTAGGGCCTGACAGGACACTGTTCCCTCCCACACATGGGAGACCCGTGGAGAATGAGAGGGCTTTGGGTCAGGTGATAGGTGAGGAGGCTTTGAACTTCATATACAGTGTTAGTGTTGGGAAGCAATCCTTCCTCAATAAGAAATGAAAAGGGAGGTCACTCAGTTATTTGAATGACACTCCTGGTTAACATGTTTAGGGAAAGAAAAGTACTGTATTCGTAGGAATAGGTAAAAAAGTCTGACTAGTCATAAAGAGTTGCAGGAAATAATCAGCACATATTCATAGTGAAAGTATGTTTGTCAGTAACTTACAGTGTTTATTGTCTAGATTACTTTTGTGAAGTTTTTGTTACATGTAAACTTCAGTAACTTCCTACTCATTTCTTTGTTTTTAAATAGGGCCTTGAGGTTATTGAATCTACAAATTTAAAATACTTCACAAAAGAGATGACAGCTGAATTTTATGCACTGAAAGGAATGTTCTTGGCTCAGATCAACAAGTATGTAATATTATACTGGAAGAGGGCAATAGAAAAATACGCACGGGATTATTTAAATAGTTACTTGGAACTGGAAGCCTTTGGAAATCTCCAACTGAAAAGGGATGTGATTTCATGATGGTTGTTGGTGTGATTTCTTAGTATTGTACCTCTACACAGGGTAACTTGGAACCAACTGATAAGTCAGTCCAATGTATAGTATTAACAAGTTTATGAAGATGGTACTGATCGTAGAACTGTGGTCCTCATGGATTCCTGTCCGCATTTCTCACCTGCTGTTGTTCGAACTCGCTTGTTTCCTTTTGGAGATGAGTTAGTAAAAACTATACCAAACCTATCCAGCTCTGGGTTTTGAAAATGAAGTTGGTCTGAAGCATAACCGTGCCCGTTGATACTGTCCATCATTACTTTCACCTGGTAAACTGCAGTTGTGGTAGAAACTGTACAAGCTTCAAACCTGAGCGATTTGTTACCAATTACAGATTGCCAAACCCTGTTTTAGAGAAGGAAATAGCTGATGGGTTGCCGATTGCCACTCATAGGCTCTCAAACCTCCTTTACACATTTTCAGTGAAAACAGCAGTTGTATTTTTAGCTTATTTTTGAAAAAAATAAGTTTTGTCAAGATACAAACTTCTGGGCATTTTTGGTAGTGTTTTATATACTCACAAGTCTCAAAAATATATTATTTCATAATGTATAGTTCAGTGACTTAGGATATTTATAATGTTGTACAGCCATCACCAGTAGCTGGATTTAGAATCCTTTTATAACCCCGAAAAAGAAACCTTGTATTTGTTGGTAGTCACTTCTCTTTCTCCCCTCCCTTTTTGCCTACCATCCATCAGTCTATTTTCTGTGCTATGGATCTGCCAATTCTGAACCTTTCATATAAATAGACTTGATACAATATATGTAGCCTTTTGTGACTGACAGCTTCATACAAAAGGAAGTGTAGAATCACCATGTGACTCAGCAGTTCCATACCTTAGTATGTACCAAAAGAATGGAAATGAAACTCCTTCAAAATGGTTTACATCACTACTAGTCATGATAGCCAGAGTCAAATGTGGAAATTGAATGAGTAAATAAATAAAATACAATCTTTACAATAATGGATTATTGTTCCATTATAGAAGAGAATAAAGTTCTGACAAATGCTCCAACATGGATGAACCTCACAAACACTGTGCTAAGGGAAAGGAGCCAAACTCAAGATTTTAGGATGTGTGATTAGATTAATATGAAATATGCATAATAGGTAAACCTGGAGAGGCATTAGGTTGGTGGTCACCAGTCTTGAGGTTGGGGCAGGGTCAGAGTAACTGCTTAAGAAGTAGTTGTACATAGCATAAATGCTTTCAGTAACATGAAAGGTTCACTCCAAAATGGTTAATTTCCTGTTGTATGTTGAAGGTTTCATGTTGTATGGCTTCCCACAGATCTGAAGAAGCAAATAAAGCTTTTTCGGCAGCTGTGCAAATGCATGATGTGCTGGTGAAAGCCTGGGCCATGTGGGGTGACTACCTAGAAAATATCTTTGTGAAGGAGCGGCAGCTGCATCTTGGAGTGTCTGCCATTACCTGTTACCTGCATGCGTGTCGGCATCAGAATGAAAGCAAATCAAGAAAATACTTAGCAAAGGTGAGACCAAAAGAATTAATTATGATAAAAGGTCAGATTTTGATTAGATCAAAATCTAGCTACAATTCACTAATCCATATTGGCTGTAAGGCCAGATTTCCTGCCTTATTTTTTTTAATTCTCATCATTCTTTAAAGAGGAGCTCTTCTAAGTTCCATTTTAAAGCTGAGAAATCTGAGACCTGGGCAGAGTCTTGCCTAGAGTCTTGAGTTTTAGACCTCTGTGTCACATGCTATCTGGACACCACTCCTAGACAAAGCGAGGGACTAGAGTGAGACTCCACTGGGTACTTATAATCTGATAAGTAAAACACAGATATGCAAAGTATGATTGAAATATAGGGTAAATGTTTAAATTTTTAAAAGTCATTACAATAAAAAAGGCACTGCCATTGATCCCTCAAAATATTCCCCCCCTAGTTTCAGCATTTTTTTTTTTTTTTTTTTACTTTTTTTGGGTACATGTTTGTGATACATGATGAATACACTGATCATGGGGAAGTGATACATGCACATATCAAATCTTCATCCTTTTTTTTCCCCCTTCCACTTTGTATATTTTTATATTCTTACCACTTTTGGAAGTAATTCTGGAAGTTTTTTTTTGTGAATGTCTTTACAAGATATGATCAAAAATACAGTGAATCATGCTAATAAGTGCCATCTAGCAGAAAGACAGGCTTATAAAAACAGTGCCTTCATTCATCCTGTTCACTAAATTGGATGCTGTGTGACTTGTACCTCTTCGTCAAAATTAAAATGACCAAAAAAGATGAGTGTTTTGAATTGATTCAGGACATTGAGGCATCCAGGACAGTGCGACTGAAGACTTGAAAAGGGGTTTTAAAACTGCTTCAGAAAGTGACAAGAATGATAGGTTAAATGTGTTCAAAGGAAGGGAAAGCTTTCTCAGGGGAATTCATGGTAATGTGTCTGTTATTGTAATATATTTTAAAAAGTTCAAGCATTCATGGTATTTTTTGATCTTGCATCATAATTCTTGCAGAAAATTTAGGAATAGTGTTTCCTATTTTACACATTAGTCTTAATGTGAGTGTTTGGAATATATATCAGCACATGTACATGGACATGAAAGCCAGCCGAGGTTGCTAACAGAAACACTACCTGGATCTTACCCTGGAGTTGTTTGTTTTAGATATCAGTGTTTCAGATACCCAAGGGCTTCATGCTGTAGCACATGATTTCCCTGGTGCTAGGATGATGGTGATTTGAGGTTGCAACAATCTGTTCTGTTCAGTGAGGTCGCACCTGAGAGTTAGCAGGTCACCCATGTAGGCCCCAGGCACCTGCTTAGTGCCTCTTCGGAGCCACAGCCAGTCGATAGATTGGGTCAGTTGGTAATTGTCATTGCAGCTAAAGCAAGAGAAAAACTGCATTCAAATTTTAGGTTTTATTTAACTAACATTTATTACCTTATTCATTTATTTATTAATTTTACTTATTGGTACAGTGATCAAACTCACAACCTCACGCTTGCCAGGCAGGCACTTGTGCTACTGAGCTATATCCCGAGCCCTAACTGTGACATATGTTGAGTTTGGCAGTAAATTGGCCCTATAGTAGATACTTTTCCCTGTGACCAGGAAAAGGAGCCAATTTTCTGGGCAGTGTGCCATCATGCCCTGCTCATGTGGCAATTGTAAGTTGAATAAAAAGAGCCTCTTCATTGAAAGCCTCAGAATTGTCATTCAACTCTAGGACTTTTCCTCTCTCCTAGGTGCTATGGCTTTTGAGTTTTGATGATGACAAAAACACGTTGGCAGATGCTGTTGACAAGTACTGCATTGGCGTACCACCCATCCAGTGGCTGGCCTGGATCCCGCAGCTGCTCACCTGCCTGGTTGGCTCTGAGGGCAAGTTGCTCCTGAACCTCATTAGCCAGGTGAGCATCACAAGTTTGTCGCTGTCATAGAACAATTTTGTCTCCTTTTGCATTCCTTTCATTTAGAAAATTAAGCTTGAATGTTCAAAGTATTGAAAATAGCTTGACATAAATGTTTAGTTACTATTTAATATAAAACATGAAAAGTTATTGAAGAATACATCATAGTTGAGTTGCATTGCACTCTTGAAATTGTAATATCTTTGCTTGAATATTGTTCCCATGTGGGATAAAACAAACTTGCATTAAATGGAAGACTGCTTGAAGTCTTGTGAAGTTAGTGTCTGTTCGGCATTTATGATCTGATTTCTTGTTCTGTGCCTGGAGCTTTCTACATGCTCTCAAGAATGATACCCATTGTGTCCAGTGCTACTCATTGCAGTTCTGCTGCATCTGTAAGACACCAGCAGTTCTTTGGTGAGGTGGGGAATTGAACAGGTCCAGGTCCCATAGAATGTTCTTTTATAACATCATTTGGGAAAGATTCTAGTATCAACCATCATTGAGAAAGGTTCTCTGAAAAGACTGAGCTAAACAATCAAAAAAGTAGATATTTAGGTACTGTGTCACACTTTCATGTGTATATAAAGTCATGTAACTTCACGAATGAGTAGTGCAGTAGCTGTGTGATTTGGAATGTGCTGGCACTCAGTGAACGTCATACACGTAGTGCATAGAGGATCAGGAAGGAACCTGTGCGTTTTTGTCTTCCTTACGTTTACTGAGTGAAATGAACATGTGGTTTCTCTGGGTAGAATTAGTCAAATGCAAGTGTGGATCTGTCTTAAGTCTTTTAAAGCTAAACAACATGACTCACCTCCTGTTTAAGCCAGCCGTGTATGTAGATCATCAATGCATTATTTTTTTCTGGGTCCAAATGCTGACCAAAAATCCATTTTCAACTTAGTATCAATTATTTTCAATGCAAATTGTCTTCATCAAGATAACATAGTGCAGAGCAGTGCTGTTTATGACTTCCTGTCTCTGAGCAGGTTGGACGGGTGTATCCCCAAGCAGTTTACTTTCCCATCCGGACTCTATACCTGACCTTGAAGATAGAACAGCGGGAACGCTACAAGAGTGGTACGTCCCGGGTAGATCTGGCTGGCTAGGACTTGAGGGATCCATTCCGTGGGTGTCTCATGTCTCCAGTGCTGCAGACACACCCTGCCACAGCATTCTTCTTACATGTGGCCGGTCTTGTCTTTATGAAGGGGCCAGAGGACAAAGCCTGGTGTCTTGAGTAAAGTGTATGGTTTTCCTCTGCCACAGTGGGGTCGGGTGTTCATCATTTGGTTCATAGGCAGAAAACCAATCTGTGAAATTTTAACCATAATTACAAAATTCACCTTCTACTGTGCCAATACATTGTTGAGGTTTATTGGAATGTCTTAATCTATCAGAAGAATCTTCAGTCTTGCCAGCTATTTGGAAAAATTAACTCAAAATATAAGACTTTTAATGTATATTTAACAGCCTTCCTATGTAAAGAAAGAACCTAATTAAGGGTGCCAGATACTGCTAAGCATGGTACTTTGTCAGCCATTTAAGGAATGTTGTTTTACAGACTTCACAGACCAGACTGGCAGTGTTGCAGATTGTTGGGATGCGGTGGGGCATGGGGATGGTGTGCATCACCTTTCAGCTCCCTGTCTTGGTCATTTGAAATCAGCTTTTTTTTATTTCAAGACTTAAGTATAGTAAGTGAAAGCCAGAGAACAGGGCATGAAGAATTCTGCAGTGTATTTCTCCTATAGAAGATAACTTTTTTTTGAAAACATTTTACAAATACGGTTTTGTTTTCTTGGATGAAAAATGGAGCATTGCTTATTAACTATTTGAAGAGTCTTTGAACTTCAGTACAAGGAACACACTAGGAAATGCTTTCCTGCATCTTTTCTTTTGAAAAATTTAAAAGGTAGAAAGGAGTGTGCAGTGTACATCCTCAGCTTGCACAGTGGGTAGCATGTTGCGATATCTGACTTTTTGGTCAACACACTCACTGGTTTCATCCCAAAGTCAGTAGGCACAGCTATCCTTAGAACCACAGCATTCTCCTCACCATCCTAGGGAAGATGGCCCTGCAGCAGTCCCCACACCGGCAGGAACCAGTGTTCCTTTGGCCAGTGGGTCCCGTAGAGCTCCAAGCTCAGCATCAGTTGGTTTTGCACTGACACTGGCGTTGTGTGTGTTGCTCTCAGATTCTGGACAGCAGCAGCCAAGTTCAGTGGGTAACCAGTCCCATTCTGCATCAGATCCAGGGCCCATAAGAGCAACAGCACCCATGTGGCGCTGCAGCCGAATCATGCACATGCAACGGGAGCTCCACCCCACCCTTCTGTCTTCCCTGGAAGGCATCGTTGACCAGATGGTTTGGTTCAGAGAGAACTGGCATGAAGAGGTATGTGGGGCTGACTGCACCTGCTGGCTACCTGTGGGCAGAAAGTGATATTCTGCATGCTTCAGCGACCACATTATGTTCATAGTTAACTGCCTAATCATTGTTCGTTTGCTGCTGAATTTAACTACAGACCAGGTGAGTAGTTAATATCTGCACAGTTGTACAGCCTCAAGTATTTGAAGCAATCAACTTCAAAAGAAAAAGATGAAGTTGTGGAAGCCGTTTCTTGCTATTAAAATGTTATTTGTATACTTCCATGCACTTGGCTGTTTAAGTGCCGCTGGTTGACCAGGTGGCAGCCATGTGAGTGAGAGCAGTGGGCTGGGCAACGTGCAACTGCAATTTCCAGAGTGGAACTTTGTTTTTCAGGGTCTTTCCAGCAGCTGGGCCACCTCCTTAATCTTCCGTGCGTAAGCGGAGGGTAAAGTCCCATAGGTTACTGCCCAGCAGTTTGTCTAGTTGAGCCCCAAGGGCAGCTGGTCCGCAGTGCCCAGGTCTGCACGTGTACACATAACAGGTGGTGGTGACAACAAGGCCGCATGGAAATGAGATTTTCTGGGGTTAATCACCAGATGGCTGTGTGTGCCCTGAAGAAGTGGTGTTTTCTCCTTTGTTTTGTTGAGTGTTGAAGGCTTCAGTTAGGGGCTTGCAGTGTCATACCCTGGCATCCCATCTTTTCGGCACACACTCACTTACATCTACTGGGTTGCCATGTGGCTGTAGCACAACGCTGGAGCAAGGAGGTCTTGTGTGACAGAGGCCCTGAACTGGCTGGTTGCTCTGTTTAGGTGACAGTCTTTGTTCTGTCTTCATCTAGGTGCTTAGGCAACTCCAACAGGGCCTGGCAAAGTGTTACTCTGTTGCCTTTGAGAAAAGTGGTGCAGTGTCTGATGCCAAAATCACCCCGCACACTCTGAATTTTGTTAAGAAGTTGGTGAGCACATTTGGAGTGGGCCTGGAAAACGTGTCAAACGTCTCCACCATGTTCTCCAGCGCAGCCTCTGAGTCTCTGGCCCGCCGAGCACAGGCCACGGCCCAGGACCCCGTCTTCCAGAAGCTGAAGGGCCAGTTCACAACAGGTGGGTCTCACTGTTTCTATGCCTGGAAATCCTTTTTCCGGGCCGTTTACATCTAAATACTCATTGATGTTTCTCATCACTGTTCTCAGCAAGCTGGTTAGGTGGTTTAAAATAGACTCAGAGTGCTGGGAGCTTACGGCAGCCGTCAGCCTAGGACTCCACATCCTTTCACACTGAAGGTTTCGGTTTGTAACTGTGAGATGGGAGGTAGGAAGTAGATTTTCAGCAGATCCTCTTACTTCCAATTGGTGCCTCCCTCACTTAGAAGGTGAAGCGTTGGCATTTAACAGTGCAGGGCTCAAAGTGATGACTGCAAACTTGACAGAAGACTCTGGTAGCAGAATGACCGGGAAGATTATGTTTCCATTACCTGTCACTAGTGCACGTAGAGGCATTTTGTTGGGCCCAGATGAGTGCAGGTGTGCTCTGTGAGGACAATGAGTCCAGTCTCCCTTCGCCTGGGCCCTTCTCCCCCCGAGCACAAGTGTGCTCTGTCATACGCACAGCCTGGGCGCTGGGAATGCCCAGTCCCAGACAAGTCACTTTGGCACCTGAGTGGGGGATGGGCATGAGTAATAGTCACGTAACAGTAAGACTTGTACAATCTCACAGAACTGAAAAATGCTCAATCTGTTCTTATGACTGTGTCTGAAACATTCTTGACTGATAGGTTAAACTACAGAATTTCACATTTTTAGATATATAAAGGATCTTTTTCTATTTTATAGTGCTGAGGATTAAACCTGCAGCTCTACCAGTGAGCTACTTTCCCCAGTCCTTGCTGTGGTATATACTATAATCCCAGTACTCTAGACGTTGAGGCAGGAGGATCACAAGTTTGAGCCCAGTCTGGGCAGCTTCACAACTTAGTGAGACCTTGTCTCAAAATAGAAAACCAGAGAGGTTGAAGATCTGTCTCATGTGATGGCCTTGGGCTCAATCTTCAGTACTGTAAACAAATGAAAACAGAGTACAGTAAAAAAGAAAAAATACATATATAGTGTATGTGTGAAACTGTAAAATATTCCATTAATTATGAAGTATACTTTGTACCTGCAGCCAAAACTAACTTTGAATCTTGCTAAAGAACACAAAACCTGTGCCCATCCTCATTCCAGGTGGCAGGGCCTCAGTGGACCTGTTGTCAAAGGATAAGGTGGGCAGTTAGGGTGACACAGCCAATCTACAGAAGGACAGGGCTCTGGGAGATGGGAGTGTGAGCCCTGTCCTCCTGCCTTTCATGCTGAGAGCTATCACTATCTGGTGGCTTTTACCTGTGAAGTTTAAGTGGTGCCCTGACCCTTGTTAGGGAGCATCAGAGATGAGCATTTTATAGAAACCATCCTATTTTACTTACAAGAAATAATATTTGACATACCTTTATTTTAAAATAACAGAACAGCCTGTAATCCCAGCACCTGGGAGGCTGAGGCAGGATTGTTGTGAGTTTGAGACCAGCCTGAGCTACAAAGTGAGCTCAAGGCCAGCCTGAACTGCAGAGAGAGACCCTATCTCAAAAAAGACTTAAAAAAAAAAAAAAAAAAAAAACCCAGATCATTGCATCAAATGTAGTTTGAAATGGAGAATTAGAATTGGGACAAAGCACCTGGTTTTTGATGTTAAAATTGTAAGACCTGGATCTCAAAAGTTACCTCATGAGGCTGCCAACCTTCTTGGAACACAGCAAGCTTCAGAGTTCTGCAGCCTGCTGTCACCTCCTCCCAGGGGATCCTTTTACTGTCTCAACCTTGAGATTCCTTTTAGGGAATGAGGTGCAGGAAAATTTCGAAACATAATTTGACATGTATCCCACAGAAGTAGAGGCCTACTTCTAGCTAAGAACTTGTATGTTCACAATAAAGCCACTTTATTGATAATGGCCCCAAATAGGAATCTACTTTCCGAACATACTGAATGGAATAACCAAGTAAATACAGTTCATCCATAGTCAGCAGTAAAAAGACATTAATTTGAGTATACAGCAACTTGGGTGAACCTCAAGTTACAGAGAACAGAAAGCCACCCTTAAAAGGATACTTTGTATGGTTCTTATTTATGCAACATTTGTGAATTGTAGACATGGAAATGGATGTACATGTTAGGGCCCAGCTGTTGGAGGAGGGGAAAATGTGGCTATGGCCTTAAAGGGTTAATAGCAGGAGTTTGGAGACAGTCCAGTTGAACATCCTGATGGTAGTGCTAGCTACATAAGCCTGCTTGTGAGACAAGCCTGCACAAGAGTGCACACTTACTTGCATGTGCATGATAACACCTGAGTGCACATACAATGAATTCAGCTCTGTGCTCTGCCAGCATCACTCTTGGTTGTGCATTGTGCCATGGCTGTACAGGGCATTGGCTTAGGAGCCGTTTGGGGGGAAGACTACATAAGGCTGCTTGTGTATTTCCTTGCAGCCTGCTGTGAACCTATAGTTACTCTAAAAACTTACAGCAGTGCTCAGGCATGGCCTTGGCAGCACCTAGGTCCCGTAGAAGAGGAGCATCCCTGGGCATCAAGCTCCCTGCAGTCTGGAGGATGGCCTTCTCACACCTCGGCTGGGGGAGTCTCACCTCACTTGCATTGGTGTGTGGATCTCTCTGGCTACCTCTCCTGTGAGGTTATGACTGAGGAATTCAAAGGAGAGAGATGGCCGTGTTCAAATGAAAGGAAAGGGAAAGTCAGGGCTTGGTGGGTAGCATAGCTCAGTGGAAGGGTGTGTCCTTAGTATGCTTGAGGTCCTGGGTTCACTCAGCAGCCCTTTGGCCCACTCCCACCCCTCAACCCACACACAAACAAAACCAAAGGAAGCCAGATAAATGTCACGGGAAAAACCATAAGCTGGTGCACTGGTTTTCACAAGCTGGTGTGACTGCACAGTAAACTCATCCATGGACAGAGACGAGTGGGCCCCTAGAAGAGCCAGGTCTTGGGCAGCACCCAGCCCTGACAGAGTGGCACTCAGTGCTCTTCACCTTGGGTATGTGAGAAACTTGAGTGTGCTTGCAGCTCTAGAGCCGCTGCCATCCACTGAATTTCACAGTGACTCAAAGAAAATCACATTGCACCTTTCAGCCAGCCTGTGAAATACAGTATGTAGGATGTTGTGCATTTGCAATACATATCTTTTATAGCAAGTTTGACAGTCTGACTTTTCTGTGACTTCTGATCTAAATCATTTTTCTGGGTTCAGCATTAACTTGTACAAACCATTGAGGGGCCATTTTGTAAGAATAATGTGGTGGGCTGTTTCTGGATGTATGTGCTGAGCACAGGTTACAAGGGACACTCAGTTGGAAGAGGCAGGGACTTGTTTTGCCCTTGAATGACTCATCTTGTGCCATCAGATCTTTGCCAGCTTCTGGTTCTAAGCTGGTGCTGTCGACCCTTTGGTCTTTTCCTTCATCACCAACTCCAGCCTTGCAGCTGCCCCAGGGAGACCAACTGGGTAGGAGACCATCTTTGCTAAGTGTCTTTGCTAAGGGGAGGCTCTGTCTGGCTGATGAGTGTACAGAGACAGAGGTCCTTGGACAGATGGTGCTAGCGAGATGTGTGTGCCCTGTGTTGAGGTGGCATATGGAGCTGCAGCCATGCACAGCCCATGCTATGTGAGATGTCAGACATAGTCACCAGTGCTCAGCAGCAGGACGGTGCCTCCTTGCGACTTCCCCAGGATCCCAGTTTTCAACTGTGATGGTTGGTGAGTTAGAATGAGGAGGTGTCTTTCAGCCCTGCGGAGGATCTGGAAGGAAACAGAGGGTTTAAAAGGATTTTTAAAACTTGATTGAACTTATAATGTCGAGCGAGGCTCAGGAAAAATCTGAGAAATACATTAACCAGGGTTTTTAAAGGCTTAGTGAAAATTTTGCATTTTGGTTTCTTGTTTCATTCCTTCTAAGTCACTGTCAGAGGCTGCCTCGGTGTTTCCCTTTTCTCACCTTCATCTTCCCATAGGTTACTCTTGTTAGTTTTGACCTTGAGACCTTACTGCTTGGTGTAATTAATGCTTATACTCAGAGATGGTGTGACTGGGGCCACCTCTGGAGGTAATCACTAGGGTCTAGAGACCTCAAGTCTTGTGCTGTTGTTGGAAGCCATCAGCTGTCCCAAGTTCTCGGCTCTCCTGAGGGATCTGTGATCTCTTGAAGTGATCTGGTTGTGACTGGGATGGAGCTTTGTGTTGGGCTCATCCCTCTTCCTCCTCCTGCTCAGAGTAGCGAGCAGCCCCAGCTGACAGCTGAGCTTGCTGTCTTTGGCTATAACCTCTGCTTTGGAAAGCAAGTGAGGCTTAAGATGTTCTGCTCCACACCATGTGTGGGACACACCCAAGTCATAGCTACTGGATGCTTGGGTGGTGATCTACAAGTTCGTTAGAAATAGCCCAGATGATTACAGATGTTTTAATTGTGTTGTATTTTGCAGATTTTGATTTCAGTGTTCCAGGATCCATGAAGCTTCATAATCTAATTTCTAAGTTGAAAAAGTGGATCAAAATCCTGGAGGCCAAAACCAAGCAACTTCCAAAATTCTTCCTCATAGAAGAAAAATGCCGTTTTTTGAGCAATTTCTCAGCACAAACAGCTGACGTAGAAATTCCTGGGGAATTTCTAATGCCAAAGCCAACACATTATTACATCAAGATTGCTAGGTGAGTGAGCCCAGCAGGCTATATTGGGGCATTCTGGGTAGGTCCTGGGCAGTATTTCAGGCTTTGGTCTCCTAAGGTGGGAGAGAATATAATCATCAGAGAATGTGAGTACTTGGGAGCTATAGTGACTTTGGAGGGCCTGTGACCTAGAAGTTAAGCTTCCTGAGTTCGGGTCAGGTTTGCATTTCAAAGCACCTTTTCTGAATCACCATGGAGCCTGATAAAATATGAAGGCTAGGCTTTTATCATGTCTTAGGTCACAATATTCATGCACATTTGGACAGTTACAAAGTTTACTAGAGCATGCTGCATCAAGCTGTCTCCTCAGCAATGGTGATACATTTATTTCTAAATCAAATGCAGTGCTTCGTTTGTTACATATGCCCAGATCTCAGTTTCCATGTCCTGGCCGGCTGGCCCTGCTTCCTGCCTTCCACTAGTGGCTGCTACATCATAAGATACTGTTTTATCTCTGTCTCTTGTCAGTGGGGGTTGGGATACAGGTAAGTCATTGACACTGAGCTGTACAGCCTGCCTGTCTCTGTTGGTTTCTGTGTATTGTGTTCTTCCTAAGAAAGGGGATAAAATGAGACTTGTCGCTCATGCTTGCTGGTTGCTTACTTCGATAGGTTCATGCCCAGGGTGGAAATTGTTCAGAAGCACAACACAGCAGCTCGTAGGCTGTACATCCGCGGGCACAATGGCAAGATCTACCCGTACCTTGTCATGAACGATGCCTGCCTCACAGAGTCACGGAGGGAGGAGCGTGTGCTGCAGCTGCTCCGCCTGCTGAATCCCTGCTTGGAGAAGAGGAAGGAAACCACCAAGAGGCATTTGTTTTTCACAGGTAATGAACCATGCCTGGGACACACAGCACCTCATGCCAGATTGGAGAGGGAAGCGCTCAGGAGGACTAGTCTCATTTCCCCAGCTTTTGTCCAGGAGTTGCTCTCTGGCCTCAGGCTGCTTACTGTGGGGTGAGAGCTCAGCACTAAGGTTCTCTTGGTTCTTTTTATCTTACAGTGTGAGTGTGTGTTTGGCAGAAGTGGGTCCCTGTGAACTTCCTATTCATACCCTGCAGGAACCTCTCCACCCTGGTGAGCAAGAGCTCCTGGTGTGCTGGTGACACTTTGGTTTTTAGTGAGGTCTTAGGCTCCTCTTGGCCCCGTGCTACACTGTGTGGCACTGCAGAGTCTGCCTTCCTGGAGTGCAGTGCTATGTCTAAGAAATCCCCACAGCCCAGGAAGGCCAGAGACACTGTCAGGTGACAGTAGGAGCTAAGAAGCAGCAACCACTGAGCCCAGTCGTTACATAACGGAGTTGCCCACATTTTGCCATACAGCCTCCAAGACTGGGAACTCACACCGTGCTCACGGCTTAGTCCTGAGTTCAGCTAAGGTGTAGTCCAACCCATTTTGACCAAAATGTTGGTTTTGGTCAAAGCAACGTTTAGGTCAAAATTTAGGTTGGCTATCTCAGAACAAGTGAACTCTAAAAACCAATTTACTTGCTTACAATGCGTCATAAAAAGCTGTATGCACTTCATCAGGTAACATGATCTGTAGTGTTGATCCTAACTGTGGATGAGGAGATTCTTTCCGTCTTCCAAGCATCTGGTTATCACTCGGTGACTATATTCAGTACCTGCCCGGGAATCATCTTGAGATCTTTTCACAGACTGAAGCCAGAGCAGCAAGCCAACAGCTGTGGCATAACTGACATTGGATTAAATTGGCTGTTTTTGTGTTTTTGCTCATTAAAAGTCAGCATCCTGCCAGGCTTGGTAGCACGTGCGTGTTGTCCCAGCAGTCTGGATGTCGAGGCAGGAGGATCACCAGGAGTTTGAGACCAGCTTGGGTTACCTGCATAGTGAGACCGGTCTTAGAAAGTCACAAGTCCCCTGTGTGCCCCTGTGAACACTACCCCACCCCCAGGCGCTCCATTGCCTGGACACTCCTTCTGCCACAGCATCAGCAGTACTGGCCCAGACCCTCCACAGCCCACGGTGGGCAGGGTGGATTTCCATCTTCTGGAAATGTCGGCTCCCTCCAGCTTTACAGTAATTTACTGCTTTAATCATATAGCGGCTGGTGTCCCAGTTCTGGATGAAGAGACAGGTCTGCAGTGGCCTATCACCTTTCACCAAGCAACCTCACTTGGCAGGCTGCCTGAGGATCTGGATGTGGAGGCCGGGAGTGGCACATGCAGCGCTCTGCCCAGGCACTCCCACTGTGCTCCTTCTGGTGGGCTCAGACAGGTGGCCGTGATGTAGGCGCCATCGCCGTTGTGTAACACAGTGGCCTGATAAATTGCATTTCAAACACTAGAACCGTGGCCACTCTGTATGGATGTAGATTTACCGGTGATTGGATTCGCTCTGGTTGTGTCCTTGCTGAAAGAACCTGAGCAGTACTGCTTTGCTCCCACAGAGCTGGAGCACAGCCGTCCAGGCAGCAGGAGGGCGGGTTAGCGAGGTCACTAGGCCTCAGAGCTGGAGGGCTGCATCCTTCTGTTGAGTGGTGGAGGAAAGCCCCTAAAGAGTGAACGTGTGGCAGTACCTGTGTTCTGTAAGGTTACGTTTTGCTGTGGGGTGAGGAATAGCCCACGTAGTGAGCCTGATGCTGTTTGTTCAGGAAGTGGGGGGTAACTACCTTGGCACGCTTTTCCTCTGCTCACGTGGCTGGATTCCAGGTGATCTCTGCTCCCAGCCAGTGCTTGGGATGTGGAGTCAAGCACTAACTTGTGGTTTATCTTCCTCATCTGTCCCTGTCTTCCCCCCTCCCCCAGTTCCCAGGGTTGTAGCCGTGTCCCCACAGATGCGCCTTGTGGAAGACAACCCCTCTTCACTTTCCCTCGTGGAGATCTATAAGCAGCGCTGTGCCAAGAAGGGCATTGAGCACGACAACCCCATCTCCCGTTACTATGACCGACTGGCCACTGTGCAGGCGCGGGGGACCCAGGCCAGTCACCAGGTATGGGGGCGGGGGTGGGGGCCGGTAGGGGTTCTTCGGCTTAATGCAAGGCTTTCTTGTGGCAGTGCTGCCATGATGGGTGCCTAGGAGTGCACAGGGCTGTCCTTGAGGATCCCTTTCTCCTCCAAAGTAACTTTAGTAGCCTTGCGAGATGGTAGAAGTTAGATGGCCAGTGACCTTAGTGGCACCATGTTTGATGCAGGGAACTTGGTATCACTGCCCCATGGTAAGTTCTTAACCTTCGTAAGTTCATGTCCTCTCCTTGTAGTTATGGAGAAGTTTAGAAATCAGAATTTAAAAATAAGTTACTGCCAACTCATGTGGCAGCCGCTTGTGATTTGAGGTGCTGCAGGCTACTTTCAGTCTCCTTTATCCACTTAATGCCTACATTTCTCTGGTGTGCTCTTGAGCCTTAGGGCATGTAGACATCTGTACCTTACATATTTCCTAAAATAAAAGGTACAACAGGTCCTGACAATAGGTGTGTCTAGTTGATTGGGTTACCTCAGGCAGGAGCTTCATGCAGAACGTGTACCCAGGAGTGCAGTTGCTGGGTCCCATGGTAACTAGCATTTTGATGAGCTGCCGAAGTGTTGTCCAGAGTGGTCACAGTGGATCCATGTTTCCTGCATCCTTGCCCACACTTCCCATGGCCCTTTTATTGTACCATCCTAGTAGATGTGAAGTACTGTGTTAAGAGTTGATGACTGGAAAATTCAGGTATCTTTGCCTGTGCATATTGACATATTTATGTTCATTCATTGGAGAAATACTTGCTCAAACAAGCCCTTTCCCATTTTTAAATTGGGTGATTTGTCTCTGTATTGTGAATTCTCAGAGTTCTTCATATATTCTGGATACAAGTGATGTGATACACGTGACTTCCCTTTCTTCCCATGTGTTGACTGTGTCTTTGTGTCTCCTGATATTTTGTTGAAAAAGCTCCATCCCTGCTTTTTTCTTGTGGCTGTAATCAGAATCACTGCTTTGGGAAATTTTGATGTTAAACAGTTGTCACTGATGGCAGGTAACATCCTCACTGGATAAACCTGGAATTCAGTCAGAGACGAGCACTGTGAGCTCTTTGCCGGAACTCTTAGGCAGGTTAAATAGTGACAAATTTTTGGGGATGAGGCTTTTTTGGGAGGGTCACCATCCCCACTCAGGAGCTGTCAGTCTGCTGATTTTTATAGCCAGCCTGGTCATGAAGCTGTCAGCTCTCCAGGCCCATGGGAGACTTCAGAGGAGGTCATAGCAGCAGAGCTCCATGAAGTTCTTGCCAGGGGTACCTGGCTCCTCCTTTTTCTCACTCTCTTCCTTTCTTCTCCTTCCCCTCCCCAAGCTCCCTGCCCAGCTACAAAATTTCCTTTACTGACCAAAGTAAGTAATGCAGTTTGAGAGTTTTCCTTTTTGAATCAGCTGAAGAGTCATAGATTGGTGTGTTTCAGGTCCTTCGAGACATCCTCAAGGAGGTGCAGAGCAACATGGTGCCGCGCAGCATGCTGAAAGAGTGGGCCTTGCACACGCTGCCCAACGCCACAGACTACTGGACCTTCCGGAAGATGTTCACCATCCAGCTGGCGCTGATCGGCTTCGCAGAGTTTGTCCTACACTTGAATAGACTCAACCCCGAGATGTTACAGATTGCTCAGGTAGCTTACATGGACAGCCAGACCTCCGTGACCTTCCCCACTCTGCTGAGCACATCCTAATGTGTGTTCTCCTGAAATGCAGGACACTGGCAAGCTGAATGTTGCCTACTTTCGGTTTGATATAAATGATGCAACTGGGGATTTAGATGCCAACCGTCCTGTCCCTTTTCGCCTCACCCCCAACATTTCTGAGTTTCTGACCACCATCGGTGTTTCCGGCCCTCTGACCGCCTCCATGATCGCTGTTGCGCGGTGCTTTGCACAGCCCAACTTCAAGGTGGGTCACAGTACTGCCCCGTGGGGAGCGCAGGCCCCACGGTTCCACAGCACACACTGGCTTTAGGACCTGTTCACCAGCTACCAAGGGGGACAGATGCTGAGGTCGTGTCCCTGGGAGAAATCGTGTTCAGGATATGGAGGAACCCACTTTGCAAGACAGAATCCACAGTGTGCTTCTGGGTAACACCCCCAGCGTTAGCACTGCCTGTCGGCTGTCCAGCAGCACTTACTTCCCCTTTCCTACAGAGTCCCAGCGTACAGGGACAGACGTGTTCTGTGAGAGATGGCCCCTGCCTTGCATCCATGTGGTGAGGCAGAAAGTGGAGGTTTTTGTTTTGTTCCCTTTCACCTGACCCTGGAAGGGCACCACTCAGCAGTGCTGGGTAGGCAGGACGCACTTACTGGCCCAAAGTGACGGCATGTCGCTCCTGCACGCCGGCTGCCCTGCCTTTAGGACCTGAGGGAAGTCCTGTGCCTTCACAGTGGGGCCTTTTGGGACCTGCCCCTTGTATAAGAGGTGATTTGGTCTCCAGAGGGCTCCCGAGGCCTGGTCCGTGGCCTGGCCAGGCTGCCGAGGTCAGACAGGCCTTCTTCGGGTCTTGCTGTGGAGCTGCCCCTTCCCTGGGAATCTAAGTGGGAGTCCTTTAATTCTCTCCTTCACGCAGGTGGATGGCATCCTGAAAACTGTGCTCCGGGATGAGATCATTGCTTGGCACAAGAAAACACAGGAGGACACCTCCTCTCCTCTCTCGGCCGCTGGACAGCCTGAGAACATGGACAGCCAACAACTGGTCTCCCTGGTCCAGAAAGCTGTTACTGCCATCATGACCCGTCTGCATAACCTGGCCCAGTTCGAAGGTGGGGAGAGCAAAGTCAACACCCTTGTGGCAGCTGCCAACAGCTTGGACAACCTGTGCCGCATGGACCCCGCCTGGCACCCGTGGCTGTGACCAGCACTGCCTCTCCCCCGGAATGTGAAGGAGCCTGCTGGCTTCTGTGACCTCTCGCTGCCTGCTTCATTTTATTTATGGGAGACCTGCGATTCTGCGGGCTGTCATTATTTTACGATTGTTGGTGTGTGAAAGAGGGTGAGTTCAGTGGTGGAGGGAGATGTCAGCTAGACCTTAGAAACGGCAGAGCTGAGCCTACCCTAAGCTTTTAACACGATTTTTTAAGCAACCAGGATTTCTGGCCTGGGGTTTTTTTGTGAATTCTTTTTTATGGTTCTCCTTCTTATGAGTGAACAGAGTGAACTGCAGGAAACAACTCGGGATGTCCATTTTTAACTCTTTACAGAAATGACACCTCACCACGCTTTGCGCATTTGTACAGACGGGTACACATTAAGCGAGGTGTTAGAAGCGCAGAAGTCAGAAGCACTGTGCTCATCCCTGCATGAGCACAGGCTGTCGAGCTGAGTGTCACCGGCCTGAGCACCCTGCCGAGTTTGAGTGTGGCCTCGGGAGGCCGTGTTGCTGCGCAGGGGAGCCCGTCCCCGTCCCGTCCCCGTCCCTGTCCCCGTCCCTGTCCCCGTCCCCGTCTCGTCCTCCTCTGTGTGGGGTCCACAGGCCCCTGGGCAGGACCAGCCTAGGAGCAGTGCAGGCAGCTCGTGGGCTTTTTCTTGCTGGCTCTCTGGGTGTCTTCTAGACATTTTCTCTCATTGTACCTGAAAAGAAATCTTTTTTTTTCTTACTAATTTAAAAAGAAAACAGCAGTGAAAGTTTCCTCCCTTAGTGTTGCTTTTGTTCACATTTTTATAAATCTGAGCATTGAGAGTGTTCTATCTAAATTTGTACAGTGTGATTTTTTTTTTTAGAATAAATATTTTATAAAAGGGTTTGTCTCCCTTATTTATGTTAAAATGTCTGTTTCTGTGAGGCATTTCTACTGCTGGGACGGGGCAGTGTGGGCGGTGGCTCGGTGTAGCTTCTTGGTGACTGTGTGTTGCGGGGCAGGCATGGCGACCCTGTGGTCACGGGTGGTCTTGGCCTGGGGGTCAGAAGCGAACGCAGAGTGCACTTGGCGCCCCAAGTGATAAGCAGTGTGGATCGTCCTTCCTTTGGCAGCAGGGCAGCACACCTGCACCCTTGGGTGCCCCTTCAGCTGAGTCTGTCCCAGGCCACTGCCATGTCACCATGTGTGCAAAGCGTGCTGGAGGCCTCAGCTTGCAGCGCCTGGTGTGTGCCGCACTGCTCCAGCTCTTGCCCCCACATCCTGTTGGAACCCTGGCCAGGCTGGAGAGGTGGTGTGAACAGAGCAGAAGTGTCCTTGGGGTGTGAAGCAGTCCTGAAGCACATGCTGTGACATCAAAGGGAGATGTGGGACTGCTACTTCTTTCTAACCTGCATTCTGAGTCAAAGAGTCTCCCTGGGGAAGCGCCAGGATCTCCAAGGCGCACAGCCCCGTACCAGTGCATGTGGCTGATCTGCAAGGCCCCTTCTCTGGGCCCCTGACCCTCCCCTCCTTCCCTTTGCCTGAAGCTGACTTCTGTGTGCCTCATTGCAGACCGAAGTCTGAGGACACGACCATTTGTCCTGTTGTAGCTGGGCTGTACCTAGATGCAACCTCCTTGCCAGCAAGAGGTCCGGAGGCTCGTGTGGAGGGCTCTGCCTCAGTTCTGGGAGACAGATGGGCCCTCAGCCCGGGAAGGACAGCGCTGTCCTTTACAGAGGAGGGATTTCTAACCGAGGGTGAGTAGTTGGTCCGGTACTGGAGAAACCTCACACAGCTCAACTCGGTGCCCCCTCACTGCACCGTAGATGACAGGGGAGGCCGGGGACCTGGACGCTCCCATTCTAAGTTACCTCCCAAGTTTCAGAGAGAGCTGTGTTTGTGAGAAAGTCTCTTGGATTCTAGAGAGACAGGAGCTGAGATTGCAGACTGTCAGCTCATGGGTATAGCGTAGGTGTCAGGCCAAACACAGGCACTCTCAGTAGTCCTTGCTGCACACAGGCCACCGCTGCAGCCAGTCATCCTGCGCTCTCCGAGCCTGCTGTGGACCAGGGTGTGGGGGTGAGTGGTGGCATGGGTGGAACGTTTGTTTTTGCCGTAGATTGCTGGAGCTGGCAAGTCAGTGCTACTAGTTAGAAAAAAGCCCAGGATTCCCTGCCTGGCAGCCACACTGTGATCTGATTGCCGGGAAAACTTAACCTTCGGACAACAGCCAGGGCAGGAGAGATCACCTAAGCTCCCCGTGCAGGAGGACAGACGAGGACCCAGATTCAGGAGACCGAGTTGGCAATCATGAGCGTTCACTTTCTCCCCTCGAAGTGGCAGGGCTGGGAGCTGGGCTTTGGAAAGCCATGTGTGCAGGAGCTGGGAAGGCCCGAGAAAGCCCTGGTTTACAGTGGCCACGTGTATGCTTTGCCAGCCACCATTCTGAGCTGTTAGACTTTCTGGGTTTTGATAGTGATGAGAGGTTAGATAACAACCGTGTAACAGCTGGCACTGCAGTGGTGCTGAGTAGCTTCGAGTTCCGCAGCCAGCACCACTGCCCCTCTTCCAGAACTCCATCTTCTCCATCTGAGCCTTTGCAAGCCTCATTCTCCCCCAGCCTGGTGTCATTCTTTCTGTCAGTGAATTGTTGACTGTTCTACAGACCTCACGTAAGTAGAATCATGCCTGTCTGTGTGCCTGTCTCTTAGCACCGTATCCACAGTTGTGTCAGAAAGTCCTTTTTTAGGCTGTGATGTTTCACTTAGCCTGTGTGCCACTTGTTTATCCACATTAGTGGGTATTTAGGTGGCTTTCAGTTCCACTGTGTGTACCGTGGCTGTGAACATGGCCATACAAATACTTCTTCAAGTCCCTGATTTTAATGGTTTGAGTTCCATCTCCAGGAGCAGGATTGTTGATCATACAGTCAATGGTTTTCATTCATATGGAGGAGCCGCCATACTGTTTTCCATAACCATTTTTCACTTACCAAGACAGCGTGAGATTCCCAATTTCTCCATTTTTTCGCTTACACTTGTTTTCTAGTTTTTGTTTGATTTTTATAATAGCCATTTGTGACTATTATGCTTGTCAACTTGGTTGACTTGGGAGCTCCCTGGGAGATGAGTGCACTTCTGTGTATGGCAGGGTGGGTAACAGAGGTGTGATCTCAAGTGCTACACATGTCCCCTCACTCTGGCACCCTCTCCTGCTCTGTTCCTTGGGTGCGTGAACGGTGCGTGCCTGCCTGCCATGCCCTTTCTGCCTTGAAGCCAGCTGACCACAGTGAACCCTCTGAAACGGTGAACCAAAATACTTTACTTCTCTTAAGTTGTGCATGTTGGGAATTTTGTCCCAGCCGTGGGAAAGCTTATTCACATACCATCTTAGTGGGCAGGAAGTGGATTTTACTGCATTTGAGTCCCCTGGAGGTGGTTTCTAGGTTCTTTCTGTCCTGAATAAAAAATCAGGACAAGCACAAATGGTGGCAAGGTTTTGCTTTCTTTTTTAAAGATGAGTCCTGGATTGATTGATTGATTCTGTTCTTTGCCGTGTTAGGTTGAACCCTCGACCTTCTTTCTGCATGTTAGCCGGGGTGCTCTTACCACTGAGCTGCTTTCTCAGTAGCTTTGCATTTCCTAAAGGTAGGAAAAGAAACGTGCTCTACCGAGCAAGTTTAGGCCAAGAAACAACAGTTGGAAAGAAGGGCGCTGCAGTGGAGAGTGGCCTGTGGTGAAGAGCACGGTGGCCAAGGGCTTAGTGCAAACTTCCCCGCTCTGCAGGCTGGCTGGCGTCGGGTCAGGGCATCCTGTGAGTCCACACACAGAGCCTTGGGAGCTATACTCAGTAGGCATCCTGGGGTTCTGTGTTAGCGCAGGTCACACCTGTTTCCCTAGCCAGCTCTTCCGCGCCCTGGTCTGTCCCCTGCCTTAGCTGCTCATTGTGTTTTGATTTGCATTTCCCCAGTGATGAGTGATACTGAATGCCTTTCTGTGTTCACAAGCCAATTGTGTATCTTTGGGGAACTGTCTGTTTTGCACAGTTCTGAATTGGCTTGTTGAGTTAAAATTCTTCATATTGCTTGGGAATTAATCCCTTAAAGATATGATGGTCAAATAACTTTTCATTGTGTGGGTTGTCTGTTCATTCTGTTGACAGTCTACTGATACACAAGTTAGTTTTTATGTAATATATTTCACTTTTTGGTATGTTGCTTGTTGTTTTTGGTGTAATATCTCAGAAGTCCTTGCCAAATCCAAGATCACAAGTCCTTGCAAAAAAGACTGGTCAAATGGCATTGATGCATTTTGAGTTAATGTATGTATGTGGTATAAGGTAGGTGTCCAACTGGATTCTTCTGCACATACATGTCTGGCTTTCCCAACACCATTATTGGCAACTGTCCTGTCAGGGGTCATTGACACTCTTGTTGAAAATGAGGTGTGGAGCTGGGGATTTAGCTCAGTGGCCTAAGTGCCTGCCTGGCAAACAAGAGATTGTGAGTTCGATCCCTGGGACCAAAAAAAAAGGAAAGAAAAAAAGAAAATCAAGTGTGTGTATGAGAGTTTATTCCTAGTTATATCATGTTTTCATATTCATTTGTCTCAAAGGGTTTTTCTGTGATTACTTGTTTGACTCATTGGCTGTGCAAGGTTATGTTAATTTTCATGCATTTGTACCCTTTCCAGTGTTCCTTCGTTGTTAGTATCCAAGTTTTTCCTCATGCATGATTGGATATAGATACTATGATTTTATTCTTTTAAAATTTATGAAGACTTTTTTGTGGCCTAACATATGGTTGATCCCAGAGAATATTCCACATCTACGTAGGGTAGGGTATGTTCTGCTCTCAGTGGATGGAGATCAGCATTAAATCCATTGCCACCCTATCCATTATTGACAGTGGGGTACTAAGTTTTGTACTGCTACTGGCCATGCTACTGTTTGCTTTCCAAAAAAACGTGATAATCTGCTCCCTGGCCACATGAACGATGTATCCTTCCAGTACGCCTGCCTGCCATGCTCTTTCTGCTTTGAAACCAGCTAACTGCAGTGATCCCTCTGAAACAGTGAACCAAAGTACTTAAATTCTCTCAAGTCCTGTGTATTGGGGATTTGGTCCCATCAGTGGGAAAGCTGGTAATACATCTTCTTAATGAGTATAAAGTGGTTTTGTTACTGCAATTTGTGGTGCTTGAATCTCGGGGAAGGATTTATTCTAAGCTAGTGCTCAAGGAAATGGTGAGGTCTTTTACTGCCTCATATCTCCATCCCACCTTGTTTTGGACCAAAAGCTTGTATTAATAGCAGGGAAATAATGAGACAAGACAGATTTTTGCCCTGTTTCATCCCGAGCCATCCTTGGCTCTCTGCCTTCCTGGTGGAAACAACACTTCAGCCTTCTGGGCCAGCATCCGCGGATCCCTTTCTCTGGCGGAGGTCTTGTTACCTCGCTGTTCATTCCTCTGAGCTGAGGGCGGGTGAGGAAGTTAGAGAGGCAGCCTTCTGGAAGAGAAAAACATCTAATTCTTGAAGATTGTTCTTGCCCACTTGGTTACACTGTTAAGCTCTACAGCCTTTTGCCGCACTTCAGAGGCAAAGACAGAGATACGAAAAAGGCTTTGTTGCCAGAGACAAAGCCAGGGAGTCACTTTTTGGGATTGGGAAGAGGTGGCGACCCCGTGAGTGGACAGGCCACTGTGTCAGGAGAGCACTGGAGGGCCTTTTGCTGTAGGGTGGAGCCTGCCCGAGCGGACCGTAGACTGGATTGGAGGACCTTTGGCTCAGTTTATTTTGGGGGACTAGGAGGACACGGGAGTCGGTGTAGAAGAGATACAGTGTTTTAGGGTCAGCACCGTGGTAGACTGGCACCGGGTAGAACCTGGCACAGTCCCATACAA